TATCACAAAATTGACTCACTTTTCCGATAGTTTCTCATTCGTTTTTGCAAGTTTGCATTGTTTTTACGGTTATTTATAATATTCCAATGTTTTCCTTTTAGAATGAGCTTTTCGGGAAGTGAAGACGATTATCAAAACGGTGACGAGACGAGCTCCGAAGAAGAAAGAGATAATTTTTCTGACGATGATCTCGGTGCTGTCAAAAGGCCACGAAAAACTGAGGTAAATGCTTGGAATTTGAGTTTTATAGCAGTTTCTCTTTGTAGGCAAAACGTTCAACTATTTTTTGTTTAATCATGCTTTAAGGCGCTAACTGAATTCTAAGAGAATGTTGTGTTTTAGGTGAGTGGGCACTTGATAATGGAGCTCGAGATGGCCAATCAGTTGCTCGTTCCATATAAAGGTAGTGATGTTTTATATTAAAACCTTGCAAATATATTCAAATATATTAAATAGATTGAGCAACATCGTCGAAATAACTAAAAGATCAGTGATTTGGTGGTTGGGATGGGTCACTTTTGACTTGGCGTCGAATCTGGTGTTTTGAGCGGTTCGTGTCGATACTTTTTTTTATTCCGGGATAATTATATATGCTGAAGCAATTGGTGCTAAATTAAGCACATATGAAATACTTTAAAATTAGCATCAATTGCTTCAGTATGTGTAATTACCCCGGAATAGAAGAAAAGTATCGGCACGAATCTCTCAAAACACTAGATTCGACTAAGCAAACCAAAAGTGGCCCCTCCCAACCACCAAAGTATCAAAAGATCTCTCCTTTAACTTTCTTTTAGAATCGAAGGTCTTCGAGCTTGACGATTATCATTTAGTGATCACATTGCCACTTGACTTTATCAATGTAAGTTTGCTTCTTGGTTGGCTAAAGGGGTAATTATATATGCTGAAGCGATTAGTGCTAATTTAAGCACATATCAAACACTTGTTAAACTTTTTGTTTAGAAACGATTTCGCGAATGGTGGGGACTATCGGATCCGTGTTTGCGAATTCGTTTGGCCTTCAATCTTGCGAAATACCGTCTCGGCGATATGCCTGAAGCAACCGCATCAATGCCATACACGAAAAGGAACATTGCAATGGGAGCCATTGAAACGGTTTGTTTTGCTGGATTTGATGTGGTAGCTTGCTCATTTTCAGTTCATCAAGGACGACTTGACGAAATATTGGAGTGTGAGAAGCGAAGATGAACAAATCGGTGACGACAGCTTTTTCGCGGCATTCATCGATCGGCTAGTTGCACGAATGAAAGAATTGGGAAAGTGAGTGATGCTTTTGGATTTGGACTTTTACCCCCTGAAACACTGAAGTTAAATCCATCCATCAATCAGCAGCTAGATTCAGTAATAGATTTGGTTTCAACTACTGTTGTGTAGCAAATTGCTATGAAATGATAGATTTAAGCATTTGAAAAGATGAGCTCCAAACTAGCAAATTGAATTAAACTATAAATAACTTTTAACTTTTTCTTTAGCTATTGCGTGCAGTGCGGGATTCAACATTTAGGCGCTCATCCGCTGCTTTCTGTTTGCGATCACCCGCTTTGCTACTTTCAGAGAGATCGTTTAAGTACGTTTTTGAATCTAATGCTTTGTGAACTTTATATAATCTATTTCTTTAGGACAGACTTTCGAGTACTCCATGGGACCCCGTCTATGGGCAGATTCGGCACAATTGCTCAACTTTTTGTTCTTCCATGCGAATGATTACCGACGATCACTAATTTGCAAGCCCGATCCGTTAGATGATGTGAATCTCAAAGAAGAATTTCGGTAGGCTATTCAAATTTTAACGTTGAATTTCATAAATTTAGTGATTATGGTGAAATCTCGGCTGCCCTCAGGGGATATTGTACACGCTGTGTCTTCTCGACGTGGGCGAACTACGAGAAATTTCGTGACGATCCACTCACAAAGAAGAAAGCTGATCTGCTTTATTGGTAAGTTTTAGTGATACTAGACCACTTTTTTAACCGTTACATTTTCAGGTTATCCGATCGTTTCCCAGTAATTTGCAGATTGCCTCCTCGTTTCCGAGTCAACGCGATGAGCACAATCCATCAATATGTTTTGCCACCGGTTGCGTCGGAGAAAGAATCACGCTTTCAGGTAAGCGATCATTGGAAATAGGATGACTACAATTTGTAGAGACTCATATATGTCAAATCCCAAATAGGTGCCCTTATAATACTATTATTTAGGCTAATCTCGAGGCGGTTAATGGCAAAAAATTCTACGCATTCCAGTGGGTTTTGTAAAAACGTTTTCGATACTTTATTTTCTTTAGCGGATCGCCTGTCGAGAATTGGTACAAGATTTTGTGTGAGGGTTTGGTGGTTTGCTCGGGGACAAATTTGCAATTGGTTGGAGCTGCACATGGAAAAGGAGTTTATCTCGGAAAAGAACCACAAACATCGGAGGGTTACGCTCGAGGACACTCAACAGTTGGAAAATTTGATTGAATTTTTTCGAAATGTGATCCTAGTGCTCGCCACGATACTATTCAACGAACGATTCGGCGGTCGAGTGCCAAAATACTGAACATTATTCTAGGAACAAACATATCCGACAAGGAACATATTGTTTGGCGCTCGTTGAAGGTTTGTTCTTGCTTAGTTGGCTTTAAACATCCATAAGCTTAGGCCAATAAATTCTTGCTAACATCTGTATTTAGTTGCCAATGATCCAAGCAAGTATCGAGACCATCAATGGTGTTACGTAGTACAAGATCCGGATATTCTTCAAATTCGTGTGCTTTTCATGTAAGTTATTCTTAATTGAAATAATTTGTATCGTTTTTCTAGCTATGTTTCTGGGTCGGCAATCTCAAAACTTCCGACCGACAATTTCTCGGCCAACCATCCGGATATGTTGAAAGTTCAAGAGGTTTGTTGAGAAAGATTTTTAAAATATTAATCAAAAGGAACTAGCCTTCGGAGAAAAAAAATTGAATCTGCTCAAAATTCAGTATGGAAAGTTGCAAGGTTCGAGCTAGTAAATTAAATTTGGCGCTTGATTTTCTTTTTGGAATCAGTTCACTCATCTATTCATTTTAGGCGATGAACTTTTTCATCCAGGGGGATTTCCACGAACGTTTGGCTGCTGTTTACGATTCGGAACTTGATGAGAAAGCATTGGAAGAGGAGAATTTGCCTAGTCATCGCTTGCAATGTTAATGCAGTAATTCTTCTACCTTAAAGTGTACAGTTATTTTTCTTCTATTCATTATTAGGCTGTAAAACAGTTGATTAAGCTTTTCAAAATGTAAGCTTAAACAAAAACTACCTTAGTCCGGATGCCTTAGAACTAAACTTAGAACTAATTTGCATTTTTTTACGCATCTGGGATTATGGTATCTTTTTCTTGAACATTTTTTAGAAACATGACCATTATTATCAAATGTCTTTCATGATCCAATTATCTTGTCTTTTTCATTTCATTTCTTATCCATTTCTTTTTTCTCAGGTTCTAAACTTTCTCAAATTCATAAAGAAACGGGAATTTCACCGTCATTTTGCACAGGTACTTGCTTTTCCGTTGTAAAATAAGCCATAAAGCATTTTACATTTTCCGTTTGTAAATAATGTAATAAATTTCTGTAATAAATTCGAAAATATAAACTTCTTCAAATTCTAGGAAACTGGGAATTTGACGTGCAGTTTAGATCTTAAAGCTTTAATTGGGTGAAAACCCCTTAAAAGCTTGAGATTTTGAGCACTGCAAAAAGGCACTATAAGCTTGGGACCCTTGGGTAAAATTAAAAGATGGCCGTTAATAAATTCTGTTTATAAATAATGCTTTTGGGATGAATAAAGTTAAACTATTGTTATTCATTGTTGGGACGGTTATTTTTTTAATAGCCCAATGTTTTTGATCCTGTTTTTTATTGTTTTTGTAACTTTTCTTCACAAGAAACGTTTCTTGACTCTTAAAAAACATAAAATTCACACAAAGCGCCCATTTTTCACCAAAAATTCAACTGATTTCAGTCAAAAATGAAACAAAACGCAAACTTTTAAAAGTTCATTGAACATTAAAAAAGAAAATGCAACAAATTGTAAACAAATCAATGACAAACTCTTTAATAATAACCAGCTATCGCATTATCGACAATAATCAGTTATCGCATTCATTTTCTGAATCCTCGTCGCTGAAACCTATGCTAAAATTGTCAAATTCGTGCTCACCATCCTCGATTACCCCTAGAAAAGTGAAAAAAATCAAAAATATAGTTTTTCAAAAATTTTTGAAAGTATGGGCGGTTTGAAAAAAATGAACTAGTAAAAAACTTTTGCGACTACGCGACTGTACGAGAAGGGTGGGGTACTATTACAGTATTTACGGTACCTTTTCCGTTGTAAAATAAACCATAAAGCATTTTACATTTTCTGTTAATAAAAATGCTTTTATGATGAAAAAAGTTAAACTGTTTTCTGTATTTGATTTGCTATTCTACACTAAATTTCACCGATTAACAAGTCTATTACTTTATTACTTTATCTACTCTATTACTTTAAACCAAAATGTTATTGAAAAGGCATTTTATTTCGATTCTATATCTTGACAACGACTACAAACTACAAGAGAAGAAATTTGAGCGCTCCATTGAATTTTCATGACCTAATAAACGCTGCGTTGCCCTGGTGCTTCGTTTTTGTTTTTGTCAATTTTGTTTCTAAGCACAATATTTTTATTGTATTATTGGCTGAGATAGTTTTTTTTTATAGATTGACTGTTTTATAAAACAAATATTTGCATAATTGAATAAACCAATCACTAGATTCAAGGCATTTCCTCAATATTAGGGGGAAATTAACGAGAAATCAGCGTATTTCGTTTTCAAATCTCAATCTAGATTTGCGATAAACCTTTATTTTCATTTAATATTTTCATTTTACGTCAAATTTTTGTTAAAAACAGTTTTTGATTTTTTTTGAAACTTTATTCTTTATGAAAGTTGATCGATATAAGAAATTTTCTAGAAAATGGACGAATTCGATGCGACCAAATTGATCACAACACCCGATGAATCGAATGAGGGAAATGAATTGACGTTGTTCAAAAGAAACCATCGAATATCGGACGAGGAACAAACGAGGGAATCGTCGAATACAAGAGATGAGACATTGTTCAATCAGGCACAAGTAAGAAAATTTTTTTCACTATCATTTTAAAGATTTAGGCTAGAGGCTAAGCAAATTTATAAAATAACTTAACGAATCTTTAGAAACAACTTTAGAATCAACTCATGCAAATGCCCTCCTCGTCTAGCTGCGATTTCAAAGATTTTGGGATATTTGAGGTTGGCTTTAGCTTTAGTTTTCTGGAAGCTCGAGTTTTTTGGTTATATTTTTATAAAAAATCTAAGCCCACTTTAATTTTAACATTGTTGGAGTTAAGAGAAAGATGTTTTTAATTAAAAAATTATCTTTTAGGACTTCAATCTAACCACACGAAGCGATTTGGACAGAGTGCTGCAAAATGTGGACAATGTTTTGGCAGAGGGAAGAGAAAATGGAGAGGATTTTGAGGGGATTTTTGATGAAACATATGGAGTGGGTTTATGGGTAGATCTTTACAAAATAAAAACTACCACAGATTGGCTAATTGTATGACTTTTGAAACTACAAAGTTGTATTGGCTAGATGTTGCTAAAGTGAATTTCCCTTTTCGCTTGGTACTGACCACAGATTTGAACGCTGACCGCAAACTAGATAGTTTGAAATTGTTCTAAAAAGGTTTTTTCGCAAAGATATAGTTTAGAAGTTAAAACTTTATAGTTTCTTTATAGTTCCTTATCTAACAACTAACACTTATCTAAACATTTTTCAATTCAATCTTTCAAAAAAATGATTCAGTCTTCGCACTCCAATCAAGCTCATTTCAATGAAGACGTAGGAAATGTAAACTCGCAGTGTCAGGTGAGATTTTGGGTTCTTAAAATCAATTTCTATCGAATATTGGATTTGGATTTAGATCTAAAGATAAACTTTTTAAGTTATGCGGAAAAATGGTAATTACGAGGACGACGAATCATGTAATGGCTCACTCGAAGACACATGTTGATCATCAACAGTTTAGATGCTCGAAATGTCCGAGACAAGTGAGTTTTATAGATAATCTTCTCTGAATATAATACGTATTTTATATTATATATTCATTTAAATTTAGTCTCGAGCCCGCACTGATATTCACATTCACAATATGCGCCAACATGGGGGAAAAGCAAAGATCATCGATACAATGTGAGGAAAATATTCAATTTTTCGAATTTTGTATATAATTCTAAAGTTTAGATGATAGTATGCAGGCTTAGAAGTTTAAAAAGTACTTAGAAGTTTAAAAATCTTTTAACTACTGTTAAAAGGCATCTTTCGAATGTTTAAGAATGATAGAAGCTACGTTTTTTTTGTCTTTTATTTGCATAGAAGCAAGTGCCGCACTTATTCTTCTAGTTTCTAAAGCAAACTAGCAAACCTCAGTGCCGTACTTGTTTTTCTAGTTTCTAGCTTGGTTTAATAAAAAGTCTAGATGCAAAAGGGTACTTAGAACAGAAATAATTATGATAGATATGATTATGATTGTATTTGATTATGATTATGATAATTTCAGGACACCTGAGCTAATGAAACGATTCAAACAAGTAGCTCATGCTTGTTTTCCCAAACATCATCGCCGAATCGAGAGCTGGGCACAATTGGATAATCCGAGAAGGAAAAGAATGATTGAGACGAGATGGGGAAATGATGAGGAGGGGATGATTGCTGCGAAAACGAGAAGGGTAAGCGCGACAAATGGATGCTTTCTGGCACACTTATCTTTCGAACAAAAGCACAAAGTGCATGCTAATTGTTGATTGTACAAGGTGCGCCGAATGCTCTATCATCTCACTTACTAGGTTTATAGATTTTAAGGCAAATACCAATCAACTTTGCTTTTTTTTAAAAGCTTCTTTTATGACTATTTTCTAGCTTTCATAGCTTTTTTTGTAGATTAATCTATGCCTTTTAAATAGTTTGAAAGCCGATAGTTTAAAAGTTCTACTATTTTCTATGATATTCTTCATTGAGCTAAAACAAAATTCGATTTTTGAGCTTTAGTCAACTTTAGGGAAGTAAAAAAACTTTTGAGTAAGATTTGAAGTTTATTTTTTAGATGAATTCCTCGTTTACTGACGGTGATGAGATTCAAAGTCTTGACGATCAATCCGGAATTGAAATTATTCAGCAAACAAAAAAGCCAGCGTCAAATAATGCGTTAAGCTGCAAGGTAAAAAAAAGAAAATAGAAACTTTGATTGAAATTTGATTTTTAGATGTGCAATCAAACATATCTTCCAATAAATCTCCCGTACAATTGCATTCGACACGTCGAATTTTGTCATATGGAAAAGAAACGATACACCTGCTCGCAATGTGAGATGGCGGTGAGTTTAAAAGGAAATTTTTTTATTGATAAACATCTAAGAAGCTTAGCTTTTTGCGTTGATTACTTTAGACTTTAAACTTTCTAATATTTCTAAGATTTTTAGACACCGGAACGATCAAAACTTGAGATGCACGTTCGGAATCATAACCCAAAAGCTTATGTAATCGATAATTTGTAAGTTTAGTTTGCTCATAAGATAATTCCGTGTTTTTATCGTTTAAAGCCACTATTTTTAGTTCAGTAGATAAGGATTTATCTTTAAAATCGGATCATTGTAGCTTTGGTGGCTTAAAAGCTTAAATTGCTTAAGGTTAAAAAAGCTTAAGGCTAAAAAAGCTTAAATTGAGTCTAAACTAAAGCTTTGATTGCTGTAAAAGTAACTAATATCGTAGAAGATCGTAGAACTAAAAGAATTTCAATTTTTAGATCTGAAGATCAAGTGAATCATCTCACACAGACGTCCATATTTTGTTTTCCATCGATTGAGGCAATGATTGAGAAATGGAAGCTGAACAAATTACTGGCTTTAAACTCGGATATTCCATATCGACCACGAACATCGAGAGCTTTATTGAGATCGTACACTGAACAGGAAAAAGAATCAGCTGATGGGAAAACGAATCAAGAGTATTACACGTGCAAAGTGGGCAAAAAAAAAAACAAAAAGAAATTTAGTACTGAATTTAGCAATGCTTTAAACAATTCGATTTGCATCACGGGGAACACCTGGTGATTTGTGCAATCAAGCATGGAGCAAAGCATTGCCCACAGAAACAGGTAAAGGCAAAGTTTAATTTAAATATATGTTGTGTCCGATTTAGATTCAATCTAAATAGGACGTCCGATTTAGATTCAATCTAAATAGGACGTCCGATTTAGATTGAACTTATCGCGGACGTCCGATTTAGATTACAGTCTATATCGAACGTCCTATTTAGATTTAATCTAAATCTTATATAAATTGAACAATAATATAAACATGCTTAATATATGTTCTTAAGCGTTTTCTGTAGTTTTCTGCATTTTTCAAAGGTTTGTTACTGTCTTTTTCTGAAAAGTAAACCCAACTTATGAAACAATTTATTAGCGTTAACAGAATAGATGCGAAATTACAACATACAACAACAAAAAACCAACAACAACAACGAACGAGTTAAAAATTTCCATTTATTTTTGCAGCTTAGGCTATTGTGGCATCTTGAATTGCAGAGTCGGCCATCCTTTTTGCATATTTTAGATTGAATCTAAATCGGACGGAAATCTAAATCGGACACAACATATATAAACATTTATATAATATCTTTATAGTATTCGTGCTCTGAATGTCGCAAAGGATATCTGAAAAAATCGGTTGCTCGAATGCACATTTTGAGAACTCACCGAAAAAAGGGAACAATTATCGATAAGCTGTGAGTGAAGTTAGAAATTGATTCTATTTGCTTTTAAGTTTAAAATTTAGATAAATTGTGATAAGATCGACTGAATTTAAGTTTTTATTTTAACAATTTAATCAATTGCTATTGACTTGGTCAAATTTTAAGTTTTAAATGTTTATCTAACGATCTTTCCTTTAAAAGGATGATAAATCTATGAATTAATATTGTTTATAAGTTGTTTATAAGTGTTAAATCGTTTTGTTTCTAGAAATTCATCACTTTTTGCGGCTCAATGCGAATCAGCTATCGTTTGTTTCCCTGAGTTGGTGGAGGGAATTCGGGGAATCGCTCAAATCTATCCACCACCAAATGTCTTCTATGATGAAAGAGTTGTTGAAAGAGAGGTGAGTAGAAGTGATTCGAAATTATTGATCTTCTCAATTTACAGTTAGACGAAGTGATCAGCCAATCTTCCTCAACATCACTGAATCTAAATAGTTTTATTGAGAAGAAGAAATCACCGATCGTTTCAATCAAGGATCGTTTCACTTGCAATGTATGAAATTTTCTAAAACTATAAAAAACTTTCTCTTTTTTTTTCAGCATTGCAACAAGAAAATGATTGCGCTAAAGAGTTTAACTCCGAGTGCATCCGTTGGACAATTGCTTAAACATTCTAGAGTTCATTTAGAGAAGAAGCAATTTCAGTGCTCTGGTGAGCATAAATTTAGGCTTTATTTTTATTAGATATCAATTTTTAGTCTGCAATCTTTTCCTCTCCGAACACTCAAATGCGAATCGTCACCTCGAAAAGCATCACGAGAAAGGAAAGATTATTGATTTGATGTGAGTTTTATATTCTATTGATTCTATTGATTCTATTGACTTATTCAAAAGGGTACTGATTACTAGATTCACCATAGCTAATCGTTATTCTGCGTAAACTTTCGACTTTTAAATCTTCAAAAACAATTTATTGAAAAATAAGGAACTATTGCAAACAAAGTAAGATTGGCTTAATGAACATTTAATGAAAGATCAACAATAACAATCGATCTAGACTTTCTGGATTTGGATTGGGAGTCTCTTGATGCCAGCAGAGCGTTCCTTTTCGTAGCGAACGGTGAGGTGACCGTCTCGCGAAAGTTCGAAAGAAAGTTCACTCTTCACCTAAAAATGCAAATACAGTTTTGAGATACTTAACAAATTCATTTACCTCTTCAGCTCTGACAGATGCTGGAAGTCTAAACTTGCGCACAAACGAACGCGCGATCGTTGAATCAGTACCCTTTTCAATGAATTTCTTTTGTTTTATATGAAATTCTTAAACGATTCAATGAAATGAGTCAATTGAATTAATCATTGAATTGTTTTAGGACCGTCGAATTTCTGACTGAACTATGCAATGAGGGAAAAGATTCTTTCCCGTATTATAAAGAGTTCATTGATCAATATTATCAACGAAAAGTGGCTGAATTAAATGGAAAAGAGGTGCCGAAGAGAGGAAATGGAGCAGGGGGAATTGGAATGGGACAAGGAGGTGATTCACCGGATACTGATGTGAGTTAAAAGTTGAAATAAAAGCTGATTACTCTAGGCAAAGCTCAGAATACAGTGATGGCTTTGATCTAATCAAAAACAAGAACAAAATTCATTTCTAGACCCCAAGCACATCAATCATCGAGCCAATCAATCAGAATACAATTCGAGAGGTCGGACAATCAATCGTCGACAATCGATTGTTTCAACTAAGATCTGAGTCGATCAAGAGGGAACCGAATGAGATCAATAATGGTATGAGTTACTATACAAATCAGTGCTATAGTAAGCGTTGAAAGTTGCAGTAGATCTTTAAAACTACAATGTTCCTTGAAAGCTATAGTAGTTCTTGATGAATTATCGAAAAATTCTAGAAATTCTAGAAACTCTAGAAGACAACTCGGTCGTTTCTGTCGATTCGCCCTTCTCGGCTGGACAAAAGTTTGATGGCTACGAGTTTGATGGATCGGTGAACAATACAAGGAGTTCTTTTGGGAATGGATATCAGTACTCGGTTTGTTTTATTGTAGATTTTGTGAAATAATCTCTTATTTTAGGCTAATCGCCCCAACTCTGAGCTAATCACATTGCGGAAAAAGGTTCAAAAGCAAGAAATGGACATTGAACAACTGGAGAAAGCGCTCACTAAAGCACAGAGTCAAGCTAGGGTAAGAATGAATTAAAAAAACAGCTAATGCAGATAATAATATTAAACTATTATTCAAAAGTCATCGATAAAAGGCTAGGCATTTAATTGAGGCTTTTTAGAAATGAGCAATTCAGTGATATCATAACTTAAAGATATTGTAATCTATAAGAAATTTTTCTCAGTGTCAATGAAAATTCAGAATTTAAACTAGCTTTTAACATTTGCTTGAAAACTTCTTTTCCACAAATTTATTAAACCTCAAAATTGATTCATTAATATTAGAAGAATATGTAGATTGTTTTTTGATATTACAAAACTCGTTTAGATGGTTGCTCCAGTTGTACCGAATGAAGTTGAAGTTTTGAGGCGAATGCTTCTACAAAGAGACAATCGGATTCAAGAGTTGGAAGATGAAATGATAAAAATGAAAGAACAAAGGGGAAGGGTGAGAGTTTTTTTTGGTTTTTTGAGTTTTTTTTTTCTAGAGTTTTAAGTTTTAACTTACAAGTTATCAATAAGCAATAGAGAACTATTTTTAAAGCAATAGAGAATTATTTTAATTTCAGCTTCATTCCATCATCGGACAACATCAAGAGGATTTGGCAACAGCAAAAGAAAAGGTATGAAAGAGATTGTTATTAGATTGATAGAGAAAGAGAACTAGATTGATATAGACATTCAGTTATTCATTCAGTTACTAATTTGTTTAATTCTTGATTTTTAGACTCAAAAACTCGAACGAGAGCTCGACTCAGTGATGCGACGATTCACTTAATTTCAAAAAAAAAACAATCAAATTTCAATTTTCATCATAATCACTGCCTATTTACTTCTTTTAATTGGGTTTTTTTCATGAAATTATCATTACTTTACCTACTTCAATCTTTAAATTCACTGAGCTTTTCCCTTTGCAAAGAATTAAAAAAAAATTTAATGAGATTTAAGACGAATTTCTGCAGCTAATTTATCTATTCAGTGTATTTTCTTTCTATGAATCAATTTTGTGGTTTAATAAATTTGTGGAAAACGTTTTTCAAGCAGATATTTTCAGTTTTTCAAGGTATGCAAGTAAAATTTCTAGTTTTAGCTTAAATTTTTGGGCTAATTTTTTAACATTGTGATAGCAGTTAAATTTTTGAAATATTTTAGTATACTAAAGCTATAAAATAAAGCAAAACAGTTTTTATGCTATTTTAGAAGCGCTTGGATTACTTGGTGACACCGGATTGGAGTCAAATTTAGAACAAAATGATTGAAAAATGATGAAAAATCGACTTCTTTTTGCTACTTTTCAATCATCATTTTCTTGACGCTGGTTAATGCTAGAAATATGTGTTATATCTTAAAATATTACCCATTTTCTCTACTTTAATTTGATATCTAAGCGCGTAAAAACAAAGGTACTGGTAGAGAGATATGAGCGTTTGTTTGAAGAGGAAACTTAGACTAAGCGATGCGCGACTAATAAGGGCTTCTATTAGAGTATCATTTGGCGGTGGGACAAATGCGATCTTTTTTTGCGCACCTGGATATTTGCGCACCTGGAAATGTGTGCGCCTGGACATTTGCGCGCTTGGACATTTGCGCGCTTGGACATTTGCGCACCTGGGCATTTGCGCACCTTTTCTTTGCTGGAAAAGGCCTTAGGAAAGGTCGTAGAGCTTCAAAAACGTTTTCATAGAAGGGAATCATATGCGTAGATTCCGAATTTCGACAAATCACACCTCGCTGACACGTCAAATTTGGGCTAAAAGGCAAAAACTACGCAACTTAACGCTTGTCGAATTCAAAGTCGCTTGTCGCTTGTCGAATTCGGGCGTAGAATCGAAATTTTGACATAACAGAGCGCGTGGAACCAATTTGAAAGACAAAACGGCTAGATCAAATTACAGAAAATTGTACATAAAGAAAATTGTGTTTTCTCTTTGTATAACTCCGTCCGTTTGTTTCCACAAGCTCTGATATGCCAAAATTTCGATTCTACGCCCTAAAATTACCTAGAAAAACAACTTTTGGAATAGAAATTGGTTAATATTAGCTTTTTAGAACTTTTAGCTTTTTAGAGCTTTTTTAAAACGCGAAAAAAGGTGCGCTAATGGGCAAGGTGCGGAAAAAAAGGTGCGCAAATGTCCGGGTGCGCAAAAAAAGGTCGCATTTGTCCCACTCCCTTTAGATGATTAGATTTAGAATGAATTTGGTGTCGAATATTCGGCACAATTTCTAACTTGATCGGTTGAATTTTATGCCTTTTCTTAAAGTAACTTTGATGTTTGCCTTGATTTAATCAATTTTTCGTAAAACTATTTCATTTTTCTTTGCTTGGTTTTTTTAGTTGTAGAGTTTTCAACATATTCTTAACAAATATAAATCCAAATACAGAATTCCTTTGAATTGACGAGAATTCAATTAATCGGACTCAATTAATTTTCGATTATCCGCTTTAAATCTGCTTTTTATCATATAAGTTCATGTTTATTCTGTTAATTAATTGTATTTCTCTTTATTTTTATTAATTATTTCGATTCATTTTCAATATTCCAATATTATTTCGTATCTTCTTGAAATTTAGCTAACATTTTCACCGTTTTTGATGCTTTTTTATGGTTTTTTATGTTTCTTTACCTTTTTTCTTTATCATCTTGTATTTCCCTAGAAATCCGTTGTAAAAAAAGTGTTTATATAATGGAAAGGATTGATGAAAAAAACAGGAAAATAACATGACTCATCGCCTTTTTTATAGTCAAATCGTTTTCTCTATTTTACACGAGAAAATTCTTTTGATAGCTGCTTAATTTTTTGACAAAACTTCTTTAAATTCACCCTAATTTTGTGTTTAAAAGATTAAACTCAGATAGATCAAAACTTTTATCAAAAAATAAGCTTTTTAAAACGCTTTTCCATGATTCGTTGACTTTTTTATATGAAAAATCTTCCTAAAAGCAATATGAAGTCATTATTTAATATTATTTAAACAGCTTAGTAAATATCTATACATTAATGTAACAAAATTGTAACAAACTTGTACCAAACTTGCGACAAACTTATCCAAATCAAACTAGGTTAGCAAACATCTATACATTAAGGTACAAACTTGTACCAAACTTGTAACAAACTTGCGACAAACTTAGAACAAACTTATCCAAATCAAACTAGGTTAGCAAACATCTATAATGTACAAACTTGTAACAAACTTTTAACAAACTTGTAATAACTTGTTACAAACTTGTAAAAAACCTATCTAAATCAAACTACCGTAATAATTCTAATAGAAGACCAGTCTCTATTAGAAGACCAGTCTCCAATAGAAGACCCTTTTGAAGGGAGGTTGAAAAATAGAAGACCAGTCTCTATTAGAAGACCAGTCTCTAATAGAAGACCAGTCTCTAATAGAAGACCAGTCTCTATTAGAAGACCAGTCTCTGATAGAAGACCCAAACTCTTAAAATGCACGATGTTACCGTATCCCGCTACCACCCAGATTTTCTTGTAAAAATCATTGTGCAAAGTTATTATTTCTTTCCTACTAGTGTTTTTTGTAATTCTTGTTTCTTGTCTTAAAATAAATAATGTGTTTATTCTCAGGGCTGATGGCTGAGCGACTGCCAATTCGCACGGATTCTCTGGAGGAGTATCGAGATATTCGAAAAGATGAAGGAGACGACTTTGAAATCTTCAAGGAACGAGAAAAGGAGAATGAAAACGAGATGAATCAAGATTCGGAGAATGCTTTGGAGGCTCTCGAAGCGGAACTGCTCAAGAATGGAAACAAACGGAAGGCATATTCGATCGAGTTTAAGTTAGAAACAATTGAATTTGCAAAGACGATCTCAAAGAATGTTGCAAGCACAAAGTTTCAAGTCAGCAGAAAGATGATTCGCGAATGGATTTCGCAAGAAAAACGATTGCGAAAGATGGGGAAATCATACAAGAGGTTAACAGGAGGTGGCCGAACCCTCACAAATACGCAACTCGACGTGGAACTTGCCGAATGGGTCCGAAGCGAACGACAGAAGAAAAACAAGGTCTCGAGGCGTTTGGTCCAAGAAAAAGCAAAGCGTTTTTGTGAGCAAAACGATATCAAAGTCGATTGTTCATTGGGATGGCTTCAAAAGTTCATGAAGCGTCATGGATTTTCAATGAGAACTCCAACGTCAATCTGTCAGAAGCCTCCCCACGAATATGCTGATGTGTTGGTCAATTTCGTAATGTATCTCAATCGGATGCAAAAGGAGAACAAATACACACACATCTACGCTTGTGATGAAACGGTCGTCTTCCTTGATCCAATTGGCGGAAAATGTGTTGATGAAAAAGGAGCAAATGAAGTCTCAGTTCGATCAAGTGGACATGAAAAGACAAAAATTTCTGTGATGCTTACGGCGCGCTCCGACGGTTACAAGTGCAAGCCTTTTGTTCTTTTCCCACGGAAACGAATTGATCCGGTCATCCAGAAGCGATTTGGAGGTAAATGATGAGATGGTTGCTCAATTATTGGATGAAATTGATTTGGGCGAAGAGGAGGAAAACAAGGATTACGAAAGCGATGCCTCGATTGAAATCAATGACATTAATGAAAATTAAATTGAGGTTTTTTTTTGCTCCTTTCAAATTGTTTTATGTTTTATGTTAATAATTATTTGTTGTTATTGTTGTTAATTGTTGCTTTAACTAAGTGAATAAAGTGATGATACAATGTGACTGATTTTTAAAAAGGGTTGCTTCCTAAAATCGTTCTCTAAAGCTTTGACAAATTCAAGACCAGTCTCTAATAGAAGACCCTTTGGGAAGGGGGTTGAAAATTAGAAGACCAGTCTCTAACAGAAGACCAGTCTCTAATAGAAGACCCTTTGGGGAAGGGGTTGAAAATTAGAAGACCATGGTCTTCTATTAGAATTATTACGGTAGGTTAGCAAAAATCTATAAATTAATGTACAAACTTGTAACAAACTTATCCAAAGCAAACTAGGTTAGCAAACATCTATGCATTAATGTACAAACTTGTACCAAACTTGTACCAAACTTGTACCAAACCCATAACAAACTTGTAACAAACCTATCTAAATCAAAATAGGTAATCAAACATCTATAATGGACAAACTTGTAACAAACTTATAACAATCTTGTAACAAACTTGTAACAGACAAACAAACAAACAAACAAACAAACAAACAAACAAACAAACAAACAAAATCTATTAAATTAAACCAATCAAAACCCATACATTTAACGTTTTTATTGATCGAATTTCTCTCTAGCATCTCATAAAACCCTCAAATGATATCAGAAAACGCTTAAAATTTAGACTTCAAAAAGGTATACACTCTCTCCATTTCACTCATATACACTCTCCATACTCTCTCCATTTCATTTCGGTCAATACTGCCCTCCAGCAAAGTGATATGACCAAGTATTGATAAGAAAATTCACAAAATTGCAATCATTTTCTCATAATATCCTAAATTAATCTTATATCTAAATATCTAAATATCTAAATATCAATAGATATATTTCCTCAAGATTTTTAATTGCTATTTTCTTTTGATTTTGAATGCCTCATTATACTAAAACCTATAATCTCCAGGTTGCTAGGGGATTCAAATAATATTTGATTATAAAATTGCTTATAAAAGACTTCAATATAAGTTTTTTAAATTTCAAAAGTGCTAATAAATGTAGAATTTTTAAAAATTTCACAAAAAAAACGAGTTTACAATGATTTTTCTTAAAGAAAATTGAGTCTTTCACTATTTTTAGCTGAGAATTTCAGTCATTTTACCATTTTCAAGAGATTTTTTCATATAAATACACAAATTTTCTTGTTTAAACACCTTTTTAAAAACTTATTTCATCAAAAATATCCGTTTTTCTTCCATTTTTCACTTTTCCTTACTCACTTTCTTATTTCTAATTAACTTCACTGCGAAAATCGGGCTAATTTCAGCTCTCCTCTCTTTTTCTTTATGCTTTTCTATGCCTTTCCCATATATTCTCGAGCCTTTTGCTATAAAATGCTATACATTTATTCCGAGAGTCTATGGGAAAATGGGGAAAAGAAATCGATTCTGCATATATGAATACTTCTGGAGTGGGGTAGGGAAAAGGATATATGGAAAAAGGATATAGATATGGGAATGCCTGTCCTCTAGATCTTTTCTAATAGATTTTGCAAGCAAGTCGTGTAAAATACCGTAATTACCGTCTATGGTTTACTCTAGTTTTCCTTTGCTGCCCCTCAGCTCCGTCCACTGGGTCCTAATCGTAATTTCTGTCGTTATGATGGTTGTTCTAATCCAAGGCCTGGATTTAGCTCAAAACCAGACTCAAATCTGGCTACTTTTCAGCCAAAATCATTGCTAGCCAGGATATGCCAAACCCAAGCCAAAGCCAAAGCCAAAGCCAAGCTAAAGTCAAGCCAAAGTCAAGCTAAAGCCAAGCCAAAGCCAAAGCCGAGCCAAAGTCAAGCTAAAGCCAAACCAAAGCCAAGCCAAAGCAGAGCCAAAGCCAAGCTAAAGCCAAGCCAAAGTCGAGCCAAAGCCGAGCCAAAGCCAAAACCGAGCCAAATCCTGATTTTAGCTAGCCTGGAATAGCCCTTTGTGTACCAGGCTAAACCGAACTTCTGTACCAAACTTCTGATCTGCCTCCTTGTCATCTAGCTCTCTTTTACTTTTAGATTCTCATCCAATTATATTTTCTCTGCTCTAGCCTCCCCCCTTAAAACCCTCTATACCCATAATTTCCAACTGCATTCCATTTCTTAGCCTCGTGACCCTATACTCTCCCATAAAACCCTGTCCCCTACCCAATTTTCTCTTTTTTTTCCATCAAACCATTCGCCTTGTGCACTTCTCTTTAGCCTTTCTCCATCTATACTCATAAAACTCTCCTCTCTACCCCGTTCTCTATATCTCTTCTACCTTTCCCCATCTCTTAATCCCTCTTAAGTGCTCTGTGTACGATTCCTATCTCTTTTCCTTTCCACTCCACTCCTTTATCCACTCGAATTATAGCCTCTCACCAGCGATGCACAAAGAAAAAGAGGCTCTTCAAAAGGCGATCATTAGGTGTCATGTAAGGATTTTTAAGTCTTTTTCTATATAGAAATTTATCTTTTCAGCAAGTTCGACAGATTACAGAAGAAAAAAGGACATTGGATGAGCTGTTGGAAAGTAGAGAAAGTCTAGAAAAGGTAAAATTATACTCAGAACAGTTAGATATCAATAAATCATTTTTTTAGATAAACGAAAAGAAAATGGAGGACGAGATTGTCGAAATCAACGGGGATGAGACGAATGATGATAGGTAAATGGGGAAAAGGATGATGTTGTTGACAAGAATTTCAATGAAAAAAGCTTATTGATCAGTTCTATTAGGTACATGCATAAGAAATGCGTATTTCAACATTTTCATAAATTCCCAACGATAGAAACGTGATTTTATAAACTAGAATCGATGAATGTTATAAACTATTTGAAAGTTGTAAATCTCCTCTACAAAATAGGCTAAAACATGTTTCAATCGATCGAAGCATTGAAGAGATTTCGATGGCGATAAGCGAGTGACCAAAAAAAGGAATCGAGTCACTTTAGGGACAAGTTTAGTGGGGTCAAAATAGAGTTAGCTTCCCTAAATTGAAGATTTAAACAAAAAGAAAGGATAGCTAGATATCAATTCATTAAAAACTGATCAATTGATCGAAGCATTGAAGAGATTTCGATGGCGATAAGCGAGTGACCAAAAAAGGGCAAAAAAAGGAATCGAGTCACTTTAGGGACAAGTTTAGTGTGCTCAAAATAGAGTTAGCTTCCCAAAATTGAAGATTTAAACAAAAAGAAAGGATAGCTAGATATGAATTCATTAAAAAAGTCTAACGGAAATGCAGAAATTACAGAAATTACAGAAATTTAGATAGAGCGTAAGTTCAAAATCCTCAAAATCCCCAAAAAAAACTGGCTTTTTCACAAAAAAGAAAAATTACTGTAAAAACAAAGTTTTCCCATGAAATGATCCAAACTCTTAATTATTTCGAATGATTTTGGGCGGTTTTATTGATATTTTAAGGCATTTTCCACTAGATAGTCAAAGCCGAACTCTTGTGAAAGTGGGGTTTTCAAAAAGTGCCCTTTTTTGGTCACTCGCTTATTGGCCTCCAATTTTTCTTCAATCCTTCGATCAATTGATCAATTTTTAATGAATTCATATATAGTTATCCTTTCTTTTTGTTTAAATCTTCAATTTTGGGAAGCTAACTCTATTTTGAACACACTAAACTTGCCCGTAAAGTGACTCGATTCCTTTTTTTGCCCTTTTTTGGTCACTCGCTTATCGCCCTCGAAATCTCTTCAATGCTTCGATCAATTGAGACCCGTTTTAGCCTATTTTGTAGAGGAGATTTACAACTTTCAAATAGTTTATAACATTCATCGATTCTAGTTTATAACATCAGTTTTCTATCGTTGGGAATTTATGAAAATGTTGAAATACGCATTTCTTATGCATCTACCAGATATAACCAAATAGTTTTATTCAAATTCTGATCGAGTTTATTAGATTTTGATTCGAATTTAGAGCCATCGATGAATTCGGTGCTTTTGCCGAGATGAACGGAACCGCTTTCCCAGATTTGTCGAATTTTATCGATGAATGGACACGGAATGAGACACAGAATTTTCAAAATTTTGAAGAAAAGGAAACGAATGGAAATCCAGATGAAATGGACATTTGGAAGCGATCGGTGGGAAAGATTTTATGCTAAAACATCTAGACTTTAAGCATAGCTGGAGAATAGGTTTAAAATAGGTTTAAAATAGGTTTAAAATAGGTTTAAAATAGGTTTAAAATAGGTTTAAAATAGGTTTAAAATAGCTGGAAAATAGCTTTAAGCATAGCTTTTGAGATGGCTTTAAGCATAGCTTTAAAATAGCTTTAAGCATAGCTGGAAAATAGCTTTAAGCATAGCTTTAAAATAGCTTTAAAATAACTTTAAGCATAGCTGTAAAATAGCTTTAAAATAGCTTAACATTCAGAGTATTGATGAAGAGACTGATGACTCTAATTTAATGCTTCCATCAACGTCAAAAATGTTAAACGATATTGCGAAACAATTCGTGGAAAGTGATCAAATGCGTCAAATAAGGGAAAACAAAGGAAATCAACAAAATCATTATCGAGTCACGAGAAAAACTCATCTAAAATGTGAAGTGAGTCAAATTTTTGCGGCTCAAAGCACTCAAAGCACGGCTTAAAGCACTCAAAAATGTTTTAGTTTCAAAAATGCAATGCTTTAATCGCTTGTGGAACGAATCCTTACAACACTCTCGTCCATGTGAACACTCATTTGACTCAAATGAACTATAAATGCTCAGAATGTGGAGCAGAGGTGCGTTTCTAGAAATCACTTTCCAATTTTCTCATTCACAATTCAGAGATATCTTTGAAATTTTCAGTTTCGAGCTCTTAAATCTCTCAAATACCATCAGAAAGCCACTCACGATGGACAGGGAACACCCATTGATTTACAGTCAGTTTTGAGGGGCTTTAAGAATTGTTATAGTTATTTGTTTTAAAAAGAGAACATTTAGAAGTAAGATAAAGTTACTGAAAGTTCTGAAGTTTGAAGTAATGAAGTACTAGAAGCAGTTCTAAAGTTCTGGAAGCAGTTCTAAAGTTCTGGAAGCAGTTCTAAAGTTCTGGAAGCAGTTCTGAAGTTCTGGAAGCAGTTCTAAGGTTCTGGAGGCAGTTCTAAGGTTCTGGAAGCAGTTCTAAAGTTCTGGAAGCAGTTCTAAAGTTCTGGAAGCAGTTCTGAAGTTCTGAAAGCAGTTCTAAGGTTCTGGAAGCAGTTCTGAAGTTCTAGAAACAGTTCTGAAGTTCTGGAAGCAGTTCTAAGGTTCTGAAAGCAGTTCTAAAGTTCTGGAAGCAGTTCTGAAGTTCTGGAAACAGTTCTGAAGTTCTGGAAGCAGTTCTAAGGTTCTGAAAGCAGTTCTAAGGTTCTGGAAGCAGTTCTGGAGTTCTAGAAGCAGTTCTGAAGTTCTGAAAGCAGTTCTAAAGTGCTGGAAGCAGTTCTGAAGTTCTAGAAGCAGTTCTGAAGCTCTAGAAGCAGTTCTGAAGTGTGCCTCAGTTACAGTAAGCCAAAGCCAAATTTCAGATCTCCCGAAATGGTGAAAGAAATTGGTCGAATCGCTTCGGAATGTTTCCCCGAATTGTCGGCTCTCTACGAAAAATGGGTGATCGCGCGGATGAAACGATTGGGTTTTTGGAAAGATTATCACAATTTAAGAAGAAATTTCGTCGATAATCATCCAAAACAGAGATTGAGAGAAAGAAATGGATTAGATGATGAGATCGTGAGTTTGAGAAACATTTTGCCAAATTTGTAAACAATTTTAGAATGGAGAAAGTGGGGATGGGTCGGTTTTCGACGTTGATGGGGACGAGTCGCCAAATGTGAGTACAATAATCATCTCTAGATTCGAAAAGTTATTCTTTTTTTACAGTAATCTGAATTCTATTTGTTTATTTGAAGATTATGGATGAATATTAGAGATCTGAGCTCTTTAAACAATGCTAGAATGCTTTGAATGCTCGAAGATTTTATAGGCAATGGCTTCGACAAGCGATCTCTCGAGTTTATTTGGTTTCAACGAAGAACCACGGGCTTTGATCAATAATAAGAGGCATATGCAAGACTCTCAAGAAGATTTATCACCGAAAAAGCTAAAGGTTTGATAGAGTTAGTTGATAAAAGCTGATAGAAGCTGATAGAAGCTGATAAAAGCTGATAAAAGCTGATAAAAGCTGATAAAAGCTGATAAAAGCTGATAGAAGCTGATAGAAGCTGATAAAAGATGATAAAAGATGATAGAAGCTGATAAAAGATGATAGAAGCTGATAAAAGCATAGATTTATCACCGAAAAAGCTAAAGGTTAGATAGAGTTAGCAATTCTAAGCAATTTCTAAGCAATTTCCAGTAAAAAAAGCTTCAAATCTATTCAATAATCTTAGTAAAAGCGTTAGAAACATAAAATTGATCTAAATTTCCAGCTCGAAGATCAATTCTCACCACTTCCCATCGACATTTTTCACTTTCAGAATCAGCTCAATGATCTACAAAGCAATTTCGTTTTTGCGGTAATTTGAAGAAATTGTTTTCAAGTTAAAAAGCTTTTTAAAAGGTTATTCAAAGGCCTCTTTTAAAAGATATTCAGTTAAACAGCCTTTAAAAAGCCTCTTTTAAAAGATATTCAGTTAAATAACCTTTTAAGAAACTGTTTTCAAGTTAAAAACCTTTTTAAAAGGCTATTTAACTTTTAACTAAAGCCTCTTTTAAAAGATATTCAGTTAAATAACCTTTTAAGAAACTCTTTTAAGATATTCTGTTACAAAAAACCAAAGAACAAATCAATTTTTCAACTTTTTAGACTCCAAAAGCTCCAGCGAGAGTTCGAACAGCAACAAATGTTAACTCAAGACTGATTTGTGAGGTAAGATTTGTTTAGGATTGATTTGTTCAAGACTGATTTGTCTAGTTACTCTATTATAAGGCTCTAGATGAATAGAAACAATTTCTCAATAAGATTTTTTTCTAGAAAACAGCAATTAAAGCTTTTAGCTCTGTAATCGAGCTTATTCCGTGCTTGGCAATCCGTACAACACTTTTCGACACATCGAATACACACATATGGATATGAAAGCTTATGGGTGCTCGATGTGTGATTTTCAGGTTTGAAAAGCTTTGGACTAATCGAAGAATCGAAGAATCGAAGAATTTCTGGTTTTTAGAACCCGGAAAAGCCGCGTATAGAAGCTCACTTGAAAATGGCACACAATGGAAATGGCACAATCGTTGATCAACAGTTTGTTTTTTAAATCAAAAAACAAACCTAACCTTTTGATCATTTAGAAATCCTGAATTTGTATTGAAAGTCACTGAGCTGGCGAAAGCTTGTTTCCCATCATTAAGCGATTATTTTGAAGTGGCGAAGAAAAATCGAATCGAGAAATATATGAGAGCAAAAGCTGGCGATGAGAGACCGATGAGGAGGGTGAGGGCGAGGGTGAAAACAATATTGTAAACGATTGTAATCACTAGTTTTTTTTGTTCCTATTTCTAGCTTTAAAATTGGAAATTTTATTGTAAAAATGGTTATTTAATCTCGAAATTCTTCAGGCTAACCCATTCTCGCCAAAAGTCGCCTCAAGCCAAAGCGATTCGTCCATTGATCCAAATCTACAGAAATTATTCGCCCAAGATTCGGAATTCGATTTCGGAGAGACATCCAGGGATTCAAATGATTTCATTTCACCACAAATGGAAGAGTTTTTCTGTGAGGTTTGTGGGAAAAGTGTAAGATTTCTAGGAATTCTAGGACTTCTAGGAATTCTAGAACTTCTAGGGATTCTAGGACTTCTAGGGATTCTAGGAATTCTAGAACTTCTAGGACTTCTAGGGGTTCTAGGACTTCTAGGACTTCTAGGACTTCTAGGACTTCTAGGAATTCTAGAAACTCTAAGAGTCCTCTAGGAATCCTGGGAATCCTAGGCGTTCTAGGATGATTCTAGGGACTCTAGGAGTTCTAGAAACTCTAGGAAAACAAGTACTAGACTTCCAGTACTAGAACAAATACTAGAGTACAAAGAAAACAAGTACTAGATCTCCTTTGAGCAGGCTAAACTCTTAGTTACCAACACAGCAAAAAAACATTTCAGATCTGTCAAAACGTTTTCTTTTTCCCAAAAGAGCGTGTGTGTGCGGCGGCTGCAAAACACGCTGCTCAACATATCAAATCGAAAAGAGTGATTTTTATGGAAATCTATCTAGATAATAGCTTTATATCTTGATCTAGATCTAGAAATTTGAATTCTAAATCAATTTTCAGTACTCTTGTTCCTCGTGCTCGTTTCTCTCACGCAGAAAAAGCGCTTTCCACCCGCACATCCGAGAGATGCATCAAGGAAACGCGAAAATGATTGATAAAATGTAATTTTTTTGAGAGGCTTTATCTAGATTACAATTATCTAGATTATCTAGATAATTGTTTATCTAAATTATCTAGCTTTTAATATTAAAAGCTTAGGAATCCAACACTTTTCACTGAATTGAACAACACTGCTCGGAAATGTTTCCCTGAATTGGGGAAAAAGCTTGAGAGATGCGCGGCTGATGGAACTTTTCACGGGAAAGCTAATCAGGTTTTTCAATTTGCATATAACGATTAGAGTAATGGCTATTAGAAAGATCATTCGATGAGATACGCTCGAATGGATTGGGAAGATTCGGATGACGATGAGGAAATGGTGGAAAGAGTTGGGCAACCATTGTGCCAAGTGAGAAGAGGGTTTTTTCAAAATTGTCATCTTTCAGATATGCGAAAAACGATCACTGACAAGTAAACCGTCAATTCTTTTCGACCATGCGATTTCTCATTGTAAAGAGAAGCGATTCCAATGTACAGGTGGATTTTTGAAAGAGATCTAGATCAGATTGGATCTAGATCAGGTCTAGATCAGATCTTGGTTCTTATCAAACCTTGATCCTCTAGCTAACTCTAGCTTGATCCTCTAGCTACCTCTAGCTTGATCTTCTAGCTAACTCTAGCTTGATCCTCTAGCTAACTCTAGCTTGATCTTCTAGCTACCTCTAGCTTGATCCTCTAGCTACCTATAGCTTAATCCTCTAGCTAACTTCTTTTCAGAAAACAATCAGCTTCTAGACTTTCCCAACATTTTTGATACAAAATACTAGATTTCCTCTATCATTTGACACCAAAGCTCAAACTGTAGCATAGAATGAGACGCTCAAAGTTAGACTACGCGATTGGACTACCCATTATGCGCTTTCTATTAGACTTAGAATGAATCTTTTTTCCAGAATGTCCTCAATCTTTCTCAAATTTCTCCGATTTCGATGTTCATCCACATCAAAACAATACCGATAATCTGTAAGATAATCTGTTTTTTTGAAAACTTTCTTCTTTATTCTTTTCAGAACAAAACGATTGAGTTTAAAATGGTTGGAGAAAGCGATGGAATGTTTTTCAGAGAATAAAGTGTCAATTAAAGAGTTCTACGATCGAAAATATACCGAAGAGAATATAATGGTAAAGAAAAGAAAAAATAATAATGCTAATTCCAAAATAAATCTCAGATAATGGTGGGAAATTTTGATGAGAATGGATCACGATCTTCAAATGATGGGGAAATTTTGCCTGGAGTCGCCAAGTGTGAGGTGAAGTCTACTTTTGCTCAATATTTAACAATCTTTATATCAATCTCAATCAATCTCAATCAATTTCAAACAATTTCAAGCACTTTCAATCAATTTCAATCAATTTCAATCAATTTCAATCAATTTCCAGAATTGCTCTACTGAAGTAAACCTTTTAAAGGGTGTTTCGAGTTTTTTCAGTCATGCAGCCACTCATCTCCTCACAATGCAATACAAGTGCTCTGGTGAGGAAGAAGATTTAAGAATATATATGAAAATCTATGAAAACCGATGAGAATCTATGAAAATCGAAGAAAATCTAAGGAAATCTAAGGAAATCTAAGAAAATCTATGAAAATCTATGAAAATCTAAGGAAATCTATGAAAATCTAAGAAAATCTAAGAAAATCTAAGGAAATCTAAGAAAATCTAAGGAAATCTAAGAAAATCTAAGAAAATTCCCTATTTAATATAGGATTCAAGAAACTAGATGAATTGAGAAGATTTTAGAATGTGATTGCTCAAAGACTGATAAAGAAACGATGGTGAATCACATTCAAAGTGAGCACAATGGATGCGGAGAGCCGATTGATGCTATGTAAGTGAAAGAATTCTATCAAACATCTATTAAAAACTATTAAAAACTATTAAAATCTATTAAAAACTATTAAAAATCTAGTAAAAACTATTAAAAACTATCAAAAATCTATTAAAATCTATAAAAATCTATCAAAAATCTATAAAAATCTATCAAAAATCTATTAAAAACTATTAAAAACTATTAAAAATCTATTAAAATCTATAAAAATCTATCAAAAATCTATAAAATCTATAAAAATCTATAAAAACTCTATTAAAAATCCTATAAACCTTTTATAAATCCAGAAAAACATCTCAAAATCATAGATTTCTTAAGTAAAATTTCAATTTTCGGTAAAAATCTTTAAGCTCTTTAATCTTTTTAAACTTTTGAATCTCTTTAATCTCTTTTGCTCTAAACTGGGCCAAAAATAGTGAAATATTGCTTGAATTTTAACCAAAAATTATTAAATTGTTAACAATTGTTTAAAATAATAGCAGAATACAGGGAATGAATGAAATTTCAGTGATGATGATGAATCGTTGGAAGAAACAGCGAAGAAATGTTTCCCGAAATATCAAAATTTAATTGAAACGACTGCGCTGAGGAAAAGGATGAGAATGGGAACGAATGTAGGACTTGGACTTTAAAGGAACTATAAAGGAGCTTTAAAGGAAGCAGATAGGGACTATAAAGGAACTATAAAGGAATTATAAAGGAACTATAAAGGAACTATAAAGGAACTTTAAAGGAAGCAAATAGGAACTTTAAAGGAACCAAATAGGAACCATAAAGGAACTATAAAGGAACTATAAAGGAAGCAAATAGGAACTATAAAGGAACTATAAAGGAACTTTAAAGGAACCAAATAGGAACCATAAAGAAACTATAAAGGAACTTTAAAGGAACTTTAAAGGAACTATAAAGGAACTATAAAGGAACTTTAAAGGAAGCAAATAGGAACTTTAAAGGAACCAAATAGGAACTTTAAAGGAACTATAAAGGAACTTTAAAGGAACCAAATAGGAACCATAAAGGAACTATAAAGGAACTTTAAAGGAAGCAAATAGGAACTATAAAGGAACTATAAATACTAATTTTCGTTTGTTTTTCTTCAGGAAGATGATCAGGATAAAGCACCGATGGAATTGTGCCGTGTTTGTGGGAATTCGATTCGTCCAAGCACAAATCCAAAACTACAAGTCACTGAGCACGGTTTTCTCAATCATGTTCGAACACATTTAGAGAAAAAACAATATTGTTGCTCGAGTGAGTTGCCAAAATAAAAGCTTTATAAGCTTATAAGCTTTTCTATAGCTTATAAGCTATCTAAATAATTCTATCTAAGCTATAGCTTCTTCTAAAGCTTCCATTTCCAGTTTGTGGCATGGAAATTGCGTTGCGAACGAATTGCAGTAAACATGTGAACTCACAACATGGGAAGAAAGGACAAGTTGTCGATAGAATGTAAGTGAACATGTTACAATCATCTTATAACTTGTCTAACATTGATGCAACAGTTCTAGCAGTGTGTCAGGGTGATACAACAGTTCTAGCAGTGTGTCAGGGTGATACAATAGTCCTAGCAGTGTGTCAGGGTGATACAACAGTTCTAGCAGTGTACCGTAGCTTAAAATGAGTAAATCTACTTCTTCAGTTAGATCATCTACCTCTGTAGATTACAGTAACTGATGTAAAACTGGAAAACACGAAATTTTAGAATAATCTATTAGGTACCACGGAAAATAACTGCCTTTTTCTTAAGAATTTTCAATTGCAAAATTTTTTTGATTAAAAAACAATGAAATAAAGTGATAAAGAAACGATGAATCACATTCAAAGTGAGCACAATTGATGCGGAGAGCCGATTGATGCTATGTAAGTGAAAGAATTCTATTAAAAATCTAACAACAACCGTTAGAATCAATACAATTTTGCCAAAGTAGCCAGTAGCCAGTTTTTCGATCCCTGCAGCAAAAAAAATCAGGTTTTCTAGAAGTGATGAAGTCTTCGATAGCATTTTTCACCTCTGTCTCGTCCTTAAAAATTTTTTCTACGATGTAACGATCGAAATGCTTGAAAAAATGATAATCTGTTAGAGAAAGATTAGGTCAATACAGTGGATGAGGAAGATCTCCAGGATGAGGATGAGGAAGATCTCCAAGATGAGGATGAGGAAGAACTCCAGGATGTGGACGAGGAAGATCTCTAGGATGTGGATGAGGAAGATCTCCAGGATGTGGACGAGGAAGATCTCTAGGATGTGGATGAGGAAGATCTCCAGGATGTGGACGAGGAAGATCTCTAGGATGTGGATGAGGAAGATCTCCAGGATGAGGATGAGGAAGATCTCCAAGATGTGGACGAGGAAGATCTCTAAGATGTGGACGAGGAAGATCTCTAAGATGTGGATGAGGAAGATCTCCAGGATGAGGATGAGGAAGAACTCCAGGATGAGGATGAGGAAGAACTTCAATCTCCGAACTTTGCAAGCAATTGAGGATCTTCAAAGATATAGATTGCGGCTAGCATTGTCCTGCAGCAATTGTCTCTTTCGATTGACCAAAGACATTGACCATTCCTCAATTTTGAATGCATTTCTTCAATTTGATCAATATAAATGCCTGAATTTATACTTTTTCCCGTTTTAAGCAAAGTTTAATGAATGACACCTTTTTTATACCACCAAACAGAGAGCATCACTTCTTTTGGATGAAGAGCGGGCTTTGGAAATGAATGAGATGCTTCTCCTTTGTCTAGCCACTCCAAATTTCGTTTTCGATTGCCATACAGCATCCACTTTTCATTGCACGTGATCAGCCGGGCCAAAGAAAGCTGTTTTTCCGAGATTTCAACGAAGAAGCAGCAAGAAAGCGTGTAAACTTCTGATCCATTCAATTGTCCAATTGATGAGGTATCCACTTCTCCAATCTTTTAACCTTTCCGATATCTTTCAAGTGATCACTTATGATCGAAATCCCTACATTGAAGTGTTTTACTAGTTCTGGCTCCGTAGTCCGCGGATTGGCTTCGACAACTTGTCTTAAATCATCATCATCAATAAGTCTTTGGCGGTCGCGACCCTCCTAGTCATCAAGATCCTCGTCTCCTTCCCGGAATCGTTTGAACCAAGCTTGAGCGGTCCTAACAGAAGTAGCCTTATGACTAAATGTACAATTGGTGTTTTCGGCCGCAACTCTTGCACTATAACCAAGCTTGAACTCATACAAAAATCATCCAAATTTGTCATTTGTCTATTCTCCTTAAGTCGAGCTCCTAAAATTAATCATTGTTTAGATAAACAAAATCTTTACGGCATGACAAAGAAAAGCTATCAACTGTTAAAAAATTCGAAAGGAATTCGTACTGAAAAAAACACAGAAACAAGGCCGAAAATAATTGATATCAAAAGCAGTTATTTTCCTTAGTACCTAATAACATCTTATTATAAGTACAGGCAGCAGCTTAGCTATTTACTGAAAGGAAATGTCGATTCGTCTTTACAGTAAATTAGTATAATTCACATTGTTACAGGGACGAAGAATTCATCGATCTTTTGGTGAATTCCTCCAAGAAATGTTTCCCCATGCACGCAAAACTCTTCGATAATTTCAAAGAAAGAATGCTTCGTGGATTCGCCGGTGATCAACAAATGAGAAATTCACAGGCACGTTCTTCAAACCAAGCCAAAATCCATCCATCTTTGTCTTATTATCTTAAAGAAAATTCCAGGATGGAGACTCATTCGAGCAAATGGCTTTAAGATACGAAATGGAAAATCAAATGCTCCAAGGATTTATCAAACAAGAGCCACAAGACTACGGTAAGGTTAAAGGCGGATTTTTTGTGCTCATCCACTTTTCTCTAATCTAGAAATGAGCTCCGGCTACACTCGATCACCATCGAATTCCTGGCCAACTCCAATGGATCCACACCCAAGTCAACTCCATCAAATGGCTCACCACTTCACGAATGAAGAGAGTTTTGTACAACAGGTAAATCCAATATAATTTCCAGAGTCAAGACCAATTTTCCACTTTTCCAGCGTCCCAGTGAAATCGAAACACTCAGAATACAGCTGAAAGAAAGAAATTCCGAGATAAGACGATTGTTTTTGGCTTTAGATGAAGCGCAGAAGGTTTGAAATGCAAAAAAATCAATCTTAATCTCCAAAGATTAACTTCTTAATCTTAATCTTTCTAGATCTCTGCTCAAAAACCGAATACAGAAGAATTAGAAGCATTAAAAGCTCAATTAAAAGCATCACAAATGAGAGAAAATGAGCAGAAAAGAGAGATTGATCAGCTGAGAAATCAGAAGGCAAAGGTGAGTGTGGATTGTGGTAATTGATTAGTAATTGATCTAAAATGCTTAATTCTATCAGATTATTATATAATAATTAACTATATCATCGTTATAACGTCATTACACCATTGTAAAATCTCATAAGAGTACCAGCTTTTAGCATTTTTATGCTTTTATGCTCATTTTTAGCTCTACGAAATGATCGGCAAGAATCAAGAGGATTTAGAGGCAAGTCGAGAAGAGGTTTGTATCGAAAGAATCTTTAAAATAACTCTCTAGAATCATTTCTTATCTGAAATACGTCTAAAAATTGAATTCTTCAGATCACTCGTCTTCAGCGACTCGTCGAACAACCCCGCTCCAGTCGAACTCATCCAGTTTAAACAATTTTTCAATGGTACTTGTCGGTTATCCACAGAGACTCAATTCGGTTAAGCTGACAGCTGACAGCTGAAGAAGCTGACAACTTTTGAGGGGTGATTGTTCAATGATTGTTCAGTTCAGTGATTGTTCAGTTAAGTAGAGTGCTTGTCTGAAGTGATTAGTCGATCAGTCGAACGAAAATCGATAACCGAGAAGACTCGAGGGAAGATTAACCGAGATGAGTCTTTGTGGATGTATAACCGATATCTAAATACCGTATTTTCTCTAATAGTAGTGCAGCCCGGCTAGAGTTGATGACTATTTGACGGTTTCCCGGTTTTTAAGCTTTCACAGAAGCTCAACACTCAAATCCCCCACTAGATCAGCTTTGATTGTTGTCATTGTCATTGTCAGCTACATTTTCCGACCCCACATCGATAGGTTCTGATAAGCGGTTCTCGAGATTTCGAGGAATTTAGGCGACGCTCAGGGTGCACAACTATTAGAGAAAATACGGTCACCAACAAGTACCTAATTTTTTTTGATTCCAACACTTTTGTGCCTCTAATCTTATCAAAAAAAAATGATCTGTGCTTTTCTGTGCTTTAATTTTGTTATGCCAAAATCAACATTTTCATACTTAACATCATCATTTCCTCTTAGATCACTTTATCTTTTTATTTACTTATTATATGATAAAATTTATATACAAAAGAAAGTTTTTATCAAAGAAAAAAAGGCTATCAATCGGTTTTACATGACGGAGAACACGGAAGAAAAACTAAAAATGAAAAGAATTGTAGAAAAAGTGCAAAATCGAATATCTTTAGATATTTTAATGAAACCTTACAATGTAGGCAGAAGAATTTTGCAAATTCACGAACAATATTTCATTTTTCTTCAGATTTTGTGCGTTAGAAAGGGTATTTTTTTAGAATCAATTGATTTTACCTTGAGATTGTTTTGATAAGTTGAAAATTCGTCGAATTCACTCCATCACTTGAGCGAGAGATTGTTAAACGGACGAGGGAATCGGACTGGAAATTTTCGACCTAGATCTACAGCCTGCCAGACTACAGCCTGCCAGACTACAGCCTGCCAGACTACAGCCTGCCAGACTACAGCCTGCCAGACTACAGCCTGCCAGACTACAGCCTGCCAGACTACAGCCTGCCAGACTACAGCCTGCCAGACTACAGCCTGCCAGACTACAGCCTGCCAGACTACAGCCTGCCAGACTACAGCCTGCCAGACTACAGCCTGCCAGACTACAGCCTGCTAGACTACAGCCTGCTAGACTACAGCCTGCTAGACTACAGCCTGCTAAATGTAGATTTCTTTCTTTTTTTCAGGAATTTTGAGAAAATGCGCTTAAAAAAGAATCTTCGCAAAGCGATTCTTCGTCTTCAAAATCAAGGGAAAAAAAAGTGATGGAGATCTCGTGCGTTTTGCAAGAGCCAAAACAAAGAGACATTTGTGAACCAAAACAAAAAGCCAATCTTGATCTTGATTCCTTATTGTTAAAAGAATTCCCGAGTTCAACGGTCACTTTAATCACAAACCTCTTCCTCTTCTCCATTCAATACTTTCAAATTCATTTCCCCAATCTCTTCCTCATAATCGTATCGATTTTCCCAACTCTCATCAATCCATAAAAGATGATAATGATCACGGATTCGCTCGAATTTCCATTTTAAACCATTAGAAATGATGTCACTAGAATTTCAGCTTATAAATATAAATCTAGATAAAGTTCCTACCAAATTTCTTCCAAAACCATCTTTTCAATTCGCATAGAAACTTTGGAAATATTGATTATCTCATCGTTTTCATAAGACACAAGAAGTTTTCGTAATGTTATTGCATCAATTGGGTCTAATAAGTGAATCGGTTCATAAAATTCTGTTGGTAACGACGTTGGATCGAAGGGGATTTTCGTGGGAAGGGAGAAGATCGATGTGTAGTCGGAGACACGTGAGAAATAGATTAGACCATGATTTTTAAGGGATGGAAGAAAGGTGTACACCCAGGAGATTTCCGTGTATCTGAAATGGGATTTGTAGAAAGTTTTTGTACTTTCTAGATCGGAACTGTTTTATCTTGGGATCCAGTTGTTTAAACAGTTGTTTAAAGAGTTTTTCGGAAAGATTAAGACGAAAAATGTTGCAGTACTTCTGCTCTGCTTTTTACCTTAAACAATCTCTCTTTCTCTTTCTCTTCTTTCTCTTTATCTTCTTTCTCTTTCTCTTTCTTCTCCTTCCTTTCCCCCCCCTTCCCTCTCTTCTTTCTCTTTATCTTCATTCTCTTCTTTCTCTTTCTCTTCTTTTTTTAAAACGCGAAAAAAGGTCGCATTTGTCTCCTCTCCCAAAAACTTACAATCTAACTGCTGAATCGGTATATGTGCTGCTGATTAGTACTGTTTCCACAGAAATTGTTGAGAAAAACTCGATCAATGGTTGAATTATCTAGAAAGTGATTGGATTTTTAAATTTAAAAAAAAAAATTAAAACTTTAAACATGAAAATCTTTCTTCTCACCTTTGCATTATTCATTTGTATCAAAAGAATTTGAATATTTGCATAGAATAACCATTTCCATTTGTTTCTTTCCTCAAAATCGATCACTTGAACTTCATTTTTTTCGATATAGAATATCGACACGGTTTTATTGGGCAACTAAATCAGTTTTGCAGTAACTAAATCAGTTTTGCAGTAACTAAATCAGTTTTAAGTAACTTTTTAAATCAATTTAACAACTAAAATCAAAGTCTTTAAGATTATTTAACTAAAGAATAACTTAACTAAAGAATAATTTAAATAAAATAAATGAATTTGAATAATTTCAACAAGAGAATTTACTGAATTTACTGAATTAAACTCAAAAAAACCCTTTTGTTTTCCATTTTTAAACCCAAAACTCACTTTTTTTAGATAACAAATCGGGATTTTTGGAAACGAATCGCGTAAATGTTTATGATTTTCGATGATCAATTTGTTAAAAGCCTTCGAAAGTAATAAAATCTTCTCGAAAATCTCTCTTGGCGGCAGAAATTTGACGATTTCTAGCAATAATTCATTCGGAAGTCTTTTTAAATCTAAAATTTTCACATTAAATCGAATTAAAATTGAAAAATTCATATACCAAATGAAGATTTGAGGGAAGAAACGGAATTTTTTGTGTTTTCTAGCATTTTTTTTTGAATAGAATTACTTCTTGCGTACTTTTTGACCTCTTTTACACAACGTTATCAAAAGATCGTAGTTTTTTAGTGAAAGAGAAGGGTTTTCTTTGCGGGACTCAATAGAAAGATCTAATGTTTAATAGCTAATGTTTGATAGCTAATATCTAATAGCTAATATCTAATAGCTAATATCTGATAGCTAATATCTGATAGCTAATATCTGATAGCTAATATCTAATAGCTAATATCTAATAGCTAATATCTAATAGCTAATGTCTAATAGCGAATATCTAATAGCTAATATCCAATAGCTAATATCTGATAGCTAATATCTGATAGCTAATATCTAATAGCTAATATCTGATAGCTAATATCTGATAGCTAATATCTGATAGCTAATATCTAATAGCTAATATCTAATAGCTAATGTCTAATAGCGAATATCTAATAGCTAATATCCAATAGCTAATATCTAATAGCTAATATCTAATAGCTAATATCTAAAGATTTAAAACCTAATATAAAAACTATAGTTAGTTTTTCTACTAGGGTTTTTTTCGGTTAGACTAAGCCAGATTAGGCTTCCTGTTAGCTCTTGGCTTGCGTTTTATCTAACAGGAAACAGGCTAACAGGTACCTGCGTTTTATCTAACCTAGTTTACTATAAGTTTAATCTACAATAAATTCATGAACTGAGTCTAGATCTGCCTTTATAACCTTGCCTTGCCTAGTTGACTGGTTTCTTTCGTCTTCCAGACTTTGCTGATTGATTTCTTGCTTGGTTGAGGCTAGCTTGGCCTTGCCAGGACTGAATCCTTACCAGGACTGAATCCTTACCAAATTTTACAGCTTATCCCAGAAAACTAGTCTGCTTTCACTGACTAACAAGCGGCGAAAGATCGAAGTTCGGTTCGTAGAAAGAAATCTCGGTTGATCATCGATTGATTGTAAACCAAAGAGGTTAAAAGACATAAAATCCCTTTCCGCAAAACATTTAAAGACATTTACAGACAATTTTAAAGAAAGAACAACTTCTTGGTTTGCTTTTCTTGCAGAAATGACTTGGAAATATGATTTGAAATCTACTTTTGAGTATTTAGAGCACTGTTTAACCCAAAATAAGATATGTTTTTTTGAAATTCTTTTATAACACAAATAATCTCTTTGAAAAGTAAAGAAAATTCAATTCAAAGCATCCAAAATTTGTTCTCTGATTGTCACTCGATCACCAAGATCCGTCCACGAGAGAGCGCAATTTGGAGAAGCTAATGGAATCAACGGAGCACTCTCCAACCCAACACCGACGACAATAACTGATCCAAATTGTTGTAACTGTTTCGCAAAAGGTTTTGCTGAGTCAATGTTGTCAGGATTTCTGAAAATTAAGCTATACTTTTTATTTCGGCCAACTTTACTGAAGCCGGAAAGGGAAAAAGGAGAATTTTCGATTTTGATTGATTTTGATTGATTTTGAAGCTTTTAACTTACGCTTTTGATGTGAAAAGAACGATTTTCTGCAGATTATATGGAGGAAGGGGTTTAAAATTCTCTAGTGTCGATTTGAAAGCTCTAAACTGATACTTAGTTTTGAAAAAAAACTTTCAATTAAACCCGGTCAAATTGGCTGAATTTCCTTCTTGTACAATCACCGTCACATAGTTGATAAAAGCATTGTAGTTTCTGATTTCTCCATAATTTCCCTCAACATTGTAATCGCTTTCTTCTGTGCCAAATGTTGAGATTGCCATTCGATCAAAGTGATTCCATTCTCGAGCCAAATTTTCGATTAGTAAAGCTTGGATTGGGAACTGGAAATGAAGCTTGGATTGGGAACTGGATTGGGAACTGGATTGGGAACTGGATTGGGAACTGGATTGGGAACTGGATTGGGAACTGGATTGGGAACTGGATTGGGAACTGGATTGGGAACTGGATTGGGAACTGGATTGGGAACTGGATTGGGAACTGGAAATGAAAGAGTTTAATTGGGCGTTAAACTGGACTGGATTGCAATGCGTTAGACTGGATTGGAGTGCGTTAGACTGGATTGCAGTGCGTTAGACTGGATTGGAGTGCGTTAGACTGGATTGCAGTGCGTTAGACTGGATTACAGTGCGCTAGACTGGGTTGCAGTGGGTTAGACTGGATTGGAGTGCGTTAGACTGGATTGCAGTGCATCAAAGTAACCAAAATCTCACTTACATATTGATTTTGTGTTGTTTTATCGATAACCACAACAATATTAGCAGCAGATGGATTACAATCCGGGCAAATTAAAGGCGTTGTTGCTGAAATTAATTGATTAATTGCTAAAATTGATTGATAAACATATAAAAAAAGGTTTTAAACTCTATACAGCTTTGACAAGATTGTTCAGTAAATCAAATTGTTCAGTAAATCAACTTTTAACAAGTAAAGTAGCCGTATTTGAAATAAACAACAGCTCTTACTTGGTGTTGTCGTCGTCAAAGATCGCGTTGAAGTCGAATCCAGTAACAAATAACCTGAAAGCTCATTTTCCTATCAAAATTTCGAAAATTACCCAATGTCGCGTCGATCAGCTTCACAATTTCGCCAATATCACTCAAATCAAATTCCAAATCGTACATTGGACTTGCTAACGGACTCAATTTTCTTCCATCAACTCCGACTGCAACTACAGTCATTGAACCGTTTTGTTGAAGGAGATTCGAGTAAGGAATCGCTTTTGTGATATCATCAACATTTCTATAAGCACCTGGGTTTTCTGAAATTTTCAATTTCCAAACTCTGATGCCGAGAAGAGAACGACTCGTTGTAGCCAGAAGGGATGTTTTGTGTAGGAAAGAGTTGCACGTCTCAGTGAGCTGAATTTCACATTTTAGATAAATTCAAATAGTTTACTTTGATCTTAAAATCACACAAAGAACACTAGCCAACAATTTTTGAAAAAAAGCAAAAGAAAAATCCAAAGCCGGCATCGAACCCGGGAGGTCCCGTTCTAGAAACGAGCGCTCTACCACTCGGACACAGCTACACCAAGACAAGGCCGCAGGGAAGCCTTTAAGACCCAAACTAGTCAGCAATGAAAAAAAAGCACACCCCAATCGGGAGCGAACCCGTGAGGTTTGGCTTTGGAAACGAGTGCTGTACTCGTTGTGCTGTACTCTTTGGAAACGAGTGCTGTACTTCTGCACATCTGCATCGAATCGCTTCAGCAAGGAGATCGTTAAGACCCAAAAGACCAAATTTTCCTAACAGAGTCCTAACAAAACTTTAGACGCCTATAGCTTCTGACAGATTGTCATTTAGCAAAAACGGAATATATATTCGGAATCAGCAGAAAATTCTGCGTCGAACGGTGTAGGTCGTATGGGATTTGGCTGGCTTAATCAATTAGTTTCAACATTCAGTCCTTCAGAAGAGATGTGCTTGCAATTTCCACCAAGAAAATCTTCTCGAAACCATTAAAATTCTTACCTTGTCAAATTCGAGATCACTGGTAATTGAACGATTGAGGAGAAGAAGGTATTAAAGTCCTCCAAACTATGCATATCTCCATAATCAGCTACTTGAATGAGAGTTTCGGCGACTTGTGCAATGGCAACTCTTTCAAAATGATTCCATGACTCAACCAATTGTCGAACGGCTGACATTTGTTGAACGTACTGGAAAGATTCATATGTTTGGCTGTTTAGCTAAACAGCTAAAGCTGTTTAGCTTTAGAAACAACTCGTGTTCAATAATCTTTAAAATTACAGCAAGTTTTTGTAGAAACAAACCCCTTTATTATCTTGCGAAACGTCAAGCAGAAGAAGAATCGATTCAGCTGGCGGGGTACAGTCTGAGCATTCTGCGGCTGAAATAAACAATTTACTTTTGCCGTTACGGCCTCTTAATGGTCGCTATCAAGAGAATCATCAGATTGGCAGGGAATTGAACCCGCGAGCAAAATGGGGCAATGGCTTTAGAGTTTAGCTTTAGAGCACCGCTGCTTTGCCCACCCTTAGCCGTTGCGGCCTCTTATAAGTCACCAAACCTGTTGTTGTCGGTTTTCTTGTTGGTAAAGTGGTTGTAATTGGCATAGATCCTTCTAAAATATCTTAAACTTTAAAAAAATCAATCCACTAACGCAATGCTTCATCAATCGTTTCCGCAATCGAATACCAATCATTCAAATCCGTCCACGAAATGACATCATTTGCAATGGAATAAAATGGAGACATCGATTTCATACCGATTCCAACAACAATTAGCGAGCCTTTTCCTCTCAATCTTTCAGCAAATGGCTCAGATAAATCAATGTCAGCACGATTACTGTAAAAAGAATCGATTTTAATGATCTAGAACAATCTAGAACAATCTAAAACAATCTAGAACAATCTAGAACAATCTAGAACAATCTAGAACAATCTAGAACAATCTAGAACAATCTAGAACAATCTAGAACAATCTAGAACAATCTAGAACAATCTAGAACAAGCTAGAACAATCTAGAACAATCTAGAACAATCTAGAACAATCTAGAACAATCTAAAACAATCTAGAACAATCTAAAACAATCTAGAACAATCTAAAACAATCTAGAACAATCTAGATGGCTTCCAGATTGTTGAAAAGAACTGAAGCAAAACTTTGAATAGAATATTCAACAATTCTTTGTACGGTTTCTTTGTACTATAGAATTGAAGAAAACTCACGCTGAAGCCGTAAAAAGCACAGTTTTCTGTTCTCCGTACATAGCAATCAACTCATTATCAGCCACCAATTGCATCACACTAAATCGTTTTTCAAATTCATAACCAAATTTCCCCCATACCCAGTCATATTCTCTTGATTCCCATTGCTCTTTAAACTATCGATTTTCTTTTGATAATCATTTTCTTCCATCATTTCTCCATAATTTGCTATTATTTCAGCAGTCTCTGCATAAAATGCGATTGAAATTCTCTCAAAATGATTCCAATTCAAGCCGATTGTTTTAGCGATTAAGATCATATTTTGAAACTGCAAAATGTTAATTGATTGAAATTTAAAATGAATTGAATACAGCGGGGTTTCCTAATGAGGAATCGAATAAGAGAGCGATGCTGGAGAGCTTTGGATTACAGTCAGAACATTGATATGCTGAAAATTTAATGGAGTTAGTCATAGACGATAGTTAGTCACTCAAATCTATTAAAATAAATTCGATTTTATACTCAAGTTCAACTAGAAGTTTTATTGATTCAATCTAATCAAGCAAGAATTCAATTTTCACCTGTTGTAGTTGATGCTTTTGTCGTTTTGATCGTACTTGTTGGTACTGTACTTGTTGGTACCGTACTTGCCGGTTTACCATCTGAATTTTGGTTTGACTTTAGCGTACATTTCATTCTCACTCAATATCCTGTCAATCTCATTCAATACATCGTCACTTTCATCAAGATTTGGCCAAGCAATCGCATGATTTCCGAGATAATACAATGGTTTCATTTCCTCATTTTTAAACCCAATACCGATCACGATCACATCACCAATTTGCATCAATTTCTCAGCAGCTTCTACAGCTGTATCCACGTCATTTGGAGAGCTTAAAGTTGGATTGTCAAGGAGCGAGACGCGTATAAAAGGTCTCACAATGGTCCCGCCCCTTTTCCCATTAGCAATCTAACTTTAAGCTCAAGTATCTCGGTGTACAATCATCCAATTTAAATATTCTTGGTATCATTCGATGCGCCAAGTCTTTCTCTATCGATTGGCACCAAAACCATTTAAAGTGAACAACCCAACACCAAGAAATTTGAGCTTAAAGTTAGATTGCCAAAAACTTTGACAAACTTTGACGCCGTGAAGAAAACCACATTCTGTTGTCCATATTTTGACTGTGGTTTGACGAAAAGAGCAGCATTTAAAGCTCTAAAATGTTCTTTTCTTTTGAAATGTTCTTTTCTTTTGAATTCATCACTCACGCAGTCATATTCTCCTTTCCAGCTGTGGCGGTGATTTCACCAATGAAATCATTGAACTCTTCATACGTTTCGAGATCTTCATAGCCTGATAGAATCTCAGCCACTCCTCCATATCCAATCAATCCCACTCGATCCCAATGATTCCAATTAGAGCCGAGTCGTTGGACAAGGGATTTTTGAGGAGAAAGCTAAACTCAGTCAATCAATCAGAAGCCAGATAGAGTACAGAATTCCAACTCACTCCCGAATTTTCGATTGATGAATCAAGAATGAAAATCACGTTAGACAAGGCTGGATTACAATCATCACATTGGAAAGCTAAAAAATTGCAATTTTTACAGAATTTTGTAACAAACGAGTCGTTTTCTGGGTCGTTCGAGTTGTTGTTGTGGCTTTTGTAGGCATTGTTCCATCTAAACTCTGGAATTAATAAAATTCTCCTTGACAAACGTAAAGCTGAGTCGATTAAACGTGAAATCTCCGTGATGTCCTCTAGATTCGGCCAAGGGAATACGTAATTCCCGAGGAATAGCAATGAGTCGATTTCCTCTTCTCTCATACCAACACCAACAACAATCACTGAGCCAAGACTTTGGAGAGTTTCAGCGAAAGGGATTGAAGCTGTGATATCATCACCGAAACTGAATTTTGCTCTGGATTTGGCTTTGGCTTTGGCTTGGCCTTACGCTGATGTGGTGAAGAAAACGACACGCTGAATTCCGTATTTTGTTGGTGGTGAGAAATCCAAAGCCGATTCAAAAGCACTAAAGTTTTAAAGGCTTAAAAGCCGAAAAGACGATCGGCTTTTGAGCGATCGAGAGATCTCACATTGTCATGTTTGTAGAATCAACAGCTCCGACAATTGTTTCATCAATGAAATACGAAAACGAATCAAATGATCCAAAATCTCCATATACTGCTTTCTGTTGTGAAGTGCTTGCATAACTCATTGCAGCCACTCGATCCCAATGATTCCAATTCAATGTAATCCCATGGGCAACCAGTTTTTGTTGATTTAACTTTAAAAGAATGATTTTTAGTCTTATTAGTCTTATCATGATTTTTATCTTACTGATAGATCCTGTTCAGATGTCAATGCAGAGTCAAAAATCCATAGAATACTTGCAGAACTGGGATTGCAATCATCACAATGAAAAGCTGAAAAGAAAGAATTAATACATTGAGTTGCAAAATGATATGAACACTCTCGATTTTTGACTTAAAATAAATAAAAATGAAAAACGGCGCTTAAATTCTAGTTTTATCGACAAAACTACGCACAAATACCGTTTACGAAATAATTGACTTTAAAAAACACAAACATTTAATCATTTTATTCTGCATCTGTTACAAAATGATAGTTTCTTTTTCATTTTTTTTACCTGTAATAACTGTAATACCTTTTTTTTTGCTTGTTCTATTTCTTTTTCAAAGTAATTTTTATTTTTTTAGGAAGATGGGCCGTGGAAAATCGCTTTCGCGCATCGAACAAATGAAAATTGCGATTTTGAAAGGAAGAAAGTTGTCAAAGCGGAAGATCGCAAAGAAAATGAAGCGCTCGCACCAAGTTGTCGCAAATTTCTTGAAGAACCCTTTCAATTATGGCAAGAAAAAGTCTCCGGGATGTCATCGAAAGCTCATGATCCGCTCGGCATTTTGGACGTCTGTTGCCGAATTCGATGATGTCGCTACAGGACGTCAAGACAAAAATTGGAGCTCCCGTTCAGAAAAGCACTCTTTCTCGAGCCATCAAGTGTATGCCATACATCAAAAGAGCAGTCATGAAGAAAGCACCAAAACTGAAGCCAATGCACAAAGAAAAAAGACGTCTTGGACTCGGGATCACATCACAATCGATTGGAAAAAAGTACATCTTTTGCCTTGAGTTGTTAACTATTTTTTTTGCTTTGTAGGTCATCTTCAGCGATGAGAAAAAATTTGTTTTGGATTGTCCAGACGACAATAAGTACTATTGGCACGATTTGAGAAAGGATCCAATGCTTTGTGCACGTCAAACCTTTGGAAGAGGATCACTGATGATATCGGGCACTTTCAGCGTAAATGTAAAAGAAAGATCATGAAGAAAGCACCAAAACTGAAGCCGGCACACAAAGAAAAAAGGATGTCTTGGGCTCGGGATCACATAACCATCAATTGGAAAAAAGTACACTTTTTTCCTTGAGGAGTTAACCAATTTTTTCTTTCTTTCTAGGTCTTCTTCAGCAATGAGAAAAAATTTAATTTGAATGGTCCAGACGGCAACAAGTACTATTGGCATGATTTGAGGAATGCTTTGTGGATGTCGAAACTTCGGAGGAGGATCACTGATGGTATGGGGCGCCTTCAATGTGGATGACGTTCTTGATTTAAGATTTGTACCTTGTCACATGGACTCGAACAATTACCAGGACGTCCTTGTGGATCAATTGCTTCCTTTCCTAGTACAAAACCGAGGGAAACACTATATTTTTCAACAGGATAATGCTTCAATTCATGTCAGTCAATCCAGCTTTCCTGGGACGTCACGACATCGATTTTCTCAAATGGCCTGCCTGCCCAATAGTAAACTTGTAGGGCATCCTCCTGAGGAGTATTTATGCTAATGAGAAAATGATTTCGTAATTCAAAAGAGCTATTTTGCAAGCTTGGACGTCAAGTTTACCACAAACGCTTTAAAAAAATTGATGAAAACTCGATGAAAAAGTGACTACTGGACGTCATCGAGAAAAAGGAGGGCCTCTATTGGTTATTAATGAATTTTTCGTTTCTGTTTTTCGTTTGTTTTAAGTTTATTTTCAGATTTATTGTTATTTTTTCTGTGGTCCTATCATTTTGCAATAGGTTTTGAATAAAGAAATCGTTATAATTTTGTTGCAATTTATTCAAATAACGTTAGAAACGCTGCTTTTTGCTTATTTTTGTATAAATTTCTAGAATTTTCTAGGATACAGCACAGTAGATTAGGTTTATTGAAAACAAAACCTGTTGTTGTTGGCGCTGTTGTAGTAGTTGGTCTAGTGGTTGGAAGTGGATCAACTAAAGATCGAATTTAACATTTTAATCTAATGTATTAACTCACTTAATGTTCTCATAATGAAATCGATGACCGGTCCACTTTCTGAGAAATCTGTCCAACTGTATGCAAAGCCAGGAGTGGCTAGTGGTTGAATGGGATTTGTGCCGATTCCAATAACTGTTACTGATCCAAGTGATTGGAGTTGTTGAGCCAGATCAACGGATTTGACAACATCGGAAGTGCTAAACTGTTCAATCTGGTTTACTCTACTCTAAAACCAAGCTAGTAACCCTTTCCCAAGTCTAACCTTGCATTCACAAAGATCACTGTCCTTTGTTGCCCATATTTCGTCATCGGTTTAAACCGAGGGTCATTGAGAGCCATTTTTAAAGCACTAAATAGCAATCACAGTAATTTATTTCTGAAAAAAACTAACTTCATCAAGTCAGCCGGTTTCGTTGATGGTTCAAGGGAATCGATTAAATTGGTAAACTCATAGAAACTCGTTTCTCCGTATTTCACTGCATCTTTTGTGAGAATCGTTTCAGCAAAACAGCCCAAAGCAACCCTTTCTGGTTCAGTCCATCCATTAATCAATCGAAGGAAAAGAGTCTCCATTTGACCGAACTAGAAGAAACTACTTTTCATGCTTAGGTAAAAGTACTGTATCGTACTGTAACCTGTAGCTTGTTTTTGATCTCGTTCCTTATCTAGTTTTCTTTTGCTATTGTGTAGCAATTCTTTTCCGGATCTATTAAGCTAACTTCATCTAATATCTCTTCAACTCATCTACCTTTCCTTCGACAATTAAATCACTTACCGCATGGTTATTCATTGATGAGTCAAGAAGGAAAAGAATACTTTCAGTAGGCGGGAAACAGTTCTGACAGTCTGTTGTTGCTAAAATTGGTAATTGTACTGTTGAAATTAATTATAAAACCTTTTATATGCGCCTCACCCCTTTTCCCATCAGCAATCTAACTTTAAGCTCAAATTTCTTCGTGTTAGGCTGTTCAATTTAAGTATTCTTGATATCATTCGATGCGTCAAGTCTTTCTCTGTCGATTGGCACCAAAACCATTTCAATTGAACAGCCCAACACCAAGAAATTTGGGCTTAAAGTTGGATTGCTATTGATAAAGGGGCCGGGGCCATTGTGGGACCTTTTATACGCCCTTTTGCCATTGGCATTGAACTTTTACCACTGAACAACCCAACACCAAGAAAAGCTCAAAATTAGATTGCTAATGGCAAAGGGGACGGGGCCATTGTGAGCCTTTTATACGCGCCCCGCCCCTTTTCCCATCCCGACTTTGAGCTCAAATTTCTTGGTGTTGGGTTGTTCAATTTAAATAGTTTTTATACCAATCGATAGAGAAAGACTTGGCGCATCTAATGATACAAAGAATACTGAAATTGAACAGCCAAACACCAAGAAATTTGAGCTTGAAGTTAGATTGCTAATGGGAAAAGGGGCAAGGCTGATCAGATGTTCGATAACCGTTGAGTTAACCGTTGAAACCATCAGATCTCAGATAACCGTTGAAATTTATGTCTGAAATGAATCCGACTGACTTGTGGTAGCTGGTACAGTTGTTGGCGGTGTTGTTGAAGACAGGAAAGTATCTGCAAAGGAAATTTTTCTCAGTAAACTAGCTAACTAATTAGAAAAAATGATCAATTTCAGATTTAAATTCAGCTTTGAATCCAGATTCAAATCTCCAAAACAAAACCGACTTTGAGCAGTGGTTTGCGGTGTTGTCAGAGTCGGGTTTCCACCTAAAAATGGATCAAAGGCTTAGGAAATATTATATAATCTTCTAAAATCTTCTAAAAGCTTTTAAAATCTTCTAAAATCTTCTAAAATCTTCTAAAAGCTTCTAAAAGCTTCTAAAATCATCTAAAAGCTTTTAAAAGATTCTAAAAGCTTCTAAAATCTTCTAAAAGCTTCTAAAATCTTCTAAGATCTTCTAAAATCTTCTAAAATCATCTAAAATAAGCTTTTAAAAGCTTCTAAAAGCTTCTAAAATCTATTAGTTTTCCATAAATTCGTATACCAATTGTGGAATCGATTCCCAAAATAATCTCATCAAATTGATCAGTGTCTAGCCAATGTAAAACAAAGTTTGGAGAAGCGATTTGATCCATTGATGTCGAATTATAGCCTAGAAAAAGATTAGAATTTCAAAAATTAATATATTTCATTATTTCTAATATAAATTTAAAGCTAATTACCAATTTGAACGACAGTCACTGATCCTTTTTGTTGGAGTTGTCGAGCGAATGGGATACTCTTTGTAATATCATCTGTATCAAGGCTGAAAAGGGGTTTTATATGTTAAATATGTTATTGATTAACTTATTGCGTTGTTCTGTATGTTATCAAGTTCTTCTCTTATCTCTTATTAACTTATTTAAACGAACTCTTCAGTGATGAATAGCACGACTCGTTGTGCGCCGAATTCCTCAAGTGGATAGATCGCGTTGGCTGCTTCTAGGGCACTAAAATTTCATGCAAATAATTTAGATACAATTTCTCTTTAGATAAATCCATTTGCCTCACTTTGCCAACTCACTTTGCCAAAGTTGTCACTCCAAAATGTCCGTGTACTCCAGATAGGCTATTCGTGAATTCCTCAAAACTCTTCATCTCTCCATATCCCATTATTTCCTCGAAAATCACATCGTAGAATTGACAAACAGCAATTCGCTCAAAATGATTCCAATTTGAGGCCATTTTTTGTATCATTAACGTCATTGAGTCTATCGCGAAATTGTCTTCATTAGCATCAAGAAGGAAAAGAATGTTTTCTTGTTGAGGATTGCAATCGGGACAGATGTTGGCTAAAGTTAAAGAAAGGAATATGGAGAATTCTTTGAATATATGTCGTAGCCGATTATGAATGAAATTTTTTGGTAAATCTTTCTAGTAGAGCAACCCTTTAATGTATGAGGACAATATTATATCATCCTGTAGCGAATTAAATTCTGCGTCGATTGGTACCAAATTTGTGAGTTTAGATTAAAAATTACCGGCGCTACAACGTTTCATTCAAAATCGGCGGGATCCCCGTAGCCGATTATGAATGAGTGGGGTCTAGGACTATGTATTTGGGTCTAGGAGCGTCCAATCATCAAGTATTTGGGTCTAGGAGCGTCTAGGAGCGTCCAACCATCAAGTATTTGGGTCTAGGAGCGTCTAGGAGCGTTCAATCATCAAGTATTTGGGTCTAGGGGCGTCTAGGAGCGTCCAACCATCAAGTATTTGGGTCTAGGAGCTCTAGGAGCGTTCAACACAAGTATTTGGGCGAGCGCCCGACGAACACATCAAGTATTTGGGTCTAGGGGCGCCCAACCACAATTATTAGTATCATTCAACGCAGAATCATTAATAATTATGTTAAATTTTTAAAATTGGAAAGATTTGATAAAAAGAAAAAAAATTAGAGCAAAAAAACTGTTTGTTCAAGGGGAAACTTTGAGGCCCCATAATTTTTTTTCTTTTTATCCAATCTTTCTAATTTTAAAAATTTAACATAATTATTAATGATTCTGCGTTGAATGATACTAAATAATTGATGGTTGGACGCTCCTAGACCCACTCATTCATAATCGGCTACGACATATAGATTAAATAACTATTAATCTACTGAATCCAATAATCTCACTTAACACAAATAAACCCATTCAAGTAATTAAATAACTGTTAGTCTACTTAATCCGAATCCAACAGCTTTGGCGAACTGTAGCCTCTTTTTAGAAGAGAATATCTACCTATCGTTGTCGTTGGTCGACCAGTTGGCCTTTGTCCACCCAATGTTGGATCAACAAAGTCAATCATTCCTTGAAAATCCTTTGTGTTCATCCATGAATACTCAAATCCATCTGTTCCCAGTTTTGCCAATTCAGCAGTTGTAATTCCCACGCCAACAACAGTCAATGATCCCATTGATTTCAGAGAATTCGCGAATGGAATTGCTGACGTGATATCAGCAAGATCACTAAAATATCAGCAAGATCATTGTTTTATGAATTGAACTTCATAAATCACCTAGATGACGCGAAAAGAACCGTTCTTTGAATGGGAAATGTGAGACGGGATGAGTAGAATTCGATGGCTTTTGAAAGAGCACTGAAATTCGATAGATTTTCGAGTTTAATATTAGTAAACTATAAAAAATAGGCTTTTCCGGCTTTAAAATACTTTTTACAAAACTAGATTTAATGAATTTTGGAATTTATTTTTTAGTTTCATGCTAGGCTATTCTTATTTCAGTTTTCCTTAAAGATTTCTTTTGTTTTGTTTCTAATTATCTATTATTTTTAAACTCGGACTTTCAAATATGGACAAAAAGTAAATTCAAACGAGCCCAAAAAAAAATACAGCCAAAAACATCAAGGCACTGTATCAGTTCACACTGCTCAAGTTTGATTCAAGTGATTTCACAAAAGAGATGAGAATCTCGAAGAAAAGGAGGGCCGAGGCCGCCCGCGACTACTTGGCAATGAGTATTTAAAGCGTTTTGTCGAAACTGATCCTCGGACTACGGAGCTGGAGCTTTACACGGAGCTGGAGCTTTACACGGAGCTGGAGCTTTACACGGAGCTGGAGCTTTACACGGAGCTGGAGCTTTACACGGAGCTGGAGATTTCTTTACGACTTAGTTGTTAGAGTGATGACAGTTAGCAATCATTTGAAAGAGATTGGCAAAGAAAAAAGCTTGAGAAATGGATTCCAGAATGATTGACAAAAATTTGCTCGATTTTTCGCTTCATCTTCTTTGAAGTTTCAAAACGAACGACTTTTTTTGGATCGATTGATAACGTGAGATGAAAAATGGGTTCTTTACGACAATCAGAAGCGAAATTCGGAATGTTTGGATAAGAGCGAAACTCTGATTTCTTTTCCAAAACTGGATCTCCACCCAAAGATGATCATGTTACAATACCATTACCGCATGGTCTCTTCTGCGTACTGTTTGCGTACTGTTTGCGTATCTATGTACGCATTAAATCAAACTATTTTACAGTAGTTAACAAGTTTTATAGCTTACCTAGCTGATCCAGCTTATCTAGCTTATCTAGCTGATCCAGCTTATCTAGCTTATCTAGCTTATCTAGCTTATCTAGATTACCATCAAGGCTACTATTCACTCACTTTGTAATATTCCTCGTGCCAGTGATCCGATTCAGATCACTGATCCTGTATTCAGCATCTCCAAACGACTCCATTTCTCCATAAGTCGCTTGTGTTAACAGCAGCGATCCATATTCAGCAATGCCAACTCGTTCAAAATGATTCCAATTCGAGATCAGCCGCCTCAAACCGCTTTGCAAATCAGTGAACTAGATTTTTGACGATACAAAAACCTCAAGCACTAAAACAAACATGGGAATTGAATTCCGAAGTGTCAACAATCAAGAGAACATTTTCAGCAACTGGATTACAATCCGGACAGTTTCCACCTAAAAATCGCATTTCATTCTGCTAAAAATGCTAAAATTTCGTCGAAAACCTGTTGTCGTCTCAGTCACAAAGGGCTCATCTGTAAAATTCAATATTTAAAGCTCAAAATCGAAAGCGAAAGAAAGCGAAAGAAAGCGAAAGAAAGCTTACTCAATGTGTTCTTTAAAAAGTCGACCACTGACGTCAAATCGTTTACATCCGTCCAGGAATAAGCAAAATTTGGAGAAGATAAAGCTTGCAAATCGGTGATCTCTTGATTGATCCCGATTACGGTCATTGATCCCATATCGCGAAGAGTTTTCGCGAATGGTGCAGCGGAAAGAATGTCTTGACGATTGCTGGAAGAATTTCAATGATTTTCATGAATCATTAACTAGATTTTTAGGTCAAAAAAAACTCTAGAAAAGCCTAGAATCTAATTTCAGTTAGTTTTTAGTCTTTCTTTCTCATTTTTTACAAACCCTGATGCTGTAAAGAGAATCACATTCTGCTTTATGAAGTTGTCCAATGGTTTAAAGATTGTTGGCACTTTTGAGAGAACTCTGAATGATTTTTTTTGTGATTTTTGTCTAGGAAAGATCTAGGGTGCGTCATAATTATTGCAACAAGAGTTCAAAGATCGTTTGTGATGTCAAGAATGTGATGTCATGGGCGTGTAAAGCCAATAACAATCAAAATTGGATCTTCATGCAAGATGGAGCTCCCGCTCACACGAAGAAGACGGTTCAGGACTGGTGTGTGGCCAACTTTCCCTCAGTGATCACCAAGGATGAATGGCCTCCAAACTCACCGGATCTCAATGTGATGGACTTTTCCATTTGAGCAATCTTAGAGACTAATGTCTGCTCTCGACAACACACAAGTTTGGATCCTTTGAAGAAGTCTTTGACCAAAGGATGGAAGGCGACTCCTCAAGATGACATTCGGGCCGCAGTGGAGGCATATCCGAACCGATTAAGGGCTGTTATCAAGGCAAAAGGCGGTCATATCGAATGATCTCTTGTTTCCTTATTTGTTATTGTTAAATAAAGCTATTTCTGTTTAAAAATCTTCTTCCAGTGAAACTTCTTGGTGTGCAATGCCTTGTGCAATGCCTTGTGCAATGCCTTGTGCAATGCCTTGTGCAATGCCTTGTGCAATGCCTTGTGCAATGCCTTGTGCAATGCCTTGTGCAATGCCTTGTGCAGTGCCTTGTGAGTGCCTGTGCAGTGCAGTGTGCATATGCAGTGTGCAGTGCAATGCCTTGAGTATCTTGTTGCAATAATTATGACGCACCCTGTATAAGAACATAATAAAACTAAACAATAAAGAAAAACAAACTCAGTTAAATTGACGTCACCGCTCATATTGTCTAGTTGATCAATGGCTTTATAGAAATCATCGAGTGATTGAGTTTCTGTATATTTTCGAGAAACAAAAAGAATTGATGAGAATTCTCCAATAGCGATTCGCTCAAAATGGGTCCATCCAGTGGCCAGTTCTCGAGCAACACCTTGCATTGAATCAAACTAGAAATTGAGATAATCATGATCATCATCAAGATCAACATCAACATCATCATCATCTAATCAACTAAAGCTAAACTAACCATCGTTTCTTTATTATTTAATGGCTAAAATGCACTATCTTTTATCACAAACTAGTTGATTTTTATTAAAATAATTGCCGTATTCTCTCTAAGCACTCTGAGCGTTGCCTAAATTCCTCGAAATCTCGAGAACCACTTATCAGAACCTATCGATGTGGGGTCGGAAAATGTAGCTGACGATGAGATTTAGTGGGGGATTAGAGTGTTGAGCTTCTGTGAAAACTTAGAAACTGTAAAATAGTGATCAACTCGGCTCGGTCGGGTGCCCTACTAGAAAAAATAAGGTAAATCCTTATCGGATCTTTCTTTTTCTGTACCTACTGCTCTTAAAATCAAAACACTTTCTTCTCTGGCTCATGCTAGTCTTCTTGGTTTCAACTTTTTCAACTTTTCCAGCTTTTCAACTTCAACTTGATTCAGTGAAAGTGTTCTTGAGCAAAACACGCACTTACCCATTGATTTTTCGGAGAACAATCCATTAGAAAGAGAATATTTGTCGAAGTTGGCACACAATCGGGACAATATCCTAAAGCTGAATGATTAAATTTCTAAATATTTGAAACCTGTTGTAGTAGTTGGTGGAGATGTACTTGTAAGAGCAGTTGTTGGCAGATTTTCGTCTAGAATTTAAAATAGAATCAATTCAAATTCAGATTTGTACTGAGGCAATGATTGAAATTCATCTAAAGCTCATCTAAAGCTCATCTAAGCTCATCTAAAGCTTATCTAAGCTCATCTAAAGCTAAATCTAAAGCTAAATCAAATGTTTTACCGGTTGTTGTCACAGAACTAGTCGTTGGTATTGTTGTTGTTCGCGGATTTCCGTCTAAAGTTTATGATAGATAATAGATATGAGTTCTAGTTCTAGTTCTAGTTCTAAGTCTAGTTCTAGTTCTAGTTCTAGCTCTAGTTCTAGTTCTAGTTCTAGTTCTAGTTCTAGTTCTAGCTCTAGTTCTAGTTCTAGTCCTAGATCTAGTTCTAGTTCTAGTTCTAGTTCTAGTTCTAGTTCTAGCTCTAGATTATATAGTAATGTAGATTATTGGTGTACTGTAAGGCCAACTACTGTAGCACGATTTGGTCTATCATTAAACCTGTAAATTCCCCCAAAATCTTTCACTCACTCAACGTCGAATTCAGAAAATCGATAAATCCTTTTCCATTCGTTGTATCAATCCAAGAATATGTAAAGCCTTGATTAGCCAATTTAATGAAATCATCGCTGAGTTCATTTCCAATTCCAATGATTGAAAGAGAACCCATTGAACGTAGCACTTCAGCGTACGGGCTTGATGCTGTTAAATCAGCATTGTCACTAAAAGCTAAGCTTTAAAAGTATTCAATAAATCTATTCAATTCAGAAACTCATTCAGAAACTATTCCAAACCTATTCGATGATGTTAAAAGAATCGTTCGCTGAATTGGATACGTTTGTGCTTGACTCCAGACATCGATCGCTTTACTCAGGGCACTGAATGGAGAAATTGAACGAATTTCAGTCATTTCTTATATCTTTCAAGTGTTTTGCCTAGATAAACTGTTTAAATGTGCTTCAACCAACTCATTGATGCTAATCTTGCCGGTGATTCGATCAAGATCCTCCAATTCTCCAATCACATCTTTCAGACTGTTCAAATCTCCATAAATCCCTTTACTCATCAACATCGACCCAAATTCAGCCATTCCCAAACGCTCGAAATGATTCCAATCTTGTACAAGTGATTTCAACGCTGACACCATATTGTCAAACTGAATGGAAGATATTTTGGAAGATATTTAATAAAAATTCTCTACATAAGGATTCTCTTCGGATGAATCGATGAGAAGAAGAATGTTTTCAGGCATTGGATAACAATCAGGACAAATGGGACCTGAAATAAGTGAATTTTTCAGTGTACGGTAAGCCTAAAGTAGATTTTCAGGTAAATGATAACTCTAGGGCCTATGAACTAGAGTCAGACTTGAACTAAGCCTGGTTCCCGACTGGCTAAGGCTAGTGACGACTGCGTCAGACCAAGCCAGTAATTAAACCGGCTTGACCAGGCCATTCGTCCAAGGAATAGTAAGGTTTATGGCCTTAAACCCAAGCCAGACTCAAGTCAAATCATCATTTCAAGGTTAAATATCCGCAAAGCTACAAAGCTTCAAAGCAAAGCTAGAATACAAGCGTTTATTGCTCAAGAAAACCTTACTTACTTGTTGTTGGAAGATCAGTAGACAATGGCTCACCTAAATCAAAAAATCAATGAAAAAAAAATGGTAACTTACCAAGAGCCTTATTGATGTAATCTTGAATCGACGAGAAATCACTCAAATTATTCCAAGAATAGGCAAGATTTGGTGAGGAGAGAGATGAGAGATCATCGATTGGTTGATTGATTCCAATGACAATCATTGAGCCAAGATCTTTCAATCGTTTAGCATAAGGAATCGCTGATTTAATGTCGATTGGATCGCTGGAAATAAGTTTTGAATCATTTACAAAAGCAGAAACAATGCTAAAGATGGGATTCGAAGCCGAGACTTGACTTGGCACTGTTCTAGCTCCGTTTTAGACTGTATTTAATGTAGAAATCTCAAAAAACTCACGCTGAAGCTGTGAAAAGAACAATTTGCTGAGGTCCAAACTCTGGCAAAGGGATGAAGTCGGAGTAGGCCCATTTGAGAACTCTGAAAAGGGCTAAAATTTGGTGGATACGAATTATTGTACTCTCAAGTACTTGAATTTGACAAAAAGCCTTAGAAAAACCTTGGTTTTGGCTTGGATTAGCCTGAAAATTAGGCTTTATTTGTTAAATGACTCCAGCGTCAATCTACCAACTCTGTCAAATTCTCGGCCTCAGTGATTCGCTCCAAAGAGTCAATAGCTTTGAAATATTCTTGCAGTGATGAGAGATCACGATAGAACGATTGTGGAAGGACCATTGACGAGAATTCCCCGATTGCAATCCGCTCAAAATGATTCCATTTCATCGCCATTTCACGAGCAACTGCTTGCATTTCTAAGAACTGAAAGAGAAGAGAAGAATCATTGGCATTCTTATATGAAGATTCTATATCTTTAAATTAATAAATTCTAGTTTATGATTAGTTTTTGATAATTTCACTTACATAAGTGTTGTTGGGTGAAGTGTCGAATAGAAGCAGAATGTTTGATTGAAGTGGATTACAGTCTGGGCAACTCGCAGCTAAATGGGGATTGTTTGGCAAAGAGGGTTTTGTTCTACCTGTAGTTGTCACCATCGGAGTGGATGATGGAGATGCTGAGCCTAGAGGATATGCGATAAAATGAGAATTCGTTGCTTTGAGAATATTTTCACATTTGACAACTTTAAGTCGTCAATTCGCATACAAAACTGAGCAATTTTGCTAGAAAACACTTGGAAAAAAGCTAAATTCAAGCAATTTATGAAAATGCCCAAGATATGCATTTGAAATGTTTGAATTTGATGTTTTCATGTTTTTAAATTTCAGTCGTAAATTTTAAATGTTAATTCTCGCGCGACGTCGCATTCCAATTGACGTCACCGCCATTTGGAGGTAGTCGATGGGAGCGCCGCGTCGTCGTTTCTTTTTCGTTTTCAAATCATTTGTTTTTGTCAATTTTTTTAAAAGTATTGTTTTACGCGATAAATTTTGTGTTGAAATGAAAAAGCAATCTATTTTCATTGAGCCGAGTGGAGAATTCGGAACTTTTCGTAGTTTGACCACAATAAAGGCCAAAACTAACTAAAATGATTTGGGGAGTTGAATGGAAACAACGAAAGCAAGGCTCACTTTCTGGACTGTTAAAAAACTCTGGATTCGAGATGCGAGAAGCGAAAATGCACCACTTGATGGACCGATTCTCAAAGAAAAGGCTCTTGAATTTGCTAATCTTTTTGATTGTCCGAATTTCAAAGCTTCTTGCTGGCTGATGACTGGGAAATTTCAAGAAAAGGCACAGTCTTGTTTTTTGGGTGATCAAAGGAGAAAGTGGATCAACAGGCCTTAACAAATTGGCGGGAAAACATTCTCTTCGATGTTCTCTTCAATCTATTTCCATTGAGGGCCCAAATGAAGGCCAAAACTAACTAAGATGATTTGGGGAATTGAATGGAAACAGCGAAAGCAAGGCTTTTTTATTTTAAATGGCACAACTATATTATGTTTTTAAGACTTTTAAAGAATTTTGACTTTTTTCGCCTAAAGACGGTTTAGAAAAAGCGCGTACAGACGGGCAGACACTGCTCTTTTATATATTACGATTGATTTGGAACTTTTCGTAAAATGTTACAAGCAAATCTATAAAGCAGCACATAAAAAGCAATTTTTGATGTTTTTTTGTGATTTCAATGTCATTTCATAAAATTTATTTGATATTTGATATATGCATAACAAGAAACGAAATGAAATTAAATTAAATAAAGAATATCCCAGTGTTCATGTCACAGACAAACGATTGGGTAAGTAATTTGTAATATACTATTGTGCCCTTGTAAACCTATCCTTTCTAGCACACTAGTAAAGAAGCATTAGCCACCGAAGGTATGCATTTAAAAGAGCACAAAGTATAAAACCAAATTCTCATGCTCATAAAAAAAAATAGGACAGGGGATAGAAAAGAAAATCACAAAACACACCCGATTTTTTAAATAAAATCCATGCAAAGCCCTAAAGCTGTGGCGGAAATAAATAAATTATCGTTTATTTGGTGACAAACCGAGAGTGACACCGATTTGTTGAACAATTTCATCGATTTGCGAGAGATCTTTCCACGGGAGAACCATTCCAGTTGTGGCTAATGGTGACAATGCAGTCACATCATTCATTCCAATTCCGATAACGGTGACGGAGCCGAGTGCTTGCAGAGTCTTAGCTGAGTCGGTGGCTAAGGCGATGTCTTTTGAGTCACTAGAAATGGAATTCGTATGATTTTGGTCAAGTCTGGTACTGGAAATTATACTGCTACTGGACTGTACTGGACTTTTGCAAGTTTAACCGTTCAGAAAATGATTTAAATGTGTAGAACATGATCTTGAAAAGTTAAAGAACTCAAAAAAGCGAGTTCATCGATCAAACTGACCTCTGATCTGTAAACAACACCACTCTCTGCACTCCATATGTGACTATTGGCTGGTACTGCTTGATTGCCTTTTTGAGGGCACTAAACTTTTCCATTTTTTATAAACTATCAATTTTCTCACTTTGTCAAATTCCCATTGTTCTTATTGTCCAGATCAATCTGCTGCAAGTCTAGCAAAAATTCATCGTAATTTTTCACATCTTGATAATCGATCGTATCGCCGAGGTCTTTTGAGTAATAGGCCAATCCAACTCGATCAAGATGATTCCATGGTTGGATCAGAGTTTTGAGGACTGATTTTTGGGCTTCCAACTAGAAATTGAGTAATTAGATTCTTTTGAAAAATGAACTCTTCAAATATCGACCATTTTTGGATTCAAACGTACTCCAGTTTGAGTCACTGACGCTCCAGTATCGACAAGGAAGAGAATACTTGCTGACGGTGGATTACAATCGGGGCAATTGTTGATAGCTAAAGCAAGTTTGGGTTATGGTAGCTTCAGGTGCCTTATATAAAAGACCTGCAAGGGTTACGGTAGCTATAAGTGCCTTTTGATCATTAGCAGCAGATTCAGCAGAACTAACTTGTTGTCGTTTGAAGTGTGGCTGTGGTAGATGAAGCTGTTGAAGCTGCTTGTGTAGTTGAAGAGGATTGGGCTAAAAATAAAATAGCAAACACTACTAATGACTGCTGTTGACTGAGAGGTTTGTGAAGTTTGAGCTAAATTTGTGAAAGCTAGCTGTTTTGAAAAAGATCCAAAAGATATTCTAGCTTTGATACCTGTCGTTGGCACAGTTGGAGCTGTTGGAGCTGTTGGAGGAGTGCCGGTTGGTGGAGGGCCATCTGAAAATGGCTCTTAATTTCTGCGCAATTTTTGTTGACGGCTTTAGAGCCATATTAAACAACAGATATTTTCCTCTTAATCCAAAAAACTCACTCAACGTGGCATCAATCAAATCAACAATCGACTGTGGATAGGGATCTGTCTGATTTGTGGGATCGGGCCAAGCAATGGCGTAACCGGGTGAGGCTAATGACGCCAAATCGCTCACATCATCCATGCCGACACCGATCACCGTCACAGTACCCCGGGACATCAAACCCGACGCGTAAACAGAAGCTGGAGCAATTCCAGTTCTAAAATATCGAAATTCTCGAAATCTTCCGAAATTCTCGGTCTCACTTTGTCGAGGTGAAGAAAATGACTCTTTCCATGCCGATGGATGAATCCGGTGTATAAGAGTTCAGCGTTTTCTTGAAGCCACTAAAATTTATCTTTAGCTTATATAATAAATATTTCTAGACACAACAAAAAGCACAATTTTTTTTCTTATTTTCACTTACAGAGTTAAATCTTGTGTGTGCCCAGTTCGATTCGGGAAAGCCACAAGAATATAGTACATATCGTTTACCGAATGAACATCACCGAATTGAGAGCCGAGCTGTAAAAAAGAAAGTTTTCACTTTATATCTATAGATTAGTTAAAATATCTTTACATCAAATTGATCAGAAGCCGCTCCGAGTGCGATTCGCGTGATTGGCCACCAATTTTGACACATTTGCAAAATCAATTGGATTTGATTGGTCAGCTAGAATGCGGATTACTATAGAATTTCTCAATTTTCAAAATTTACATATGACGTTGAATCAACAATGATGACAATATTCGACATTTCCGGATTGCATTCACCGCATGGTTTAGGGGTGGGGACTGAAAGGACAAATTCATCAATATCATCAATATCAAATTCTTACTGTAATTTGTCGTTGTTGGTGGATTGAATGGAGTGTTTGTTGTGGTTGAAGGCAATGTTGAGGTGGATAAAGTCGGTAATGGTTTCAATGTGACAGGTGGATCTCTACGCCAACAAGCATGATCGTTTAACTGAAAAGAAAATTATCCGATCTTGTGGCTTTATAATGTCTAGAATCTGAAAACAGGTCAATAAATTTATTTGACTCGATCTATTAGATTCTAGATCCATTAGATTCTAGATTCATTAGATTCTAGATCCATTAGATTCTAGATTCATTAGATTCTAGATTCATTAGATCCATTAGATCCATTAGATCCATTAGATCCATTAGATTCTAGATCCATTAGATTCTAGATTCATTGATTGAACATGCTACTAGTGGAAACTTTCATCCTTTAACCATACTGATGACTGAAATAAGTTATAGAAAGTCTTTAGAAGAAAACTACATTAAATTTACAGTCAAATTGCAAACTTTGAGCTTTAACCTTCTAAGGATAATTACCCTACCCTGTTTTTGTCATTAGAACCTCAACTCACCCATCTACAAAGCACATCATTGAAGCTCTCCGCATTGATTACATTGCCCGTTAAAGCTCTCATCCAATCACCTGAACTTGTGATTACAATAGCTATAGTGCTTTTTAGTGAACTTCTGCAATAGTTACCATAACCCAAGCCTTTTAGAAAAGTATTATGTCTTCCAGATCCCAGTAACTAAGGCTTCTTCAAGCTTACCGTTTGAGATTGGATTTTTTTTTTTTTTTTTTTAATAATTTAACCCTTTTATAACCTTAAAGTTTTAAAAAATTTTAAATGAGATTACGGTAACTAATTCATTTTTAGAAAACTATCATACCTTCCAGATCCTTTGAATTTCCAATTAGAATCAAATTGAAGAGATCAACAGTGAGTTGTGACTCGATTTGTTCACGAATAGCGATTGCTGATTGAATATCATCGTAGCCACTAAAAAAAATGATAATATTATACTATTAGATTACAAGATTACGATAACATAAGCACTTAAAACATTCTTTTACCTAGAATTTGTGAACATCATCGCTGTAAGCATTCGATTATTCGTTTTTCTGTATTGCAACGAAGTGAGCAGGGTTGTGAGGCCACTGAAATGAGATTTTCGATCATTTTATTCGATCTTTATATCTAAATAGCTTAATATCTTTTTTTAAAGGCTCACGCTGTGATACTCGGCTCTCCACCAAAATATAGGCGATCGTATTGAGTGAAATTGCCCATAAGTGATTGCGTAGAGTCGAATTTCCACGCGTTTGGCTCCTGAAAGTTGAGAGTTTTAAGGGAATGAATATGTAGATATTGTAAATACAATAATATCAAAATATTCCGAAGAAACAATTCAGCCTATTCACTCACCAAATGAGAGTAGGTTTTTGTGTAAAAGATGATCTCAGCTTGACTTCTTTCACCAATATCCCAATAGGAAAGCAGCTCAACGGAAAGGAAATCAACAGTCTAAACGTTAAAATATAAATCAATATCTAGTTAAATATCTAGCTAAACATCTAGCTAAATATCTAGTTAAATATCTAGCTCAATATCTAGCTAAATATCTAGCTGAACATCTAGCTCAATATCTAGCTAAATATCTAGCTCAATATCTAGCTAAATATCTAGCTAAATATCTAGCTAAATATCTAAATTAGATATTTAGATCTATTTTCTTTTTCTATATTCATTTTTACCCATTGCATATTGTCACTACTGCCTGTGGCTTGTGAATTGTCAAACAAAATGACGAAATCGACTTCACACCCAAATTTTGTTGGATCCGGTGGAGCGTCGGAAGCAGTACTTAAAAAGATTTACAGTCGACACTCGATAGTAAATCATTGAAGGGATTCTACAACAAATGATCTACTATCGAGCGTGATTTACTATCGAGCGCCGACTGTATATAATTTAATAAATTCTTGCTAATAAAGTAATCGTTGGAAAGCTTTAAATTCAAAATTTCTTAAATAAACTAACGTTTCTGCAGTCGGTTGGCTTGTTGGCATGGTTGAAGAGCCGGTTGGTGGATCTAAAAATTAAAAATCCGGTTTTATTTTCGATTATTAGAAGATTATTATCTAAAATTTCAAATGTTAAAATAAACTGTTTAAAATATTCCCAATATTGCTCAAAAGGTGATCGATTTTCATCGTTTCTGGCCAAAGTTAGGCCAAAGTTAGTTCCAGAAAGATAAGAAAACTTCGCTTTTAATGCAGATTTAGTGAAACTGATGACTATGTTGCCTCATTTGTCGATGTAACAATAAACAATGCGGGCTTCAGTGGAAAAGTAATAGCCGTGGTCTCAGACCGAGGTTCTAATATGAGAAAGGGCGTGCATCAACGTCAAGTATCGACAAGATCAAGTAACGTTTAATTGTCTGTTTATTTGCTATTTCGCTTTAGTATTCATTGTGGTGCTAAATTCGTGAATACTTTTGTTCAAAAAGTGATTGGATTGGCGACGATTCAACACGTATTACAACAAATTCGCAGCTTTTGTCGCAAAACTAAGTCGCTCTGCGCACCTATGCCTAAGTATATCAATTTCTTCTATCAAACCTTTATCATGTCTTAATATTTAAAATTTGATAAAATATACACAAAAAAAGTAAAACAATTAGTAAAACAATAATCTTATAAAAGTTTAAACGTACTTTGCCCGGTTGTTGAAGTGGTAGCGCTCGTTTGCGTTGTTTGCGCTTGTGTAGTTGTTGGTGGCATTGTTGTCAACTCTAAAAGCAATTCGATATTAAAAAAGTATTCATAATTAAGCATAGATCGAGTATAGATAAAAATGATCTAAATTTCCTTACCGCCAATTGTGTTGTCGATATCTTTTGTGATCGAGCTGACATCATTCACATTTTCCCATGCGAGTGCATCTCCCGGTGTGGCTAATTTCGCATATCCATTTGTTTCACTCATTCCCACTCCAATCACCGTTAATGAGCCCAACGCTTGAAGCTGCTGAGCGAATGGAACCGCATTGTCAAGATCATCTTGATCACTGAAAAAAGAAAGATTATCTTTTGGATAAGTTTAGAAAAAAACTCACGTTTGTGATAAGAATAAAATCGTCCTCTGTGCTCCATAATTTCCATCGGGCTTCACGTTTTTCAACGTCAATTCAAGAGCTCTAAATAAAAATAGAACAAAATTTCCTAAACAATTACTTGGCAACATTTGGTGGTTGATCATATTGTTGAATTCCATCCCGAATCGCCGCATAGAAATCGTTGAAACTTGTCAAATCTCCATAGGATGCACCGATTTGAATATTATTGACATCTTCGCCTGGATAAGCGATCACCGAAACACGCTCGAAATGATTCCACGATTGACCGAGATTCGCGGCCACTGCTTTCTCGTTTACTGACTAAAAAGTGGATAGGTTAGCTGGCTAAAATTGGAAAAGACAATAATTAGTAATCTGCTTACCCCATTCTTGATTAAACTGGACAAATCGAGGATCAGCAGTAAATTTGATTTCGGTGGATTGCAATCGTGACAGAAAGGAGTGGCTGAAGATTATACATTCGAGTACCCTCCCCTGTGTCCCCCTTTTGTCCCCCTTCGTTTCTAATCTTAGCTGATTTTAGTCAATTTCTTGCTTTTTGGTACATTCTGTCGTTTTGAATGGATTGATTCAAAAGTAGAAAACAATTCTAAAATGCAAAAATCAACAAAAATTTCGCAAAAAATTTGGGACACTAGGGGGGATTTCTCCCTGCGGACAAAAGGGGGACACAGGGGAAAGTCACTCGGAATGTATACTGAAGATTAAGTTAAAGAAATTAGCATAAACTGAATATCTATTATCTAAGCTACATCAATTTAGAGTAAATTTTACTGGTAGTGATTGGATTTGTAGTTGTTGGTGTTGTCGTCAATGGAGTGGTTGTGGCTGGTGAAGTGGGCGAACCAGTTGGTGGATTTTTCAACAAATTGCTGATCTGATCAGCGATATCGGTGACTTTATTCGTCTCAGGCCAAAGAAGAGTTTCTCCGGGAGTGGCAAGGACGTCTAAAAATTGGCTTTCTAAGAATTGGGCAACTAAACCGACCAGCTCCTTCCCATTTGTTGAACCCAGCTCCAACAAGAATCACATTTCCCTTCATTTGTAAATTGTACGCAGCTTGTTTCGCTTTCTCGATTTCCGCAGAGCCTTGGGTTCTGAAAATTCTCATTTGCAAAATTTCGACAGTATTTTTTTTTTTTTTGTTAATTAATTATTTTTTTAAAAAAAAAATTTTTAAAAAAAAATTCCTTTTTTTTAAAAATTTTTTTTTAAATTTTTTTTTTTTTTTTTTTTATAATAAAATTTTTTTTAAAAATTTTTTTTATATAAAAAAAACTCTTTCTAAAAAAATTTTTTTATACCTTTTTTTTTTTTTTTTTAATTTTTTTTTTTATTTTTTTTTTTCCAAACCTTATTTAAACCCCCTTTTTTTTCCCTTCCCACTTTTCCTTTTTTTTAAAATTTTCAATTTTTTTTTTTTTCATAAAAAAAAAAAAAAAAAAAAAAAAAAAAAAAAAAAAAAAAAAACCTCCCCCCCCCCCCCCCCCTTATATATTCCTTTTATTTAAATATTTTTTTTTTTTTTTTTTTTTTTTTTTTTTTTTTTTTTTTTTTTTTTTTTTTTTTTATTTTTTTTTTTTTTTTTATTTAAAATTTTAAATTTTTAAATTTTCCCCCTTTTTTCCTCTCATTTCCTTTTTTTTTTCCCTTTTAACAAAAATAAAAAAAATTTTTTTTTTTTTTTTTTTTTTTTTTATTTTTCTTTTTTTTTTTTTTTTTTTTTTTTTTTTTTTTTTTTTTTTTTTTTTTTATTTTTTTTTTTTTTTTTTTTTTTTTTTTTTCCCTTTTTTTTTTTTCTTTCTCTCCCCCTTCCCATTTTTATAAAATATTAAATTTAAAAAATAAATTTTTTTTTTTATTTTTTTTTTTTTTTTTTTTTTTTTTTTTTTTTTTTTTTTTTTTTTTTCCCTCCCTTTTTTTTTTTTTTTTTTTTTTTTTTTTTTTTTTATACATATTTTTTCCAAAAATATATTTTAAAATTTTTTTTTTTTTTTTTTTTTTTTTTTTTTTTTTTTTCTTTTTTTTTTTTTTTTTTTTTTTTTTTTTTTTTTTTTTTTTTTTTTTTTTTTTTTTTTTTTTTCCCTTCTTTTTCTTTTTTTTTTCTTTTCTTTTTTTTAATAAAATTTTTTAAAAAAAATATATTTTTTTTTTTTTTTTTTTAATATTTAAAATAAAATTTTTTTTTTTTTTTTTTTTTTTTTTTTTTTTTTTAATAAAAAAAAAAAAAAAAAACACAAAAACATTTTATTAAAAAAAAAAAAAAAAAAAAAAAAAAAAAAAAAAAAAAAAAAAAAAAAAAAAAAAAAAAAAAAAAAAAAAAAAAAAATTTTTTAGCCAAAAAAAAATTTTTTTACACACTATAAAAAATAACTATTTCCTATTTGGCACTAAACTGCTGTAATCAACTTACGAGGTGAAAATGACGGTTTGTTGTCGGCCATAGGACGGATTTGGTACAAAACCCATATCAGCCATTCGAAAACCGCTAAAAAAATACGTAACTTAAAGAAAACTCTAGCTTTTAAAGACGAAATGAAGTAGTTTATCTAATTCTAAAATCCACTCACGTGCTCAAATCCGTCGTGTAACCGGCAGTGGCCAAACTGAGCGCTTTCATCAATTCAGTCAGTCCGTTCAACGTGTTGTACTCGGCAAGGACCTAAAAATTGTATTTTTCTATAAATAACATATTAACATTTAAAAGTGTTGTGTGATTTTGACAATTTGGCTTGAAATGTCATCGAAAGCAGCGAAATCACCTCAAAATGAGCCATCGTGTCTCTAAAAGCTCCCACAGCTACTCTTTCAAAGTGATTCCAATTGTTCCCCATTGATAAAATGACCGAGCTTTGAGCTTGGAGCTGAAAATTTAAATTTAGAGTTTTCAATTGATTGTGAGTACTAGTCAGGCTGAAACCTAGTCAAGTGTCGGCTTGAAACCGGTTTGAAATCGGCTTGAGATCAGCTTGAAACCTAGTCAAGTGTCGCTAAGACTTCCAAAACCCTACCAAGCTTCGATCAAAACCGGCATCGATAATGAACAAGAGACTTCCTTGAGGCATACAGTCAACACAATTTGGAGAAACTAAAAAGATATCATATATTTAAAATCTACCAACATATTAGTGGATCTTTTTGTGTGAAACCCGAAAGGACTAAAATTTAAGATGACGCGAAGAAACCTGCTCCAAACAAAGTACGCTTTATTATATTGACTAGGAATAGCGATTACACAACAGCTTAGCAGCACAACAGTACAAGAGTGTTTACCTGTTGTGGTTAATGGTGGAGCAAAAGTGAGCGGTGTTGTTGTGAGTGGAGTGGTTAGTGGAGTCGTCGTTTGTGGCGGAGCGAGGGTTTCCCGGCCTGGCTTCTCATTGCAAATCACTTGGTTTATCTAGAAAATGTTTGTTTTTATACAAAAATCGAAATCCATCACAATTCTTATCCTTATCCCAGTTACCATATCCAGTTACCGTAACGTAACTTGTCGCTGGCTAAAAGGTGATAAGAAACGGTAAGCTCCACCTGATTTGCCAAGGTCGAATCCCAGCTCTTTCCAGCAACAATGACATTTTCTGATAAGGCTTTCAGATTTGCAATATTCGGTATATCTTCAAGTGCCAATATGATCAAATTCTCAGGCACAGAAACAGTTGAATGTAAAGCATCAAAGATTTGACCGTAATCACTGAAATTTCTCGAAAAATTTGATTCAAAGTCTCTCGTTTACCTGACAAATGTAAGTAAAATCGTTGTCAGTTGGTGTCCTTGGCGATTCGCGTAGGTGAAGATGTCACCCATGTTTATACCCCTGAAAATATCGTGCTAAAATATTTTTCTAAAACAGGATTACGGTTTAGCTTTTGCAACTCACTCAGCGATACTCGGCGAACCCCCATAATACTCATTTCTTGCCGAACGGAGTGTCGATTGGAGAGTTGCCGTATTGTTGTAGTCAAATATTGAGCCAATCATTGTACCCAGTCCCTGAAAGTTAATTTTATGATATTTGGCTAAAGATATATGTGTCGTAGCCGATGAAGGATTTCAGTCGAAGAAGTCTCAGACTGAGACTTCTTCGGCTAGCCGATTAAGTCTCAAAAATGAAATCTTGAGTTATGTATTGACTCAAGTCAATACCACAAACTCAAGCTCTCTAAAAGGCGCTTAAAAGCTAAAAACGCATTCTAAAGAGTGCGCATTTTATCATAGTATAACCAAAGGCTATAAAAGGGCTCTTTTCGTCATTTTCTATCTGATTCATCATTTTTTTGAAATAGAATTGTTTGTTTTTGTAAGTCAATTTGCCCCTTTGTTGGAACATCGATAAAACTTGTTTACCACTAATCTGTTTATAATCGAACATAACCCCTTATTTTATTCCTATTTTTTTTCTTTTTGTTACTGTGCATTTTTTGTTTATACTACACTAATTTTTGTTTTTTAGGAATGGAGAAAGGATTCGACCGGCAGTTTTCTCACTTTCAATCAAATCAAAAACGAAGTTTAATTCTTTCAAGCGAGAAATACGTCACCGTCACCGTTCTCCAACAATTGCGGAATGAAGACTTCAAGCCATCGAAAAAAAACACAAAAACTTGTGGTGCGATTCTCTCTTCGATACGAATTGAATCAAGAGGTGCTTTACAATCATGGGACCAAAGGCGATTTGGACAAACCGAAGAAAGTCGTTAAGACAGAGGAGCTCTTTGGCCTGTTAACGACTGGCGTTATTGGGTTGGTGAATTGAAAACTGCGGGACTTTGAACTAAAATTTATTGAACATAAAACCATAAATTCATTCCAAATAATTTCCATTATCATTGACAACTTCTGCCCATTTTACAGGCAATTTGCGGATTCCTCTTTCGTGGTAGGATTTTGGTTTTGAATCGAAAAACTTTCAAAGCCAATTTTTGACTGCTTCTTCCGAATCGAAGTGTTCTCCCGCAAGCTCATTACTCATGATCCGGAATAAATAGTAATCAAAAGGGGCGAGGTCCGGACTGTATGGGGAATGCGCCAAAAGTTCCCAAACAAGAAGTTCACAGATAAAACCCATTTCTCATCTCCTGTTACAATTCGAGGAAGAAAGGATTTCCTTTCGTATCGTGAGGGATGAGCGGCACTGATGGAGCCGCACTGCCACTTCTGGGGGTCAGTGAGGTCATGGGGCACCCAAGTCCCAAGTTTCGATTTAAATCCAAGGTTATGGGGATGCCTTAGCACTGTAGCATGATCAACCCCTAACTCTTCTCCCAATTCACGCGATGATACCCGATGGTCGTTGGTAATGAGTTCGAGTAATTTGAAATCTTCCAGTTGGGGTGCCGCTCCACGGCCCTCTGCATCTTTCAAAGATTTGTCCCCAGATCGAAACTTGGCAAACCATACTCGACACGTTCTTTCGGAAGGTGAGTCCTCCCCATATATCTTTTTACTATTAGCAGCTGCCAAGCCTGCACTGTGCTCTTGTAGGAACTCATGAAGCATGACATGACGAATATGTCCCGGTGGCAGATTGTCGAGTGCAATAGAAGAAGTGAAGAAAAATACCAAAAAATCAAAAGCTGGAAGCATAATAATTAGAGGAAATGTTGAAGTCAACAAACCCCCCTTTCAGCTGGTTCGATGCTGTTGTTTTTTTTATCTGCGAATGCCGCGAAATAGCCCGCAGTTTTCAATTCACCAATCCAATATAATCTTATGCCAAACTGACCTTTGTGTACAAAATGGCAGCCGCTTCAGTCTTCTCCAAACCAATGTCCCACGTTGGAACCAAGGAATCAGCAAAGAAATCAAGACTCTGAACAAATTTAAATTATCAGAGCCTTTATCTGCTAACTGTTACCTTTTTAAAGTTATCCTCTCCAGCAGCCACTGAAGCATCGATGAGCAACATCAGATCGGGTTTGCAATTGAATGGAGAAAGGAAAGTGGTCGTTGGTGGAGTGGTTGGGGTGGTTGTGCTGAAGAAAAATATTATAGAATTCATCCAAAACTGTCGATTAAGATATCCTATTCACTATGTTTAGTCTTCAAAAATCTACGATGGTGGTTGAGTTGTGGGTGCGACAAAACAAAGCGAATCAGTCACTCCATTCACAATTTCGATTGTTGGGTTAAAGTCGGGGGTCTCGAAAGTGAAATCTTTACCAGAAGATACCTAAATTTTATTAGATTATAGAGATCTTATTATCTAAACAATCTTTTATCAAAAATTCCCCCTTACCAATGTTAAATCATCGATTTTAAACGATCCAATCGCCAAAACGGAGATGGTATTTCCATAGATTTTTAGCTGATCTGTGTAGGACAAAGAGTTACCAATTGTGCTAAATTTTAATGTTTTTGATATTTATAGATAGATTTCAATATTCTTAGATTTTAACTGGTTTACTTACCCATTCGTAGTGATGATTAGCGTGGTCAATGGAGCGCTTGGCACTAAGCCGATTGCCTCGTGTAAAGCTCTAAAAAAAGTGGATAAAGTGGTACTTATGATTAGTAGAGTTCGTTATTCAAATTAAGAATCTGACTACAAAGTACACCAAAGCACTCACTTATCCAGCGCATACGGTGTTCCCAAATAAGCGGCTTGATCGACGAATTGTTGTACCTCGGAGAGTTTAGAGGTGTCACCTAAAATTATAATTTAATAATTCTATATAATTCTATATAGTTCTCCATAGATAATTCCCCTATATTATCCATAAACTCACCAAAATGCATGATCACATTCAATTTATTTGAAAAAGTCGCGAAAGCGACGGTGAAAAGATGGAGATCCCATTGGGGAATCAGCGTCGATTTTAGCCAGTTTTTAAGCTAAAATTGAATTTTTTTAAAATTACTATAAACTGAGTTCATCTTAATTCACATTAACTTTACATTACATTAACTAAAATAGCTCACTTGATTGAAGTTATCAGTCGATCCAACGGAAGCACTCGCATCCAAGAGAATCAAGATATCTTTACCGCATTTTCCAGGTTGAAGACCTGAATTTTCGGGGGTTTATTTTGATAAAATCTGTAGACACAAGCTTTCTAGCACACTGAACTCTTCATTAAAAATTGAGTGTTTTAAGAGCATGGATAAGGAACAATTTCGGACACTTTTTTCTACGAGTGCAAGCTCTGGCCATACAGCAACAGAAGCCACTGGTAATATCAACAGGGCATTTGGAGAGGGAAGTGTTTCTTATGATATGGTCGCGTTTTGGTTTCGGCGATTTCACTCGGGCGATGAGACGTTTCATGACAAAGAACCTCAAGGAAGGCCTCGCAGAGTTGACGATGAAGAATTGGAAAAACTGGTGAAAGGAGGTTCGACCAAAACATCTCGAGAATACGCACAGGACCTTCGGGTTGATCATTCAACAATTTTGGCTCATTTGAAATCAATCGGAAAGGTAAAGAAGATAGAGCAATGGATCCCGCACGAATTAAGCGACTCGTAGAGGCTGCAGCGTCTGACAGCCGCCTCGACGCTTCTAACCCGAAATGAAAAAGATCCATTTCTGAATCGGATTGTCACGCGTGACGAAAAATGGATCCTATACGACAACAGAAAAAAAAGGTCCGAATGGCTTAGCAAAGATGAAAAGCCCAAACGCACTGCAAAGCCAGAGATTCATCAAAAAAGGTGATGATTACTGTTTGGTGGTCCATGAAAGGAATAATACATTTGTCTTTTTGAAAACAGGAAACTCTATGAATTCGGACCAATATATTTTGGAAATAGAAAAAATGCATACAAAATTGACAATATTGGATCCAGGTTTGGTGAATCGGAAAGGTCCGGTCTTGCTTCACGACCACGCTCGTATTTCAACATTTCAACCAAAACCATCAAAACATTGAGCGAGTTACGAAATTCTTACTCACCAGAACTTTCTCCTACGGATTTCCACTTTTTCAAGCATCTGTGCCATTTTCTAGAAGATAAACAGTTCAAGAATCAAGGCGAGGCCGAAAACCCTTTCCAACAGCTTATCGGCTCGAGAAAGCCAAATTTCAATTCTGATGGAATTGGAAACCTTGTTTCGCGTTGGCAGCGTGTGGCAGCAGCAGCGTTGGCAGCAGTGTCAAGATGCTGATGGTTTTTACTTTGAATAAATTCATTTGTTAATGACTTTTAGTTTTGGACTTGAAGTTAGAGGCTCCAAATTTCGATTATTTCCCCACCAACCTAATACATTCCGAGTGCCCTCCCCCTGGGTTCCCCTTTTGTCCCGCTCGTTTTCCCCTGGGGGGCACTTGTCCCCCACTCATTTTTTAAACATTTTCAATGTGTTAGGGTTTTTTTTTTAATAGATTTGCGTAAGTCACGTCCAACCAAAAAGCAATACGCCGTTTTTGCCTACTTTTTCCTCGATTTTGCATAAGTCCATAAGTTTTTGCGGTTCTTAAATTTGTGATTTCCTAAAAACCAGCCAACAGTTTCACTTGAAATTTCTACTGAATAATCTACAAGTATATGCTAACTAGTAGCCAAAATTTGATGACGATTGCTTGTTTCAATCGAGAGAATGAGATATGACTGTTCAACCAAGTCAGCATCTATTTGACCTTATTTTGTGGACTAATGTGAGAGAAAATTTCCATAATTCTAGTCAAAAAAGATAAATTGAAAAGAGCTAATTTAAGTTCAATTGAATCCGGTTGTTAGGTCAGCCAATCCTCCTAAAAATGTTCTGGATCCTGTTTTTCATTAGTGTTTCTATAGAGATGAACGAGTCCAAAAAGAAATGAAACACACACATCAACGTTAGGTTCATTCTCTCGATTAAACCAAGCAATCGTCATCAAATTTTGGCTACTAGTTAGCATATTCGGTACTTTTCCAATATCGTGGGAGTGGAAAGAAAATCAGCGGAGCAAATTTTGCCCCCTCGAAAACTGCATTTCCGAAGCTATATTTTAACTGCAACGTTTTTTTTCAAATTTTAACGACGATGCGCTTCTCTGAAATTTGTGCGTTTAAGAAATCGATGGCAATCGATTATTTCGTTAAGTTCGTTAAAGGAGTTATCCACTCGTGGATTTGCAACTGTGGCGAATTGATAAAAGTCCGCTCAATAGGAAAAGATCTATTTCGCTGGGTATGTGACACTTGCACACACGGGAGGGGAGGGGGAGTCACTCGGAATGTACAGGGTGTTCCACAGTTACTGATACCCCGACCCCTCATCATAAAAGCGTTTAAATTGTCCAGCGCGAGCGATTTATTGACTGTTTTTTTTTGGTTTTTCTTGTTTTAAACTTGTTTTCATTTAATAATATTTAAAAAATTGTTTTTTTTAGAAATGGCCGAGCCCTCCAGCTTTCGCGACTTGATCATTTCTCATCACAAAAAAGGTGTTCCGGCATGGTCGATCCATCAACGACTGAGAGTGACAAAACAACTTGCTTTGAACAACTTGAAACAACTTGAACATACAAACGTTTTAAGTCTCTTCGAACAAACCAGGATCGAAAGGGACGTGGAAGACGTGTAACTTCGGCTGTTAAGACTGTTATGAAGAACGTTCGCGAGAGAATAAGGCGCAACCCGGAGAGATCTGTTCGTCAAATGGCTCGTGAAATGAAAGTTCCTGTGACTTCGATGCATCGAATCGTTCGAAAACGCTTAGGAATGAAAGCTTTCAAGAAAAGCAAGTGTCACGGAATTACCGATGCTGCAAAAATTAAGAGAGAACAGCGTTGTCCTCAACTTCTTGCTCGGCTTCCTGGACAAGCTCCCCGATGAGAAGTTTTTACGGTCCAGCAAGTGTTGAACAAGCAAAACGATAAAAAATAAAGGCATTTCTAATCCACACAAATCAGTTTCGCATTCTCAAAAACCGCACAAAACTCTTGATTCTTTGAAGAAGGCTCTTCAAAAAGCATGGGATGAATTGGATCTCCCCTACTTGCGTGCCACGGTCGACGACTTTCCGAAGCGCCTTCAGCTCTGTGTCGAGGCGAAAGGAGAATATATCCAATAATTGTTGTTTTTCCATTACTTTACTATCTAATTTGTTAAAAATAAAAGTTTCATCATAAGTTTTATACTAAAAAAAGTTTTTTCAAGCTAGTTATCGGGTAACAGTAATTGTGGAATAGCCTGTATACTGAAGATTAAGTTAAAGAAATTAGCATAAACTGAATATCTATTATTTAAGCTACATCAATTTAGAGTAAATTTTACTGGTAGTGATTGGATTTGTAGTTGTTGGTGTTGTCGTCAATGGAGTGGTTGTAGCTGGTGAAGTGGGCGAACCAGTTGGTGGATTTTTCAACAAATTGCTGATCTGATCAGCGATATCGGTGACTTTATTCGTCTCAGGCCAAAGAAGAGTTTCTCCGGGAGTGGCAAGGACGTCTAAAAGTTGGTTTTCTAAGAATTGGGCAACTAAACCGACCAGCTCCTTCCCATTTGTTGAACCCAGCTCCAACAAGAATCACATTTCCCTTCATTTGTAAATTGTACGCAGCTTGTTTCGCTTTCTCGATTTCCGCAGAGCCTTGGGTTCTGAAAATTCTCATTTGCAAAATTTCGACAGTAACTATTTCCTATTTGTCACTAAACTGCTGTAATCAACTTACGAGGTGAAAATGACGGTTTGTTGTCGGCCATAGGACGGATTTGGTACAAAACCCATATCAGCCATTCGAAAACCGCTAAAAAATCAGTAACTTCAAGAAAACTCTAGCTTTTAAAGACGAAATGAAGTAGTTTATCTAATTCTAAAATCCACGCACGTGCTCAAATCCGTCGTGTAACCGGCAGTGGCCAAACTGAGCGCTTTCACCAATTCAGTCAGTCCGTTCAACGTGTTGTACTCGGCAAGGACCTAAAAATTGTATTTTTCTATAAATAACATATTAACATTTAAAAGTGTTTTGTGATTTTGACAATTTGGCTTGAAATGTCATCGAAAGCAGCGAAATCACCTCAAAATGAGCCATCGTGTCTCTAAAAGCTCCCACAGCTACTCTTTCAAAGTGATTCCAATTGTTCCCCATTGATAAAATGACCGAGCTTTGAGCTTGGAGCTGAAAATTTAAATTTAGAGAGTTTTCAATTGATTGTGAGTACTAAGCTTGGCTTAGGTAACAAGCCTCACTAAAGAAGTTAAGCAAGATCGGCTAACAAGCTAATAAGACTTCTAAAAGATTGTAAGACTTCAAAATTCAATCCCAACCAAGCTTCGATCAAAACCGGCATCGATAATGAACAAGAGACTTCCTTGAGGCATACAGTCAACACAATTTGGAGAAACTAAAAAGATCATATATTTAAAATCTACCAACATATTGGTGGATCTTTTTGTGTGAAACCGCAAGGGACTAAAATTTAAGATGACGCGAAGAAACCTGCTCCAAACAAAGTACGCTTTATTATATTGACTAGGAATAGCGATTACACAACAGCCTAGCAGCACAACAGCACAAGAGTGTTTACCTGTTGTGGTTAATGGTGGAGCAAAAGTGAGCGGTGTTGTTGTGAGTGGAGTGGTTAGTGGAGTCGTTGTTTGTGGCGGAGCGAGGGTTTCCCGGCCTGGTTTCTCATTGCAAATCACTTGGTTTATCTAGAAAATGTTTGTTTTTATACAAAAAATCGGAATCCATCACAATTATTATCCTTATCCCAGTTACCCTATCCAGTTACCGAAACGTAACTTGTCGCTGGCTAAAAGGTGATAAGAAACGGTCGGTACAAAGTAAAGGATTACAGTAACTAGGTTATGCTTTAAAAGTGGATAAATCACAAGAAACGGTAAGCTCCACCTGATTTGCCAAGGTCGAATCCCAGCTCATTCCAGCAACAATGACATTTTCTGATAAGGCTTTCAGATTTGCAATATTCGGTATATCTTCAAGTGCCAATATGATCAAATTCTCAGGCAAAGAAACAGTTGAATTTAAAGCATCAAAGATTTGACCGTAATCACTGAAATTTCTCGAAAAATTTGATTCAAAGTCTCTCGTTTACCTAACAAATGTAAGTAAAATCGTTGTCAGTTGGTGTCCTTCGCGATTCGCGTAGGCGAACATGTCACCCATGTTTATACCCCTGAAAATCTTGTGCTAAAATATCTTTCTAAAACATTTTAAGAACTCTAGAATACTGTATCTAATAGCTTAAACAAAAAACTGAATAAAAACATTCAAAAATGTGCAATTTTGAAGTTTCGAGTACGGTAGCTGGGCACGAAATTCGATTTTCGGTTAGACTTGCATTAGGAAGGATTCGGTACCGTAAACCACCGAATTAAGATATAAAATTTGGATTTACTGTATCTAAGGCATGGGATTACGATTTAGATTTTGCAACTCACTCAGCGATACTCGGCGAACCCCCATAATAATGATTTTTTGCCGAACGGAGTGTCGATTGGAGAGTTGCCGTATCGGTGTAGTCAAATAATAGGCCAGCCATTGTACCCACTCCCTGAATGGTTAAGTTTATGATATTTGGCTAAAGATATATGGAAAAGCCAGAAAAATCCGCTTAACACCGGGCTTTTCTGGTTGGTCAATCAATCTGGCGCAATTGTGGCGCAATTGGCAGCTCGATTTTCTATATATAATCTTATGCCAAACTGACCTTTGTGTACAAAATGGTAGCCGCTTCAGTCTTCTCTAAACCAATGTCCCACGTTGGAACCAAGGAATCAGCAAAGAAATCAAGACTCTGAACAAATTTAATAATTAGATAAATGGCTAAAACTCTATCGCTCTTTTAAGTCTTTAAATATTAAAAGTCATCGAGCATTATGGACTTCTCCAGGTCAAAACAGGTCCAGGTATTTTCTAATACAGCTAAACTTCGCTACAACGATTCAAAAAAAGATTCTAAAACGTGTCCCACATTTTCTGTGTAGCTGCCCTGTGCGGGCAACGATTGCAACTAATTGGATAGCTACACAGAAGCTAAGGTTTTAGAATTTCAAAATCGTTTTATAGAAGGTCATTATTATAGGGTTGATCTACTAAAAAGATTTTCCAAAAAATTTCACTCCAAATCGTTTACGCCATACAGTGCCGGACAAAAGTTTAAGAACATGATCTCAAGTTACGGAAAAAGCTCAATATCATTTAGAAGGTGAAGAATTTCATTTAGGTCCTAAAAGTATTTTTTTTTTTTGCTTCACTTTCAAGAATTAAATACATGTGATAACAGGTCACAAATCTAAATACAAAAAAGTCTTTGAGACTTTAAAGGAAATAACCGGTATTCTAGCTGGACAAAAGTTTAAGAAAAAGCATTTTTTTAATTCAATATTTCATTTTTCATTAATTTTTTGACATTTTTATCTTAAGTTTTAGAAAAAATGGTCAAAACTCAACGAATTTCACCTTCTGATGTGGATACCATTGTCGGAATGAGGGATCTAAAAAGCAAGACATTTGAAGAGATCGCTACGGCAATTGAATGAAAAAGACACTCTGTTTGGCAAGCTTATCAACGTAGAAAGAACCCGAAGCCGACAAAGAAAATGGGAAGACCTTGAAAAACCCGTGACAAGTAAGTTTTTTTGAGATTTCCTTTTTAAATGTGCAAAATATTGCTCAGGATGAATCAACGCATCACTCTAGCGTCCAAGAAGAACCCGTTTTTGATGCCTCCTAAGGTTCGTGAAGCTGTTGGAGCGTCAAATGTTCATCGGAGAACAATACAAAGACGTTTGAACGAAAGTCAACACTTTGGTCGAATTGCTGCTCATAAACCGTTCGTCTCTGCCAAAAATAAGAAAGCCAGACTGAATTTTGCTAAAACACACGAACATTGGACGGTTGCCGAATGGAAGAACGTGCTTTGGTCAGATGAATCCAAGTTCAACATGAGCAATACGGACGGAATCAAACATGTTCGTTGCCCGCCGAATACCCGAAATGACCCACGATACACTGTTGGTACAGTTAAGCATAGAGATGTCAATCTCATGGTTTGGCGATGTTTTTCATTTGACTGCCATGGACCTTTGGAGTGTGTTTAGAGGGTAATGGACCAATTTCAATACCGTGGTATCATCGAGAGAGTCATACTTCCACATGCAGCCCAAAACATGCTGCGAGGATGGGTCTTTATGCAAGACAACGACCCCAAACACACAGCAAGGAGCGTCAAGAAATGGTTTGCCGATAATCTTGTTGGTCTTTTAGAGTGACCAGCTCAATCTTAGTCCGATTGAAAACATGTGAAGTCAAGTTGAGCGTGGACTAAAACGTAAAAAAATTTGCGACCAGCGATCTTCTTTTTGACGCTATTCAACAAGAATGGAACAAGATCCCAAAAAGTTTCATTGAGAAGTTGATCGAAAGTATGCAGCCTCGTTGCCAAGCAGTGATCAAAGCTAATGGTGCTTCGACTAAGTATTGAACTTGTTAATCACTTTTGTTGCTTTAATTGTTATCTTTTTAAGATAAACTTTCTGAAACAATGCTTTTTCTTAAACTTTTGTCCGGCTAGAATACCGGCTATTTCCTTTAAAGTCTCAAAGACTTTTTTGTATTGAGATTTGTGACCTGTTATAACATGTATTTAATTCTTGAAAGTGAAGCAAAAAAAAATGCTTTTAGGACCTAAATGAAATTCTTCACTTTCTAAAAGATATTGAGCTTTTTCCGTAACTTGAGATCATGTTCTTAAACTTTTGTCCGGCACTGTATATTTACTTGAAAAATTATCAGAGCCTTTATCTGCTCACTGTTACCTTTTTAAAGTTATCCTCTCCAGCAGCCACTGAAGCATCGATGAGCAACATCAGATCAGGATTGCAATTGAATGGAGAAGGGAAAGTGGTCGTTGGTGGAGTGGTTGGGGTGGTTGTGCTGAAGAAAAATCTTATAGAATTCATCCAAAACTCTCGATTAAGATATTCTATTCACTATGTTTAGTCTTCAAAAATCTACGATGGTGGTTGAGTTGTGGGTGCGACAAAACAAAGCGAATCAGTCACTCCATTCACGATTTCGATTGTTGGGTTAAAGTCGGGGGTCTCGAAAGTGAAATCTTTACCAGAAGATACCTAAATTTTATCAGATTATAGAGATCTTATTATCTAAACAATCTTTTATCAAAAAGTCCCCCTTACCAATGTTAAATCATCAATTTTAAACGATCCAATCGCCAAAACGGAGATGGTATTTCCATAGATCTTTAGCTGATCTGTGTAGGACAAAGCGTTACCAATTGTGCTAAATTTTAATGTTTTAGATATTTATAGATAGATTTCAATATTCTTAGATTTTAACTGGTTTACTTACCCGTTCGTAGTGATGATTAGCGTGGTCAATGGAGCGCTTGGCACTAAGCCGATTGCCTCGTGTAAAGCTCTAAAAAAAGTGGATAAAGTGGTACTTATGATATGAACTCTACTGTTCGTTATTCAAATTAAGAATCTGCCTACAAAGTACACCAAAGCACTCACTTATCCAGCGCATACGGTGTTCCCAAATAAGCGGCTTGATCGACGAATTGTTGTACCTCGGAGAGTTTAGAGGTGTCACCTAAAATTATAATTTAATAATTCTATATAATTCTCCATAGATAATTCCCCTATATTATCCATAAACTCACCAAAATGCATGATCACATTCAATTTATTTGAAAAAGTCGCGAAAGCGACGGTGAAAAGATGGAGATCCCATTGGGGAATCAGCGTCGATTTTAGCCAGTTTTTAAGCTAAAATGGAATTTTTTAATTACGATAAACTGAGTTCACCTTTAATTACATTAACTAAACTAACTCACTTGATTGAAATTATCAGTCGATCCAACAGAAGCACTCGCGTCCAAGAGAATCAAGATATCTTTACCGCATTTTCCAGGTGGAAGAGCTGAAATTTTGGGGTTTATTTCGATCAAATCTGTAGACACAAGCTTTCTAGCACACTCTTCATTTTTCTATAACTATTGCAAGGAAAATGAAGAAACGAGTGTCAGAAAGTGCCATGAAAAACAGAAATCTTATATAAGCTTCAAACATACTTTGCCCTGAAGTGGTAGCGCTCGTTTGCGTTGTTTGCGCTTGTGTAGTTGTTGGTGGCATTGTTGTCAACTCTAAAAGTAATTCGATATTAAAAAAGTATTTATAATTAAGCATAGATCGAGTATAGATAAAAATGATCTCAATTTCCTTACCGCCAATTGTGTTGTCGATATCTTTTGTGATCGAGTTGACATCATTCACATTTTCCCATGCGAGTGCATCTCCCGGTGTGGCTAATTGCGCATATCCATTTGTTTCACTCATTCCCACTCCAATCACCGTCAATGAGCCCAACGCTTGAAGCTGTTGAGCGAATGGAACCGCATTGTTAAGATCATCTTGATCACTTAAAAAAGAAAGATTATCTTTTGGATAAGTTTAGAAAAAAACCCACGTTTGTGATAAGAATAAAATCGTCCTCTGTGCTCCATAATTTCCATCGGGTTTCACGTTTTTCAGCGTCAATTCAAGAGCTCTAAATGAGAATAGAACAAAATTTCCTAAGCAATTACTTGGCAACATTTGGTGGTTGATCATATTGTCGAATTTCATCCCGAATCGCCGCATAGAAATCGTCGAAACTTGTCAAATCTCCATAGAATGCACCGATTTGAATATTATTGACATCTTCGCCTGGATAAGCGATCACCGAAACACGCTCGAAATGATTCCACGATTGACCGAGATTCGCGGCCACTGCTTTCTCGTTTACTGACTAAAAAGTGGATAGGCTAGCTGGCTAAAATTGGAAAAAACAATGATTAGTAATCTGCTTACCCCATTCTTGATTAAACTGGACAAATCGAGGATCAGCAGTAAATTGGATTTCGGTGGATTGCAACCGTCACAGAAAGGAGTAGCTGAAGATTAAATTGTGCGACATGTGATAGATGCCCTGCCCCTTTGCCCTTGGCAATCCAACTTTAAGCTCAAATTTCTTGGTGTTGGGCTGTCCAATTTAAATAGTTTATGTACCAATCGATAGAGAAAGACTTGGCGCATCGAATGATACCAAGAACATTTAAATTTAATAATCCAACATCAAGATATTTGAGCTTAAAGTTAGATTGCCGATGGGAAAAGAGGGGATCAGATGTCCAATAAGCTGAAGATTAAGTTAAAGAAATTAGCCTAAACTGAATATCTATTATCTAAGCTTCATCAATTTAGAGTAAACTTTACTGGTAGTGATTGGATTTGTAGTTGTTGGTGTTGTCGTCGTCGATGGTTGAATGGTCGTCGATCCGGTTGTCGTCGGCGCGGCGGTGGTTGTCGGGGGTAAAGTGATCGGATTCGGGTCTAAAATTGTAGAAAACAAGTTACTTTAGTTTTTAAATGATTTAATATTCACCCAATAGATGCTCAATTTGTTGCACAATCGTTTCCGTATCCTTCACATCAGCCCATCCAAGTGCATCATTCGGTGTGGCCAAGGGAGCAATCACGGATGGATCCCCAGCTCCTCAAATGTAAATTTTATATAGTTATCAGATCGTTTTACATATCTAATTTATAATTTTAATATTTTAGAGTATTTTCAAGCTTTATATAGGTACAAAAAGCTGAAAATTAGCATTCTTTTGAGTTTGAAAAGCTTGAAAAGACTAAAATGTTGAATTTTGAGATTAGATATGTTTCTTTTAAAGTTTAAATATATTTTCTATATCTTAACTTATACGTTAGATCTATTTTTTCAAGATATAGATAATAAAATAGAGATTTTCAAGAGTATACTTCAATTTTTGTTCACCTATCAAAATCACAAGCACCGGTCCTAACGATTGGAGCTGAGTCGAGTACTGAACAGCGTTCTGGATGTCATTTGAGTCTCTAAAATCGAAAGGATTTAGATCTAGTTATAGAAAATCTATCTCTATTCTCTTTTTCTAGATATCATTTACTTAAAACTTACTGAGAAGTGATGAAAAAGATGACTTGTTGCATGCCAAAGTTTTTCAACGGCTCAAAAGAGTGCAAAGTTCGCTTGAAGGCACTAAAATTTCAAATTAGCAATAAATTAGCAATCAATTTCCATAGATCTTCTTTTAAAATTTAATATTAACACTCACACAGTGAGATTCGCTTTTTCTGGGAATTGCACAATGCTGTCGACTAAAATCGAGAAAGTGTTTGCATCGCGAAGATCACCGTATTGTGCGATCACCTGAAAAGAATTTTAAAAATGAAATTTTCCAAACTTTCCAAACAATTTCTAATCATCTATCAAAGAATCTATGTCTAATTAATCTTTTCTTTACTTCATAATGCTTATCCATGCCAGCATATGCTCCAAGCGCGACTCGTTCAAGATGAGTCCATTTTGATGCCAATTTCTTTGCTACTTGCGTTTGTTGGATGAACTAAATATGAATTAAAAAATTAAAACGTATTTCTATCCTTACAATATCTTTTGTTCCATTCGACGCATCCAAAACGAAAAGCAAATTAGACGCTTGTGGGATGCAATCGTTGCAAATTGGGGTGAATGTGGCTGGAATATGATTTTCAAAGTTTAATGAATATAGATATAGTAAGCTTCTATAAATTACTTGTGATTGGTGGAGCAAATGTTCTTGTCGTTGTCGCTGCCGTAGTCGGAGTTGTTGTCGGCGCAGCTGTTGTAGGTAAGTTTCCATGTTTTGTGTTACCACCGCAAATCCATGAGTTAATCTAAAAAGTACACCAATTTTTAGATTAAAACCAGCATGGGATCTAGTCTGATTTCTGGAAAATTCCTGACTCAGTCTCAGTATTCCTTCTCACAATTAGGAAAACAGTGTGACATCCAGATTGAAAGCTTTTCAAAACTAGAAATTTTATTTTCCAGAAAACCCCGAGCAATTCATTGAGACTCTGCTAGCGACACTGGAGGAGCAGAGGGCTTACCTCTTGCCCGGACTAGCCCGGTATTGCAAAAGATTGTGTGACTTCCAGATTAGAGGATGCAAGCTTTGGAACTAAGCCAAAAACAAATAGCAAGGCTTTTAGACGCTCAGCAAATGTAAAATTCTATCTCTATGGCACTTTTTAGTCCTTTGTGTCCAACTCACTTGTGCAATCAAATTATCATCCAACGATGATCGAGTCCATCTTGATGTCATCGCTTTCAAATAATCCTCATTCACATTTGCACCCAATCCGACCACGATTAAGTTCATTCCGTTCATTGTCGAATCGATCAAGTCAAGAGTTTCAATGGTGGATTGGACGTCATCGTAGGCGCTAAAGTTTAGATAATAAAGTAAAGAAGAAAGAAAGGAAGAAGAAAGAAGGGAGAAGAAAGAAGAGAAGAAAGCCTAGTACTTCAAATAAATCCCAACCTTGAATACGTGAAAAGCAGGGTGACTTTGGGCTGTGTTCCGCGTCGATTTTGGAGTCTCAACGTGTATAGAATACCTCTGGAATCAATTTTTTTCTCCACAAAAACCCCATTTTCAACTCACTGATCAATTCCCGGCGATCCTCCATAGTAATCAGCCTCATATCTTAGCAATTCTACAGCAAAATCGCTTGCATGTGAATAGTTAAATGGGTTCATGATGGGGTTTGTCGTCTAAACGAGAATTACTTTACTTTTTCGATACTCTTCCACAGAAATCTAATATTTTCAATGCAAATTTGTCTCAATTTTCTTATCATTGTCGTCAAAAAGAGTACGATAACAAAAGCACGCTTTAAAAAACAGACATACAAAGGCTGGTAAATTTTTTTTGAAAAAATTTCTTTATAGACTTCAAATTTGCATTTAAATACGTGTTGTGCCTTCCAATTTCGTCATATCTTCTATTATTTTGCTAAAATTTTCAACGAAAACTCACCGCAGCCGAGTAGAGAACAGCAGCCACTTCAGTCTCATCTTTAGCGATTGGCCAAGTTGGGGTCAATTTCAACGCAATATAGTCAACAAGCTGAATTTGAAAAAGATTAAATTTTACTTGTTAAAACAAACATTTTGGAAAATGGCCATATTTCCAACGGCTGAGCTTGAATCGATCAAAATTGAGACATCAGGATTGCAGACGAATTGCGAGGGAATCGTTGTTGGGATTGGAGTTGTTGTGGGTGGGGGTCTAAAGGAAAAAAAATATAGATTTTATAGACTTTTTCATAAAATTCTATTATATTTTAGCTTTTGTTTGTTTAACTTTGAAGAAAAATGTTTGACAAAATGATTTTATAGGATTCGGAATCCTCTCACAATCGGAAAACCTCTCGCACTCGGTATCAGTGCGCTAACTACTCGGCTATTGCGCGCCGCGTGATCAGTGGCGTACCCAGGATTACGCGACTTTCAGTTTAACGGCTCAAGCTCCTCAAGGCTACCCCCCAATCAATTTCTGACCAAGAAATTATTTTTTAATTTCAAGCTATAAAATTGTTTGAAGTTGGCCATTTCCACTTTTTTGAGTTTTTTCAATTTTTGATCGCGAAAATCTCGAAAACTAGATACGGTTCCAATACGATTCTTTTTAGAGCCAATACGGTTCCAATACGGTTCCAATACGGTTCTTTTTAGATCCAATACCATTCCAATACGGCTCTTTTTAGATCCAATACGGTTCCAATGCGAAAATCTCGAAAACTAGATGTACAATTTGATGTTGGTCAGCCCCTCTAGTCAAATTTTCTCTACTTTCTAAAAATCATAACGTTAGTTTTGTAAAATCAATTATTCATGCCTAAAAAAATCGTTTTGTCGAAATTTTTGAAATTAAAATGCAAAAATTTCGAGCCCTTCAAATTTTTTCAAAAAACTTTTTAGACAGTTTTGTAGCCTGAACTTTTTACAAAATAAAATCTCTTTATGGAAAATTGATTGGGGATAGCCAGGTGGAGCTCGGGCTGTTAGACTGAAAGTCTCGAGTGTAGAAGCTCAGCTTATAAATCTAGAAATCTTCGAGAACTTTATAACCAAATTGGGGTAAAAAAATGCACAAATTGCCAATTTTTATGCTATTTTATAATCCTACTGTGTTGTCGGCGGGAGTGGACCGTTTGCGCAAATCTGCCCATTCACTTGCTCGACGAATTGACTTGCTTTGTAGCTATCCGATCGGAAATTGAAACCGTCACCGGAGGAGAGCTGAACACAGTTTAATGTTTATAAAATGAGCTCTCGAATTTCAGCCGAACTTCAAGAATTGTCTTTGTCTAACTCACCGCCGACGCGTCAACCCCAGCACCGAATGAAACGGTGATCACCGAAGAGCCATTCTGCTTCAGCATATTCGCCCATTTTGACGCCACTTGCACATCGTCAACGAGACTGAAATGCTTGATTAAAGTCTATTTGAATCGATTTTACAATTATCATTATTTTCCGTAAATAAGTCGAATTCAAACCTGGAAGCTGTTAACAAAATAGTCGTTGCTGTGTAGCCGCTTGGAATCTCTAGCGTTGACGCTGTATGCAAAATTCTGAAAAGATTTGTTGAGTTTTATAGTTTAAAGTTTCCTAAAACTATCTTGTAGCCCAGTTGGGGTACAAGTTACAACTATCGTAATCCCGTAGAATCGTAGCTAAGCCTCAGGCTCGTATTTTATGAGCTTATCAAATCTGTCTCTCACTTGCTGACTCCAGCTTGATCACTCGGTCTCCAAACGATGTTTCTTTCCAATAAATCCATCACTTCTTGTGTGTTCAGCAAATCGAAATCAGCAAACATATTGACGAATCTCCTTGTGTATCCAAATCCGGCCACTGTGTACATTCCCGGTCCAACCACCCAACGAATCACCAACTGGCGAGCAAATTCTTTCAGCTGGAAATAAGTTATGTAAAAATTTCCAGTTTTTTTTAAACCTCTCCAGAAGATATTGGCGGAATTGCGGCCGATTCGTCGATCAACAAAATCACAGCTCGTTTACATGGAGAACTCATAGGTGTCGTGGATGGGATTGATGTGGATGGAGTTGTTGGTGTCATTGTTGGAGAAGTAGTAAGCGCAGCTAAAATGTCTTCAGTTTACACTGATTGCTGACTTGCTACCTGTCGTAGTTGGCGGAGTAGTGGTCGGTGCAGCGGTTGTAGTCGGAATCGGTGCCCCAAGAATGCTCATGATCGTATCAGCAATGTTTAAATTGGTTAAATCAGGCCACTGAAGGGCGTCACCATCTGTGGCCAATTGGGACAATGAAGAAACGTCCGACATGCCAACACCTGAATGAAAATAATGGATAATGATAGTACTGGTTTAATATTACAGTACGTTGTACAGATATTGACAAATATAAATTCAAAATATAGCTTTTAACTCACCAATGATGATGAGCTGTCCTCTGGCTCGAAGTGCTTGAGCATAGGGAATTGCTGCCATGATGTTACTTTGGGAACTGAAATAGAGAATTGTGATGGATGGATACACTAACTAAGTACACTTAACCAACTACTGTACTACTGATTTAAAAATTTGAAACCAACTTATCAGTTGTGAAGAAAATCACTTTCTCAGGCCCATCCATTGCCGACGGCTCAAATGAGCGAAGAGTTTTCTTCAAGCCACTAAAATTTGAATAATTAATAGACTTTGATTGTATGTCTAGATTTAATTAAATATTAGATATTTAATCTAATATCTAATATCTAATATCCAATAATTTCCATAGACTTACACAGTGATATTCCCATTGACCGCGTATCTCAGCACGGCAAAGTTCAGCGTGTTCTGCAAGTCGTCAAATGTGTGCAAGTCGCCGAATTGAGACAAAATCTGAAAAATTTGCGGACTTCACTTCCTAGAAGTCACCTCCTAGTGCAATGAAATTGATAGAATATTAAATAAAACCTCATATCTAGCGTCAGTGTCCGCAAAAGCGGCGAGCGCCACTCGCTCGAAATGGGTCCAATTTTTCGTCATTCCCAAAACAACTTGAATTTCGGCGGTGTACTAGAACTTGAAATTGATCATATTTAGATAATCGTTTACCTGATCATCATTCAATGTAGCATCAATGACAATAACAATGTTGGCCAATGGGGGAAGACAATCCGGGCAAGGGAATGGGCTGATTGCTGAAAGGAGAAGTAGGCAAAAATCAAATCAATCAAACCAAATCAATCGATTGACTCAAAAAGTACTTTTTGTTAAACTAGATTATTAAAATTGAATTGTGAATAGTACAAACTTGTAGTCGGTTCAGCAAACGGCGTAGTTGTTGTTGGAGAGGTGACTGTTGTGGTTGTAGGGGAAGTGATTGGTGGAAGAGTGCCCGGCTGGGTGTTCCCATCACAAATCAAGTCATTGATCTAAAGAATCCGAGTGTGCTTTTGAAATCGAATCTAGAGTAATTTAAGGTAAAAATGGTACAAATCAAATATTCTTTCTTTGTCTCCAATTTCCTCACCTTTTCAGCCATTTCTTTTCCAAGATCTCCCCAGAGAATTCTTGGAGAAATCGCTGACAAATAGTCGACATTGATATTATTTCCTAAACCGATAACGATCACATTCACACCGCCATCGATTTGATTCAAAAGTGGAGCCGATCGAGCGATGTCAGAATAGTCACTGAATGATTTGATTGAAGTTTTAAACTTAAAATATCAACACCTTAAGAATAAATCTATCTAATCAGTACTTTGAAGTATCACTAGGCTGTTCTTTGTGCTCTTAAGCCTGTAAACAAAAGCTTTCTAGCGCACTGAACTGATAACTAACAAATTCAGTACACTAGGAAGCATAGGTTTACAGTTCAGTAGTATTAAAACAAAAAACAAACCAACCTCGACCACGTAAACAAAAGAATGACTTTTGGATGTCCTCTTTGCCATTGCTCGTGTCCGATCATGAATTGTAAACCACTAAAAACCTCTTTGAAAAGTCAAATTTTCTATCCAAACTTTGCCATTGATGGATCTCCTCCATACCACAAATTATAGGAATTCTTTAGAGTTGCAGCGAAATCGTTGTAATCAACATATTCATTATTGTTAGCGCCAAGAAGTAGAGCCCACTGGAAATATTAGAATTTTGATTGAATCAAGATAATCTTTTACCCTAGCTGTATAAAAATAGACAGAGACTTCGGTGTGATTGAGAGCAATGGGCCAATAACGAGCGAGCGGGTCCAAAATGAATGACGTCATCTAAAAGAAACATTCAAGTCTTGTTTAGTCTTGTTTAATCAAAAATTTCACTTACACTAGCCACTCCATCCTCTTCCCCAACAACGGCATCACTGCTGTCGATAAGAATCGAAATATCTGGCTGACATTCAAATGGAATAGAATGCGTTGTGGTGACAGTCGTTGTGCTTGGGGTTCTGAATTTAAATTGAAACCAAAAGACATTCAACTTTTCCTCACGTTGGAGTCGTTGTTGTTGGTGGTGGAGGGCCGTTCTGGCAGATCAAAGTGTTGACTTTTTGTGCCACTTCATCCCAACCTGTTGCTGCATTAAGATAGAAAGCAAAATCAGGTGATGAGGCCAACTAAATGGTTCATAAAATCTATAATCTATTCAAATACTTACCACACTTGCATCGGATTTGATCGAAACGGTGATCACCGAGCTGCCATTTTTCCGCAAACTTTCAGCATATGGAATAGCTGAGTGGAGATCATCGGGACGACTTAAAATATGATTTTGTACTTGTATTTTGTACTTGTCAAATGTTTTTCTATACTCTATCGTAGAACTTTTGTTAGCGTTTCCTAAAACGCGCTCTTTTCAAGTATTTAATAAGTTTTTGGAGAGGGAAATTTCATTTTGATTTAATTTTTTAATAGATTTTATCCACTAACCCATTAAATTTTTAAATAACCTTCCTCCTTTTCAATAAATATCTTTAACGTTTTTTAATTTAGATCTGGTATTGGAAAATGACGACCGATCATTCAAGCGACTCTCTTCATTTCGTCGACTTTGGGAATCAAGCAACAAAGGATGCAAAAACAGTGGTCATGGCTTTGCTGATGTTGTTGGCATTCCTATGCATTTCAGAAGCCGCCGCCCTTCAATGGATGCCAAAGGAAAAACCTTTCACATGGAAGATCTTCATCAAACGAGCGAAGAATGACTAGCTAGCCAAGGGTCGAAACACATTCATCTTGTTAGGAAAAGAAGGCCACGCTGAAAAGCTCTGGAATCGTTGAAAGATCAAGAAGATGGAGCAGGACTACATGTTTCCGGGCCACGTCAAGAACATCTTTCAACCCCAGGACCGCCTTCAAGCACATTAAAGGACTCCTCGTCATGCTGGGACTTCAAAAGCACAAGTCGCACTCACTTAGGATAGAAGGAGTGACAACAGAAGCCGCCAAGGGAATGTCTCTCGAAGCTCTTCGTCGCCGAGGTCGTTGGAATTCGCTGGTCGGGATAGAGCCTTCACGATTCAATAGGGGCACAAGGAGGAACCACAAAAATTAAGTAAGCCAAGGAATGCGATTGAGGTTTTGTTTTGTCTCTCGCTGTACATAATATTGTTGCTCGTTCAGATTGTTATTCCTTCCAAATGTTAGTCACTCTTTATTTGATTAGAGTGTATGTTTCAATTTTCCCTATTAACCAACAAGCTCTCAAAAAATGCAAACGCAAATTTGCCTACCTTTTTACTACATTTATATATATGAACTTGCAAAATATAATTAAAATTTATGATTTGCGATATGAATTTATGATAGATTTGAGTAAAATCTTGTGATTTTTAATCTTATCTTTTCCATAATCTTTTACCTAGATGCTGTGATGAGAATTGTTGTCGTTTGCTCGCGAATTGGTGGTAATTGATCGGTGGCTGCGTGGAGAACTCTAAAAGATAAAAGATTGAAGATCATCAAAAACAACTTCAAACTCAAACTCACTTCGTCACTCCGGATTGAGCTGATCCATGCCAAGCCACATTTAAATCGATCAACAACTTCAATTCATCCACTGAATTCACATCGAATGTTGTGATCGCGTTGACGAGGGATTTTGTGTAAACGAGAGTCGCCACAGAGTATTCATCACGCGACAAATTCCATGAGGAAATCAGTGAGAACAAGAAGTTTTTGTACTAAAAATGACTCGATTGAAGATTTTCTAAAGTTCCTGGCTGATTTTTAGATTGATTTTAATGGCTGTTGTAGCCTGGCTTGGCTATTGTAGCCTGGCTTGGCTATGATAGCGATGAAATCTAGCTTTCTCTAGTAAATCTAGCTTCTTACATCATTAAACGATGTCTCTGGTACATCCATTGATTCATCAATCAACAGAATAACTCCTCTTTGACACGTTGATGGCTTTGGAGTTGATGGAGTTGATGGCAAAGTTGATGGAGTTGATTTTGTGCTCGGTGTTGTGCCTGTACCAGTGTAGGGTTGAGTGGTTGTCGTTGTTGGGACTGGAGTTGATGTCGTTGGTCCAACGGTAGTTGATGGTGGTGGAGCTGAATTGTTCAATTACACGAAAAGCACCATATCCTTATCTACTCAGCTCGGTTATGATGCGATTCAAAGCCGAGTTTCTTGGTGAACTTGCCTATCTTAGAATGACATTAATTTTTAGATAACCTTCTCAAAGGTAGTCGCAAATTGAATGCCAAAAAAAGATCTCAAATAAAAACGAACTCAATGTGGCATCGATTGCATCAACCAATCCATCAGTATTCCTCGTGGATGGCCACGGAATCGCATCTCCAGTTGTGACAAGTGGATCAAAGGCGCTAACATCTTGATGATTGATTCCAACGATTGTCAAAGTGCCCAGTGCCTAAAGTTAACGGTTTTTTAGTGTTTGGACAATTGATTTGATTAAATATGGATCTTTACATGATTTTAGATCTAGAAATGGCTTTAATTAACTTTAATTAGCTCTAAATCAGCTCTAAATCAGCTCTAAATCAGCTTCAAAGATAGTAAATAACATAGAATCTTAAAGAATCGTACAGCTCAAGTGTTTAACGAATAAAATCCAGCTTACTCTTAGCCCATCAGCCCATTGTTGTGCTTGTGCGATTCCCTGGGATGTTGTTGTGAAAACGATAGTATGCTGTAGGCCGTATTGCTGCAATGGAGTGAAACGGCGAAGAGTTTGACGGAGAGCACTGAATAGAAGCGAAATTGAAATCTTTAGCGAAATTTGAAGAGTTTTTCTTCTTCCAAGCGATTCAACTCGATTTTCTATTCACCTAGCCAAATCCGGTGTCCCGTTTACTTGAGCCAAATTGATAATTAAATTGCCAGCTTCTCGAGCTGAATGCAAATCCGTGTAGTCAGCAATGTTCACATAATGATCGTGATCTAAAGATCTCAGATCAGAGCCTGTGAAAGATATTCAGTTAACAAACCAGCAAACGCAGCAATGGCAACTCTTTCCCAATGATTCCACGCATTAAATAGCTTATTCGCTAAGAAAGAAAGAACCAAACGATACTGAAAATATCGATTGATGTGATTCTTAATCATTTTTTGTTTAAAGCTATCTTACATCTTGATTACTGTATCCAGTAGATGCATCAAAGACAACAAGAAGTGAAGACATTTCTGGATAACAATCTGCGCACGGAGCAATAGCTGAAAAGAGGATTTAAGGAAATTTTTGGATAATTAGATCGAATCCAAATTATTCAACCATTATTAAATCTATCTAATATTCATAAAATCTACTTGGAATTGATGTAGTCACTGGTGGCTCTGTGAATCGTGTCGTTGGCATCTTTGTTGTCGTTGTATTTGGTTTAACCGTTCCAATTGATGTTGTTGATAAAATGTGTGGCGGTTTTGGATTACAAATTGCTGTGTTTAGCTGTAATCTTCTTTATTTCTTTTCTTTTCTCATTGACTTTTAAAGCAGCTAAAGATCTTCTTTAAACATATCGTCACTCACTTGCAAAACCACATCATCATCATAGCCAAGCTTTGCGATCACTGTCCCACTCAACACTCCCAACAAATCCTCATCGATTCCTTTACCCATTGCGACGATTATCAAATTCCCGCCCCACTCTTGCACAAATGGAATCGAAGCAACAACATCCGAATAATCACTAACAATAAATTACAATAGTTACATCACTACAACTCTTCTACAATAATCTTCTTAATACTATCTAGCTACTCACCTTGAATATGTAACCAAAATAGCGACTTGTGCTTTTCCGCGAGATTCTTTCGATAAATATTTCAACAATGAGACCCCACTGAAATCAGTTTTTTATCTTTTTTTGACAGAAATTCTATATAAACTTCTAAAGTTACAGTACTCTTTAATAGATGAATGCCCGGAATAGTAATCGGATGATTTTGAGAACAAAACGCGCTGGAAATCGGCTGTCGAAGTGTATTGATAGGGACGCTCGAAGATCATCGGTTGTTCCTGAAGTCAGACAGATTTTATAAGTGGATAGATTTAGAGAATCTATTTAGGTAGCTTGATACTATTAGCCAACAAATTTAACTAGATCCAAGAATCAAACAAGGTCAGAGCCAAGTCCAACCTGCCAGCTGGCCTAGCAACCTGGATTCTACCGTAATTCTAGGCTTGGCAACCGTCGTCTAGATATTAGATAGAAGATTTAGATTGTTCTTGCCAGACTAGACAAGGCCAAAGCCAGTTCTAACCTAGTTCTACAGCTAAGCCTACTAGTCAAGCCTACCAGCAAGCCTAACAGCAAGCCTACCAGCAAGCCTACCAGCAAGCCTACCAGCAAGCCTACCAGCAAGCCTACCAGCAAGCCTACTAGTCAAGCCAAAACCTGACCCTAGCCTGATCTGGAACAGCCTAATCTTAGATATTTAAGTCTTAAATATTTATTATTGTCTTAAAGATCTCTATTTAAATTTTACTTTTGTATAAATCGCTGCCGAAGCCTCGGTGTCAATCGGTGAAATGACCCATGTGGAAGCGACCGAACCCGCAAAGAAATTCACTTGCTAAACGGGATTTTGCATTGAAAATTGGAATTTAAAGTGTAAATAGATGATTCTAAATCTAAATCCGATCTATTACCTTTTCGAATTCCTCTTCCGATCCAACGGCTATTGACGAGTCGAAAAGAATCGCAATGTCGGGTTGACAAGTGTAGGGCGGAGTTGGAGCTGGGGTTCTAAAGGAAAAATTATCCAAATATCTATCGATAATCAATAGATAATCAATAGATAATCAGTTTTTAAATTAATTTTATGCGAATTCCTTAGCCTCACGTCGTTTTCGGGACGGTAAACCCGTAAATGGCGTCATTGAGTTGAGCGGCCAGGCTGTCCCCTCCGCTCAACGATCGATCCATAAATGAGTATTGATCGCCGGAAGATAACTAGATAAATTAGAGGGATAAATGAGAGATTTATTGGAGATATCTGGCTTTATTTAGAGAATTTTCCTAACCGCATTCAAAAGATCGGAATCCACAGTGTCGCCAACCCCCAAAACGACGAGAAAATCGCTGGGTGGTGATTTAAGAATTTCCGCGTATGGCTCGGCTTTCACAAAATCGTACGCATCACTAAAATATCGAATTTTATCGATCTGGAACGCACGATAACTGTACGAGTTATTACCAGTCAATAAATCTGTAATTAGTAAAGCTTGTAGCTGGTTAATCCTGGGATTTCAGTCTTTTTGCAAAAATCGTCAGAACTTTTCCCAGAAGCGTTCAATCAATTTACACTAAAAGAAGAAAATTAAGCAAAATCTTCATTCTACAGATTGGTTACAATCATTTGAAGATTTAAAGCTTTTGGAGCGAGTTAGATAGGCTTAAAGTTGAGCAGAGAGGCAAAAAAAATCGTGACCACCCAACTTTGAGCCCATTTAGCTTGCTCGAAAAGCTTTAAATCTTCAAATGATTGTAGCCAATCTGTAGAATGAAAATTTTGCTTAATTTTCTTCTTTTATTGTAAATTGATTGGACGCTTCTGGGCAAAGTTCTGATGATTTTTCCAAAAGCACTGAATTTCCAGAAGCACTGAAATTTCAGCTACAGGCTGATTCACTCCAACTACCGTAATCCGTAACTAGTTTTGTTCCGTAGTGGTTCTATTATAGATTTAGATCTAGAACTAGAACTAGAGCTAGTTCTAGTTCTAGTTCTAGTTCTAGTTCTAGATCTAGATTTGACACCTGGATCCAGTGATGAGCAGAGTTGTTCTCGGTGTGTTCGGCCTTGTGCTGTGCAAGATGTTTACTCGTTTTAAACCACTAAATCTTTATCTTAACAACGATTTTGTTCGTTATTCTACAATAATATTTACCCTAAAGTCTCGAGTATAAGTTCTGCTTTAATTTACATTCGCTTTAATTGCTTTGAATTTCTTTTTGTTGGATTTTTATTGTTATATAAACTTTTATTAATGTTCTTGGAGCGCTGGGATAATACAGGATGAAAGTCTATGCATGGATACATCCAGATGATAGTGTTGAAGAAGGAAAGCATCTCTTTCGCCCGTTGATGTGGACTTTGGCCGGATGAAGAGGCCAGGGAGGGATGAAGGGGCCAGGGATCCATAAGACTGAGCACTGGAGAAGAGCAGGGCGAGCCACGCACGAGCCACGCGAGCCAGCAACAAATAACAGCATAAAATTGCTATAACCCTTCTTGCTATAACCCTATAAATTGACTTCTATTATTGTTCTTCTTAAATTCTTAAAAAGCAAGAAAGTGATGCTGCAGCGGGGCTCGAACCCTCGACACACCGCCACCGGAGACAGCCGTCAATTTGCATTGCGAAAACCAAGACAGAACTTATACTCGCGACTTTAGGGTAACCCAAATTCTCCTCCGATTCCTTACTTCGAAACACTCGCATTAAATTTTCCCTCAAATTGCATCAATGAATCAATAATTTGCGAAAGCTCACTCCGACTGTAAACATCAAAAGAATCGTACAAGTTGAAGTGACTAAAAAGTATTGTTAAATTTGTTAAATTAAATAAATAACGGCTATTTACAGTATTTACGATACTTAGTATAAAAAAAAACATCATTTTACCGATTATCGTACTCTCCAGCGGCCACCAAAAGTGATGTACTTCCAATGGAAAGTTTCGGAATGAAATTGCTTTGCAAAAAGGCTTTCAGCTAAATATTTTAGAGTTATGGATGTCACTTTACAACTTTAGCTTTTACCTGATTGAATTGAGTCTCATTTAAAGCATTCGAACTATCGATCAACAAAACGAGATCACGAACAGCCGGATTTGGTGGAGATGTGGTGGCTAAAATGAATCATTTTTATCTATCTGGATGTCATAGATCCTCATTCTTTCTTTTTCAAGCTTAAAAAATGCTTCCACAAAATTGCGAGAATTTTCTACCTGTTGGTATTACACATTGAGTGGTTGGCTGAGCGGTGACTGGTTCAGTGGTTGTCAGTGTGCTTGCTAAAGTATAAATAACTGGTCCAGTGGTTGTCAGTGTGCTTGCTAAAATCTCTAGTATTAATAGCAAAAATAGTGATACCAGTTTTCAGTAACAAAGATCAGTAAACATTCCCACCAGTGCTCTGTCCAGTTACTGTTGTTGTCGTAGCCATTGTCGGAGAATTTGTCGATGTTGTGAACCCGGTAGTTGTATTTGGTGTCTGTTGAGTAACTATAGTTGTTGTCGAGGTTGATCCAGTAGTTGGCCCAGTAATTGGTCCAGTTGTTGGTCCAGTAGTAGGGCCAGTAGTTGGCCCAATAGGTACAGTAGTTGTAGTAGTTCCTGAAGTCAGAGTCAGTTCAGTCCACAAGTTAAATTCTAATATCTATAACTCTTAGGTTACGGTAGTCTGACTGTCTTTAACTACAGGTTACAATAGCCTGGCTGGCTTTAACTACAGGTTACGGTAGTCTGGCTGGCCTTAACTACAGGTTACGGCAGTTTGGCTGGCTTTAACTACAGGTTATGGTAGTCTGGCTGGCTTTAACTACAGGTTACGGTAGTCTGGCTGGCTTTAACTACAGGTTACGGTAGCCTGGCTGGCTTTAACTACAGGTTATGGTAGTCTGGCTGGCTTTAACTACAGGTTACGATAGCCTGGCTGGCTTTAACTACAGGTTACGGTAGTCTGGCTGGCCTTAGCTACAGGTTACGGTAGTTTGGCTGGCCTTAACTACAGTTAAAGTACTACTACGGTGGTTTTAATTTTACCTGTTGTAGTTGGTGATGTAGTTGGAGTACTAGTTAAACCTAAACCCATTTTATCTTAAGATTTTTGTCTACTGTACCAGTTGTAGTTGCGGATTTACTTGTGCTAGCCGTACTTGTAGAAGTAGTTGTTGTACTTGTTGTTGTCGTCCATACCGATGTTGTCACCAAGTTCTGCAAATCGTTTACCATAACACAAAGCTGGGATGCATTCGACGATGGGATGTTGTCACCTGAAAACAAACTTGCCGTACTTTATGCTAGAGACACTTGCTCTCTAGGGCACTGCTAGACATGAAATGTCTATGAAAAGACAATGTACGATAACTAAACTGTTATCTGTACCAGAAAGGGGTTTCCGAAAGTACAAAGTAAAATCTCAAAATCTGTAAATTCCCTTCACCAACCCATCACTTGATTCACATTGACACTCTCCATCGTTTCCAAATGTTTCTGCACTTCCCAAGCGCTGATTTCTGTAGGAAAGATGAGCGCTGAGATCACATTCACACCGACATCCGCTTTCGAGATGCCAAGACTGAAATGCGTTTGAGAAATGTACACTTACCACTACACGAAAACTATGCAGAAAAGCGTGCATGGATGATAGCGTGGATGATAGAGTCAAATCATTCAGTATTGCAGAGACAAAGCATTCAGTAAGCCAGAGTCAAAGCATTCAGTAAGCCAGAGTCAAAGCATTCAGTATGGCAGAGTCAAAGCATAAGCATAAGCCTTCTTTCACTTACACATTGACTTGTGGACTTGAATCCTCATTGAATTCCATCATTTTGACATTGATATCATTCATTGCTTGTAAAATCTAAAAGAAACATTCTTTATTTTAAGATTTTCACTCTTTATTTTAAGTTTTTCACTCACTAAAGTCCTTATTTTATCAGCTGTTCCTTGATAATCATTCTGCACTTCATCATAGGTTATTGAAGTGAAACCGAGAGTAGAATAGTAGGGACGAATGATTGGTGGCGATGGGCTTGGACCTAGATATCAGATTGATAGATATCAGACCTAGATATCAGATAGATAGATCTGATATCTAGCCTTTTATTAAGCTAGAAAAGGATCTGACAAGCTAGAAAACAAGCTTTTCAGGTTCTATTTCATGATACCGAATTTTCTAGTGCACCCAGAGCCTCGCCTAAATTCCACGAAATCTCGAGAACCGCTTATCAGAACCTATCGCTTATCAGAACCTAAATGTAGCTGAGAATGAGATCTAGTGGGGGATTTGAGTGTTGAGCTACTGGGAAAGCTTGGAAACGAGTTGATGACCAAAATAGTGACCAACTCGGCTGAGAAAATGCGGTATTCAATCGAATTCTTACAAATTACTTTTAACTAAACTTACAACTTGTTGAAATCTCTGTTGGAAGCTGTGTTGGACCTGGAATTAAGCTTTTTATTCAGTTTATTTCAAGCCAAAAACTAACAAGTGATTGGTGGAAGAGTTGGACAAGTTGATGGAGTTGTTGGAGTTGTTGGAGGCACTGTTGGACCTAAAATAAACAAGATTTCACTTCATTTGACGCTTCTTACAAGACTTCTTACAAAAAGACTTACAAGTAACTGGTGGTGGAAGGGTTGGGCCTAAAAGAAACAAATAAATAGTTGAAGAACTTACAAGTTATTGGAGGTGGTTGAGTAGGACAACTCGGTGATGTCCCTGGCACTTCTTTTTCAGTTCTCTTTCCATTATTGTGAATACCAACGCCTAACATTACTGCACCAGCAATCAAAAAAAGAAGAGAAACACCCAATAAAGCGTACAACCAATACTGAAAATTCGACATTTTCGACAAAATTCGACAAAATCTAAGTTAAAAATTTTAATTTCAATTTTAGCTAACATTTTAAGCTTTTAAAAGACACTGTGAGTTCCAAAATGGTTATAAATTAAGTAAAAGATCATAGATCATCTAGTATTAAGCTTTAAAATCTTTCATAACCTTTTTGACAGTGGTTACCTCGATTTCCAACATTTTATCAACAATTTACTCAAATCCTACAATGAAACTCATTCAATTGAGCATTCATTTTCAACGTTCCCATTCATTTCCACATTCCCTTACCGGTTGTTTCCTCAACTTTGTCATGTAATCTTCGGGTGGATATCTGTCTCCACTCCTGTTTTCATCAAAATCCTCATTTGTCTCATTTTCCAATTGATCTCCTCTCCTTTCATACGAAGAACCGTAGCCACCGCCACGGCCCCAGTCTGAGCTCATCTAGAATCTACAATCAACTTTAACAAACAATAAACTTTAATAGAACAAAAAGAATAAACAAAATTTTTTTTATGCAAAAATTTTTGAAATTTGAAATTTTGTTTAATATAAAATGTTTATTTTTTAAAATCTGCATATCTTATTTAATTTTCTTTTATACTTTTTCTAAATCAAAGCTTTTAAATTAATATTTGCTTTAGATCATGCTCAATCAAAAGTATGCTGTGTGCGCGTGTCTTCTCGTGTTCTAGATGGGCAAAAGTCTTGCCAAATCACATCGTCTGTGCCGGCTTACGTCCGCTATTTGGAAATAATCAGAAAAACCCAATCGTAATGGACGATAGGTTCCACATGTATTGAGCAGGGGAATCTTGCGAGCTAGTTTACCCGATTCTGAGAATATATTGAATCTCTTGAAGACGAACCACAAAGGCATCACTCGAGAGTGATCGATAATGAATTGGAACAACTTATTGAATCGGATCCAATACAAACAACACGAGAGCTTTCCAAACAATGTAATCAATCAACAATTGATTGATTGATCAACAATTGATTCAAAGCTACAATGTAATCAATCAACAATTGTCCGCTATTTGGAAATAATCAGAAAAATCAATCGTAATGGACGATAGGTTCCACATGAATTGAGCAGGAGAGTCTGGGAGTGATATCTTGCTATGTATCTTGCCTATCTTGCTTCGAGCCATAGTAGAGCTTCTTGCTTCTCAGTCGAGCTACTCAAGTCGAAAAGAAGCTATTTTTGAGAATATCTTGGTAGAGAAGTGGATTCATTTAGATAACACTTCTCAAAAAGCACAATAGCTTAGCAAAGCAAGCTTAACAAAGCAGCAAAGCAAAGCAGCAAAGCAAAGCAAGCTTAGCAAGGCAAGCTTAGCAAGGCAAGCTTAGTAAAGCAAGCAGAGCAAAGCAAGCATAGCAAAGCAAGCATAGCAAAGCAAGCATAGCAAAGCGAGCTTAGCAAAGCATACTTAGCAAAGCAGACTTAGCAAAGCAGACTTAGCAAAGCAGACTTAGCAAAGCAGACTTAGCAAAGCAAGCAAAATGCCAATTTCAATGGATGGGCACAAAATGATGTCGTCTTGCTGGTGGAAGATCAACAGGCTTGTTTATTTCGAATTATTAAAGCCCGGAAAAACAGTTGATTCCCCTTTTATTCAACAGCTCAAGAAGATTGACCAAATTTTGCATTAAAAGGGTTTAAATCCCTCGACTCAAGCACACACAGTGAAAGCCTCTTGTTTGGAGTTAAAGGCATTAAGATAGAATGTCTTACCGTATGCGCCATACAATCTAGACGTCTGTCTTGTCTTGTCTTGTCTTGTCTTGTCTGGTCTTGTCTTCTCTTCAGCTCTTGTCTTCTCTTCAGCTCTTGTCACCTCTTCAGCTCTTCAGACCGATGCAAAATTCCCTTGAGAATTGTCAGTTTGCTTGCCAGTTTGCCAGAATGAGCAAGAGATCAAAATCTCGTTGACTGACTACTTTCAATCAAAAAATCAAGATTTCTTCGATAAATTTCTTTTGTATTAACCTATTGCAAAGAATTTTCGAATCAAATTTCTTTCTTTTCCTCAATTATTACTTCTGATTAGTCAACTTATCTAAACGAAAAAAGAAACGCCATATGTTTCCTCTTTGATTTCCTCTGTTTCCTCTACTTTTTGTGGTACCACACCCAAGAAGTCAAAAAAAAAAAAATGAAAAAGGAAAATGAAAAGGGAAAATGTTGTGGGAAATTCACAGATGGGAAAGAGTAAGCACGCCTTTTTTCTTTTCGAGAAAAAGGAGTTGCCCATTTTCTGACAGCAAAGCTTCGATTTGAGAATCGATTTTGACTTAAAGTCAGCTTAAACTTTAAGCCGATTCGAGCTTTTTAAGCTCACTAAAGATCAATAAGCTGGAATTATTGAAGAAGCGATTAAGAAGATTACTGTAAGCTGCTTAATGAATGCTACAATTCATTTGTGGTTGTTGCAATTTGATAAATTGCAAATTTATCAAATTGGTCAGCTAGAATTCTTGAAAAACTATCAATAAGAATATTGAAAGGAAAGGAAAATTGAGAAAGTTAAGAGAAAATAAAGTATTGAAGTTATTTGAGAGATTTGGATTGGCGTTTTATACATTTTTGGGAATAGAAGAACTGAATGAGAACGGTTTTTGCCATTTTAAGAGAACAAAACTCGATTCTGCTATACTGAAGCAGTACTGCTATGCATTTACTTCAGTAAATGCATTGCAGTACTGATTCAGTACTGCTTTAGCATTAGATTTTGAAGATCTTGAAGATCTGGTGTTCAGCTAATATTGAAAATGCTTATGTGAAAGGATCAGCTCCACTATGGACAAACTGGTTTGTTAAATTCCTTTCTGGGGATCTTCAAAGACAAAGAGACATTCAGCAATCTAGCTGGATAAGCTGGCTTGCTCAGGCTTCTGTAGAGATATTTCTAGATATTTGTAGAGAAAAGGAATCAAAACTGCAGAGAAAAGGAACCAAAGCTTTACCAAAAAGGAACCAAATCTGTACCAAATCCAAGACTCTTTCGTAGTAGGATTTTGGTTTGTGTGTGAGACTCAAAAATGGAGAACTGGATATGTCAGCTGCCAGCCCAGTTTGAGCACTTTCTTCAAAAGAAACCCATTGTGGTGTCAATAGAAAAGTTGTAGAGAATCAAAAATTAGGCTTAAAGCCAAATTTCCAAAAAGATACACTCAGTAGTTTCGCTTAAAATGCAAGTTTTGTGAAAATTTGACATTTCTTTTGTGTAAATTTGGCATTTCTTGAAAACCAGTTTTTGAATCGTTCTGAAAATTTGGATATAAGCTTGATTTTTGATTCTCTACAACTTTTCCATTGACACCAAAATGGGTTTCTTTTGAAGAAAGTTCTTAAACTGTCACATATGACAATCACCGGCAGTTTTCAATTCACCAACCCAATAATAATACTCAAAAATTGGATAAATTTGGGAAACGGGATTAAGAACTTCGATTCCACATGATCTAAACGGACACCCAGAAATGGCAAATCAGAAATCATTGTCACTCATTGGATGATTGGATGATTGGATGGTGATGGCCCATCCAGTAAACAGCCGTGATCTTGCACCTTTTGATTACTACTTATTCTAGATGATGAGCAATGACTTGGCAAATAAATACTTTGATTCTAAAGAGATCAAAAAATTGACAGATTGGCTTTGCGTCAAAAATCAAAGATTTTCTAGAAGAGAGGCATTCGAATTCTACCAGTAAAATGAGCACAAATTATACAAAATGATGGGGAAGATTTGAGGTTGTTAAATAAAGAATCTGATACCTAGCAACGTGCCACTTGGTTGGGGTCGTCGGCTGGGGGCCGATCCCGATCAATCCCTCTCCTCCACACCCGCGGTCAAGAAGCTGACTAACAAGCGCCATAAAGACAAATGTCATTTCATTTCAAAAAACGTGCCAAGTCTGGACGCCCAATATTAAAGGAGCAGCATAATCGATTAAGCAGTTTAATCAATTAAGCATCTTACTCGATTAAACATCTCAAAACAGTAAACATCTAAAAAACCCTTAAAACCACAAAGTCGAATACGGTAAATCGAGAAATGGTAATCCATAAATCATCCCTTCGAATTGAGTGGCTCCCGAATGACGGGCGGAATGTGTTTCCCTTTCTTCTTTTCGCCGCTTTTCCCTAAATCTAAATCTCTTTTACATAGTGGGGCGTAGTGGAAATTTATCAGTTTTTGTTCCTTTCAAATATTCTGAGATAAGCTTTTCTCTCCTCTTTTCGCCGCAAAATTTACAACCCAATCCACACCCGCCATTTTTCACCCCATTAATCACTTTTAGGGACCATTATTATTTTTTTTTTATGTCAGAGATTCGAAAAGTTGCCAAGGTTATAGTAAATCTGTGATCTAGAACTATGAAACTCGTCAAATTTAGACAGTGCGCTGCAAAATGATAGGGCCACTCTCGCAAAATGATACGCCACTCCAAAATGATACGCTGCAAAAGCGCCACTCTCGTTTTTTTTTTGCGATTTTTCATTTTAAATAACTAAAGATGCAAAACGATGCTTAAATTCGAATTTTATTTGCAAAACTACGTACAAATACCGTTTACGAAATCATTCCCTTTAAAAGCCACAATTTTTTAAGCATTTCTTTATTTTACACTTGTTGCAAAATTATTTTGCACCACGTTTCTTTTTGATTTTCTACCTGTAATAACCTTTTTACTAATTTTTATTTTTTAGGAAGATGGGGCGTGGAAAATCGCTTTCCCGAATCGAACAGATCAAAATTACGATTTTGAAAGGAAGAAAAAGGTCGAATCGGAAGATCGCAAAGAAAATAAAGTGCTCGCATCAAGTTGTCGCAAATTTCTTGAAGAATCCTTTCAATTATGGCAAGAAAAAGTCTCCGGGACGTCATCGAAAGCTAACGATCCGCTCTAAACGGCATTTTGGACGTCTGTTGTCGAATTCGGTGATGTCGCTACAGGACCTCAAGACAAAAATTGGAGGCCCCGTCCAGAAAAGCACTGTTTCTCGAGCCAACAAATGCCTTAAATCAAAAGAACAATCATGAAGAAAGCAACAAAACTGAAGCCGGCACACAAAGAAAAAAGGCGTCTTGGACTCGGGAGCACATCACAATCAATTGGAGAAAAGCACATCTTTTGCCTTGAGTTGTTAACCAATTTTTTTTGCTTTATAGGTCTTCTTCAGCGATCAGAAGAAATTTAATTTGAATGGTCCAGACGGCAACAAGTACTATTGGCATGATTTGAGGAATGCTTTGTGGACGTCGAAACTTCGGAGGAGGATCACTGATGGTATGGGGCGCCTTCAATGTGGATGACGTTCTTGATTTAAGATTTGTACCTTGTCACATGGACTCGAACAATTACCAGGACGTCCTTGCGGATCAATTGCTTCCTTTCCTAGTACAAAACCGAGGGAAACACTATATTTTTCAACAGGATAATGCTTCAATTCATGTCAGCCAAAATAAAGCTTTCCTGCGACGTCACAACATCGATTTTCTCAAATGTCCTTCCTGCCCAATAGAAAACTTGTGGGACATCCTCGTGAGGAATATTTATGCTAATGGGAAAACGATTTCGTGACTCAAAAGAGCTATTTTGCAAGCTTGAACGTCAATTTTATCACAAACGCTTTAAAACTTGATGAACTCGATGAAAAAGTGACTACTAAACGTTATCGAGAAAAAGGAAGCATCTATTGATTATTAATGAATTTTTCGTTCTTGTTTTTTGTTTGTATCAAGTTTATTTTCAGATTTATTGTTATTTTTTCTGTGATCATTTTGCAATAGATGTTAAAGAAAGAAATTATTATATTGAACAATAATTTTATTGTAATTTATTTAAATAACGTTAGAAACGGTATTTATTTAATTTTTGTATATATTTATACGATTTTAAAGCCATTAATTTGTTGTTTTTTTATTGAAATGAAGAAATGAAGTCACCTTTCAGCTTTTATAGAGTCCAGAATGCGGAAAAACGAATTCTTTTCTTTTTTTTCGTTAATCCGATTATAGATTGATAGACGAATTATCACACTTTCCGAAAAGCTTCTGTTGCAAAAATTAAGAAGAAAAAAAAAATGGTAAATGAGTAGAAAAGGGATTACCAGGGACGTCCTGGTAATCCAGGACGTCCTTGCGGATCAACTGCTTCCTTTCCTAGTACAAAACCAAAGGAAACACTATTTTTCAACAGGATAATGCTTCAATTCATGTCACCCAAAATAAAGCTTTCCTGGGACTTGAGGTATGAATCTTTATGGAATGCAGAAACATTTTAAATAAAATACATTTTGAGATCAAAATCACATTGAGAAGATCAAGATCACATTGAGAAAATGCTTGCTTCTCATTTACGTTTAATCTTCTACTCATTGGCCATTTGAAAGACGACGCGAATGCTGAAATTTTAAACTATTCCAATTCTTTTTCTTTCCCAACCATTTCCCCGTCTTCATCAATTCAATCGCTTCAGCCAATTGCTCTAACTGAAAACGATGAGTGATCATTTGATCAGTTTCCAACTCTCCGTTCATCACTTTGTCCACCAATTTCGGCAAATCATCCACCGTATGCCAATCTGGAATGCACAGAATGGAATGGTCGAGAAATTTTGGCCTTTAATACAAGCTATGACTTGGCTGACAGGTCATAGTGTCAATCTGGAGTGCACAGAATAGAATAGCTAAGAAATTTTGGTCTTTAATACAAGCTATGACTTGGCTGACAGGTCATAGTATCAATCTGGAAGGCACAGAATGGAATGGTCGAGAAATTTTGGCCTTTAATACAAGCTATAACTTGGTTGACAGGTCATAGTGTCAAAATGGAGTGCACAGAATCAAATGATTGGTTCCGCATCGAATTTCTCATTCATTTTCTTACCTCCAATCGTTCCCCCAACAACCGTCCTTCCTTCCAATAGCAATAAAGGAGAAAAACTGATTTCTTGATCCTCTGGCGGAATTCCCAATATCACCGCTCTTCCATAGCCCTTTTTGACGATTTCGACAGCCCATCTCTGAAAGATTGCTGTTGAAAGATGAAAGATGAAAGCTGTTTTGCTGTCGCCTATTCAATCTACCATGCAATCTTTATCCCCAACACATTCAATTGATTGATCAACTGGTCCAATTGTTTCGAGAAACCATTGCTAAAAGAGAATTTTCTTCAAAATATTCATTTCTTCACTTTTTGACTACATTTAACAACTACAAACAGCTTTACAATTTAATCAACTACTGTAACAGCTATAAAGTTACAAGTTACAGCATTCGAACCACTTAAAAAACAACAATTGAATGAACTTACCGAGAATTTCTTTCCATTTGGGCATTTTAAAGGATTTATGCACTTTGTTGCACCCATCTCTTCAGCTAAATTTCGTTTTATTTAAAATCTCTCTACCAAATTACCAATCTGAAATTTCTCCTCATTCCTGTCGATACAAATGATCTCTTTTGCTGCACAATGTTTCGCTCCTTGTACAGCCGATAGACCAATACAACCGACACCGATTATCGCTACACTATCCCCTTCTTTTATCTGAAAACTATATCTTACTGTAATCTAAGACATCACTATATCTAAGACAGAAACCATAATCCAATTGCAAATTTTCATCGAATCATCTCAATTTTCGGATCATTAAACCTTGTGCTATCCAGATTAAGCTAATTGGATGGAAATCAGTAGATTAAATGACTCTATCCGTTTATAACTCCCTACCTTAGCCGTGTTGATCGCCGCTCCATACCCAGTGGCCAATCCACAACCCACTAAACAAACACGATCCACTGGAGCATGAGGATTAATCTAAATTTGAATCTAAAATATAAACGAAGCTCAAAGCAAAAGCCCACCTTAACCAAAGCAATTTTTTTCACGACAGTATATTCGCTAAAACAAGAAAGACCAAATGATGAGAAAATCTAGAAATTTAATAATTTAGATATTGAATTATTTGCATTTTGCATTAGCATTAGCATTAGCAATTAATTTCTGTTAGCCATTTCTGTTAGAATGTTAGCCAATTAAAATCCAAATACCAAATTTGAACCTCTTTTCCTTGACATTTTATCCGTGTCGTTCCATCAGCCATCGTGCAAGTGACCGCTGTTTCACACGTTCTAAAACTGTGCTTTAAACTGGAGAAATCAAGATTTAGATAATTAGATAACTTTTATAATTAGCGAGAAACTTACAACGATTCCACGCAAAGATTCGTATCCCCTCGCAAGCACATTTCACACTTTTTACATTGTGGAATCGGTAAAGGCATCACGATATCACCTGGGATTTTAAAATCTAGATATTTTGATAGAAAAGAAGTAATATTATCTGAATTTTATGATTATTTTGCCTTTAGAAACTCAGCTTTTCCCTTTTTTCAGTAAAAAAATCAAAAGGTTTTTAAAGATTTTCTTTAAAGATCAAATTTAAAACAAATTTATGATTTAAAAGCTAATTTAAAGGTTTTCTTTGAAGTTTTCTTACTTCTTAGCTTTCTTTTTAGCTTACTTGTTAGCTTAAAAGTGAATGGGAAAAATTGAGCGTGAGATTTCGGGACTAAAATGTGGTGGGATGGAATTGAAAACGGGATTGAAAATGAGATTTCTCGAAAAATAGCGATTCTTATCAAAATTTGTAAGCATTCTATAGGTTTTTATATCTAATTTTATAGCAAATGATCTCTTTATTAGATCTCTTTATTAGATCTCTTTGTTCAACTCCAAACCTGGCTGAAAATCGCTCACTCCCGGGCCAACACTTTCCACTGCAGCTGTTGCCTCATGACCAGGTATTGTTGGATATTGAGCTAAAAATAGGTTATAGAATAAATGAATTTGTATTGCCAGAAGATTTGCTGCTTTTTTTGCAAAATTTTGAAACAAAAAGCAAAATAATTAGCGCAGAGAGGAGTCGAACCAGCTCCCTCTCTCTTTCGTTCGTTTGGAAAACGAGCGTGTTAACCACTCGGCTAGCTCATAGAGCAGTGGGAGCTCACTTCTCTCTAGCCCAAACAACCCTAGTTCGACTCCCGCTCGTGTCAAAAGTTTTGGTTTTTTGAAAATTTAAAAACATGAGGCACAACTAGAGGTGATTCTAAGTTAAACTAATTAAAAGTTATTTGAAACGGCTCACTGGGAGCGGAGGAGTGAGCAAAGATAGGCAGACAGACAGGCAGACAGACGTCTTAATCTCTTTATATATCAATTTTACTGTATTTAATGATAACTAGCTATACTGTACCATTTTTCATTCCATCGATAATCGCCAAATCGGTGTGGCACAACGCGTTGAAGAGGATCTAAATGGGGAAGGGAAAATTGGAAAAGCCAAGGAAAATTGCCTATTTCACTCTACTACCATTTTCTATGCAAATCTTTCTATTCAATGTCCATCAAATCAAATATAACAATGAAATTACGCGAATCCAACGAACTTTTATGCGAACTTCTCCCTCTTTCGGTGGCTCCACGTCAACCATTTCGATACTCATCCTCTTCCCACCCCACGCCACTGCTGCCCGGCATTTTAGTGTCTAAAATTTAAATTTATAGAATATTTTATTGAAATCTAGCAATCCTGGAATGCACACTGTACATACAAATTGTTAAAATACAAAAAAAACGAGAAAAATTTTTTTTTGCAAAATCAATTTTTCAATTTTGACTAAATTTGAAAATTTTATTTGAAAACTTGATAGAACTACAGTGTGACATCCAGATTTAAGAAATAATTAGTTAGAAAAAACTAATTCTACTGAAAAACCCATCAAAACTCATCAAAACTCGCCTCTCCCTCGAAATCCGGTTTCATTTCAGGAATCGGCGGATGATTTCTGAAAGCTTTTGGTCCAATGTTATCCGATGAGAATAAAGCTTCAATCATTTTTGTTTGGAAACAAAAATACAATGAATTGAAATGGTTAAATAAGAAGAAATATGGAAAAGAACTCACCTCGATCAAATTGGGAAATTCTTTTTTTGAATTCTCTTTTTGAGATGTTTATTTGGTTTTTGGAGGGAAAAGAGAGCTGTTTACTGTTGACAAAAAAAAAGGGGAAAGGCTTGTTTTCTAGAAAAGGACACATGAACTTTCAGACGAATGAGGAAATTTTTTGATTTTTTGATCTTTTTACGATTATTTTTATTGATTTTGAGTAAAATCTATAAAACCAAATTTTTCAATTAAACTTTTACTAATAAAGAACGATTCTATTTTGATTTTAAATTTGATATAAATGTAGATTTTATCTGTTATCAGACTTCTCGAACACTTTGATAACTTTTATTTGATTTTATTCTGAACTTTTTAGATCAGTGGATAGAGAAATATGGAAAAGAACTCGCCTAGATCAAATTGAGAAATTCTTTCTCTTTGATTTTGACTGATTTTGACGAAAAAGCTTTATTAAACTGAGTTTAGGAGAAGAGTTAGGAGTTGATCATGCTACAGCCCCAATTCTTGGATTTAAATCGAACCAAGCTCCAAGTCATGGGGCCCTCACTGACCCCCCAGCGCGCCTCGATCATTGCCGATCTCTCATGATACGAAACGAAATCTTTTCTTCATTGTGACAGGAGATGAGAAATTGGTTTTATCTATGAACTAGAAAACGGCAATGGGTGGGGCCAGGCGAGAAACCCGAAAGTTACCCTAAGTCCGATTTGCATCAAAAGTTTATGCTCTGTGTTTTCTGGGATATGGAGGGAGTGGGAGTTGCTGGATAGCAAGACGACCGTTAATGCAATCAAATACAGTGGAGTTGGAAGAGGCGAATGAATCCCTGAAGAATCTCCAAGTCAAAGATCGTCCTCCTCCACGACAACGCGCGCCCTCATATTGCTGACTCGCTCTAAAATAGATAGCCTTGTTTGGGAACTTTTGACACATCCAACATACAGTCCGGACCTCGCCCGTTTCTGATTACTATTTATTCCAAACAATGAGCTTGCTAGAGAACATTTCGATTCAGAAGAAGGAGTCAAAAATTGGCTTTAAAAGTTTTTCGATTTGGTTGTAAATAGGAAAATTGGTTGTAAAATTGGCAGAAGTCGTCAATAATAATGAAAATTATTTTGGAATGAATCTATCGTTTTATAGATTTTATAGCTGTTCAAAGTCAGTTTTCAATGCAAAAACCCGATATTCAAACTCTTTTTGAATTCATTCGAAAGCCAGAAATCTCCTTGGTCGGTCTCCTTGGCCAGAAATCTCCCGACAAATGTCGGTTGACCGTAAATTATGTCAATATCTTTTTTCGGAAAAGTTCCTACCGTATTTACTCTATTAAAAGCCCAGGGGCGTTTATTTTTTCGATACCCCTCTAGGGGGGCGTTTATTAGTGGGGGGCACAACAGTACACAAATTTTTGTCTTCAAATCAAAAATCTAAGCACTAACAATTCTTAAATGATGTCCAACTAAGAGAAAAAATGCAAAAAGAATCAATTTCGACTTGTCAATTTTTTGTTGATAGGTCGAGAAATTTTGTCTTTTGACCTAATCAAAACATCAACGGTGCTGGCATGTAGTTCACCAACTTCGATACGCCATATCTACAGAAGTACTCGACAGAACCCATTGATAGTGTTATGTATTCTGAAAGCTCAGGTTGAGCTCTACACGATGGTAGTAGTTTTTCTATGTTTTCTATTTTATTCAGGTTTTTGCCCTTCTGAACACCAAAGTTGAAACCTAGAAATTTTCAAAGTCACTTTTCATCGCGTTACCGTCGTCAAATCGTGCTGAAAGTGTGTTTTTTGGAATCTACGCAAAAAAATTGGCCCAGGAAAGTGGAATTTGAATAATTGCAACTGGGATATCGTAAGAGAATTGATTAGGTCAAAAGACAAAATTTCTCGACCTATCAACAAAAAATTGACAAGTCGAAATTGATTCTTTTTGCATTTTTTCTCTTAGTTGGACATCATTTAAGAATTGTTAGTGCTTAGATTTTTGATTTGAAGACAAATGGTTTTTTTCAAACTACGTACTCGTTGTGGGGGGGCACATCCACGCGAAATGGTGTTCTCTATCCGTTTTCCATGTTTGAATAGCCATTCAACGCAGAAAAATGTGCTGATTTCAATGGTGAAAAAATTATCAAAATCCGTCTGATACATTTTTTAAAAATCGCGTTTTATCGAAAAAATCGCACTTTTACAAGCAACTCGCTCGCAGCGACCAACTTTCGGCGGCTCGTTTTCAGCGTGGTCGAAAGATTGCGCCCTCAAAACCGATAACTTTTGTGTGGACGTTTATAAAGATCATTTTGATACCAAAAAAATAAAAATTGATCAACTCTGCGAAGACTTGATGCCTTTTTAAGTTGAAAATGACGTTTTGCGACTTTCTGCCCGCTAAAACGTGGGCAATCGCCAACAACCTATTTAAAGCAGCCAGACATTTATATTACTCTATTTACGTGTCAAAAAGCATGAAGTAGAAAAGGCGCGCTTGTTTCCTTTCATTCATTTCCTTATTCTTTTCTTTTGGCTTTTCTCGTCGTGTTTTTTCGTCATGTGTCTGCAAATTTTGGATTAATGCTTAAGGGAAGTTTTTTTTAAAATAGATTGCTTTGTTTGGACGAATTTTAGCCATCACCACCACATCAAAGCAACGAAAAGAGCAAGATGTTCCAAGCGATGACAAATCACAGGTTTAATTGGGTCTTTGAAGCGTTTCTTTCAACATTTTTTTGCATTTCGATACCTAAATTTATGCGAGATTAACAAATTGAATAAATATAACGCCTGAAAAAGAAACATAAAGCATGGTCGTAAACTTTCATATTAAATAAGACCCAAATCAAATGGCAAGACATTAACAGCGTGTCGTTTAGTGGCGAATAAGAGTGTTTCGAGTTTATTTAGACGTTTAGTTCGACGGCATAAATTGCCAATGATTGAGTGCAATGATTCCAAGCCCTCCTCACCCATGTTAGCCAGACAATTATTTTCGTTCAAAAACTCTGGAATGTGTTTCAACACGCTACGTGTGACTTCACGGATCGTGTTCCAATATCAAGAATTTCCATACTCTAATAAAAGCCCCCCCGGGGGGGAGGGGCTTTTATTAGAGTAAATACGGTAGCTTTCTATATAACACTTGTCACTAAAACACACTATAACACTAACACTTCTAGAACACTTGGCACTAAATTCAGCAAAAATTATACATCGTAAGTCTTCTAGTACTATTAGTACTATTAGTACTAGTACTAAAAGACTAGAGTCTTTTAAAAAACTTGCTGGCAGATACCTGACTTACTAAAGTGCCAATTACTAAAGTGCCAAGTGTTATATAGAAAAATAAAGCCAATCATCTTGCCATTATTTATTTATAAAGAAATGCCCGATTTGAATTATATAACTCATTTTATTTGGTACTATGAAATTCCGAAAAATCCGGCTAGTTGACTTTGATTTAGTTTTTGAAAGCCTAAATTTAATAACCCTCGTAGGTATTTTTTGTTTTTGCAAATTTCTTTAAAATTTTTGTGTTTCTATGATGTTTAGGACTCGGATTTAAAGCGAATTCGGACGATTCTTTTGTATAAATTTTAAACTCAGCTGTTCTTCAGCAAAAAAATGCAGCTGAAAACATCATTGCATTTGCTCTACAGATTTGGTACCTTTTCTTTACAGATTTTGTTCTTTTTCGGTACAGATTTGGTTCCTTTTCTCTACGGATTCGCTTCCTGTTCTCTACAGATTCGCTTCCTGTTCTCTCCAGGTTTGATGCACTTTTATCAGTTTTCAAGTTTGATTCAAACGATTCCACGAAGGAGATGAGAATCTCAAAGATAAACTGCCCTCGACTACTTGACAATAAGAATTTGAAGTGTTTTGTTGAAGTTGATCCTTGGAGCACGGAGTTGAAGCTTGCGAAATACTTTGGTTTTGGAGCTATGACAATTAGCAATCATTTAAAAGAGATTTACAAAGTAGAGAAGCTCGAGAAATGGATTCCAAATCTATTGTTCTGAGATCTGCTTTTATAATATTATTTTAACGTTTATTAACAATATTTTAAAAATATTTTGTTGTTTAAAAACGTCTAAACAAATTTATTTCCATTGAAGACTTTTTTTAGTGAGAAGAAAGCTCGAAAACAGCTCGAATACTAAAAATTTGTATTGATTTAAAGCTAAAAAACCCGAAAAACCAATTCCCCTTGTCCATTTGTCGGACAGCATCTTGAAATTCATTAAGCCGAAAGTGATGAGTAATCATCGGATCGGTTTCAATCTCTCCTTTACACACTTTCTCGACTAACATCGGGAATTCGTCAACCGTATGCCAATCTGGAACGCACAGGATGAATTGGAGAATAGCAAAAGTCGAGGAACTAACCCCCAACACATCCACCAACAATCGTTCGTCCTTCCAAGAGTAGAGTTGGTGCAATGGTCAATTTATCAGCTGGCGGTTGGACTCCAAGAATCACCGCTCTGCCCCAGCCTTTCTTCACGATTTCAACAGCCCAACGCTAGATTAGAATACAGTATCTAATCGATTCCTCTACCCTTACCATACAATTCACATCACCCACACATTCCAACGATTTGTCAACAGCGCCAAAATTTTGAATAAACCATTCCTTAAAGATTTCTCGACTTTAAAACTGACTTGGCTTTCAATCTTACTGAAAACTCTGTCCCGTATGGGCAATCCTTTGGATTCAAACATTGAGTGGCACCCATTTTCTTTGCTGAATATCGAATAATGAATCTTTAAAGCTCAATCTCTAAAGCCAAACTAACCAGCATCGAATTTCTTCGGATTCTTGTCGATACCGATAATCTCTTTTGCGCCTGCGTGCTTTGCTCCATGAATAGCTGAAAGACCGATACAACCAAGACCGATCACTGCCACTGTATCCCCTTCACGGATCTGAAGAAAGATTTGATACAAATTTGGCTTTGCTTCTTGAATTTTGAAGCCAGCTAACTTTGCAGACTTGGAACACTCCCTTGGAACACTGTTACTTCTATATTCAAAGAATTCTGGCTAGCTTATGAGCTTAGTTTATTAGCTAAGCCTTACTAAGCTTACTGGTTAGCTTCTTGCTTAAATTTCAAAGAAAAATAGACAATTCCCCAAGCTCCAAGACTCACCACGAAATTTGGAAGGGTCTTTAGCTAAGTCTTTAGCTAATTTTTAAACTCCAAGACTCCTATCTGGAAGGCCAACTTTAACTCAAATTTTTTCTATGTTTTTATTGGTAAATCTACAAAACAAATTCTACTTTTCTATAGCCAAATTTAATGAAGATTCCAATAAAACCAGCCATAAGTTGACTGAACTTCTATACCTCGAGTTATTGACCATCTAAGTATCGACCATCCATCCACCTTTTAGGTAGGTAGTCTAATTTTGACACAGATTTTCTCTAATCTAATTACCTGAGCTGTATTGATCGATGCTCCATATCCTGTTGCTATCCCACAACCAACAAGACAAGCTTTGTCAACCGGAGCATTTGGATTAATCTTTTTGTAAGGATAAAATGATTGATTTATTGGTTATACCTTTGCCAGAGCGATCTCTCGAACCACAGAATATTCGCTGAAAGCCGATAGACCAAAGGCGTGGAAAACCTAGGAATTTTGTTAAATCGATAAATCTGATTAGGAATTAAACCAAATCAACAATCAGACTTGTCTTCAAACAAAGACAGAACTAGAAAGAAGACGAAGAAGAAGGCCAAGAAGAAGACGAAGAAGAAGACGAAGAAGAAGACGAAGAAGAAGAGGAAGAAGAAGAGGAAGAAGAAGAGGAAGAAGAAGAAGAAGAAGAAGAAGAAGAAGAAGAAGAAGACCAAGAAGAAGACGAAGAAGAAGACCAAGTCAAATCAGTTATCAAGAACTGGGACAGGCTTCTTGTCACTTTCAATTTACCTCTTTACCCTTACACTTGAAACGAGTCGTCCCATCAGCCATTGCCATTGTTAAAACGTTTAAACTGAAAGTGATTTATTGATTCAACTTTCTGACTCACTCCATTTCTTCGCACAAATTCGTTTCTCCACTTTTACACATTTCACACTTTTTGCATTGTGGAAAAGGGGTAAGAATGACAATGTCACCTAAAAAAACTAATAAATCCATTATCTAAATCGATTTATGATCGATTTCTCACCTTTCTCAAATCCCTTTACCCCTTCTCCAACGCTTTCAACTTCCGCCGTCGCCTCGTGCCCAGGAATTGTCGGGAATTTAGCTGTAAAGGAAAATTGACAAAACCAATAGCTCATGTGACTCCCATAACTGCCTAATAGGCGATTGCTTTCTTCATAAATAAATCTCTAATCCTTTAAAAACCCTCGCAAACCTTCCGTCACCCAACCATTAATCAACGCGATGTCAGTATGACATAAAGCATTGTAGAGAATCTAGAAAATTAACGAAAATTGAATAGAGAAAGATCGATTACCTTTATCCGAACTTCACCAGCTTTTGGAGGCAACACTTCAACCTCTTCGACTTTGATATTCTTTGGACTCCAAATTACAAGAGCTTTACAAGAGATTGGCTAAAAGATTTGATGAATTTGATAAATAGATAGATAGATCGATGGATAGATAGATAGATCGATAGATTGATAGATAGATAGATGGATAGATAGATCGATAGATAGATCGATAGATAGATACCGTATTTTCTCTAATAGGACCCTGAGCGTCGCCGTCGCCAATTGCTCGAAATCTCGAGAACCGCTTATCAGAACCCATCGATGTGGGGTCGGAAAATGTAGCTGACGATGAGATCTAGTGGAGGATTAGAGTGTTGAGCTTCTGCAAAAGCTTGGTAACCGTAAAATAATCACCAACTCGGCTCACCGGGAGGCAGTACTATTAGAGAAAATACGGTAGATACATAGATACACTACTGGACAATGAAATATGATATTTGAAAAACGATCGTCACTTTCGCGCGCCTGTAACTCTCTCGTCTTTACCGTATTTCTAAATATTAATATTACCATTGTGCAGCCCTTGAAAAGAGCTTTCAGAAAATGTATAACACTAATAGTTTAAACTCAAAGACAAGGGAGTTAAAGAGGCGCGAAAGTGACGAAAGTGAATAAAAGCTTTTCCTTACCTTTCCTTCAAAATCGTTTCCTTCATCCATTTTCATTTCTCGTTTCTCTCGTGGACCTGATGGATCACAAGCTAATAAACCTTCGAACATTTTAGAAAAGAAAGATTTCACTCAAATTTATAGTCAATTCTCTATTTATTTTGTTTTTTTATGAAAAGTTCATCTGTTCTTTTGTTGAACATCTTTCTTTCCCTTTTTTCTATTCAATTCGTCAATATTTACGTGTACTTTCAGTAAAAGATTCGTTTTTTTTCGACTTTAAATCTTTTGCAAGCTTTAAAACCACTTTAAAACCAGTTTTCTGTAAAAGGGCATATTTATTGATCAAATTTTTTGTTGTTCTTGTTCTTGTTGTTCCCTTCTCCTTCAATCCCTCGCCAATTTGAAAACGGCACGGATACTGAAAATAATAATGAAAATAATACAAAATAATACAAAATAAACTCCCTAAAGTCTTCTGTAACCTCCAAATCTGATAAAAATAATGCAATTCTTTTAGCTCACCATTTCCCCTCGTTCATTAATTTGACCGCATCGCAAATCTCATCCAATTCGAGATTCTTTTGGGTAATCAATGGATCGACATTGATCTCACCAGTCACGATTTTCTCGACAAGTTTTGGCAAATCGTCGCAAACGTGATAATCTGTAAATGTAAAGAAACCACTAAATGATTAAATTTAAATGAGTTGTCAACAGAAGATCAAGGTGTAAAGAAAATAATGCGCGTTTGATCAACAAACGAAGATCAATCGGTTATTCTCCATTCCCTATCTTCTTCTGCTCTTCCTCTTCTTCTTCTTGTTCTTCTTCTTCTTCTTGTTCCTCTTCTTGTTCTTCTTCTTCTTCCTCTTCTTCATCGTCTTCTGCTCTTCCTCTTCTTCCTCTTCCTCTTCTTCCTCATCATCATCATCATCATCATCATCATCATCATCATCATCATCATCACCATGATCCCATCTTCTGCACAGATCCCGGATCTAATCATCGAACGGTTCCGTGAAGCTTATTTATGACTAATTATCAAACTGTACATCTCCCAAGAAGTGTTTCAACGTCCGGTGAAAGCTCAGGAAAGTAAGGTGCAGTTTCCAACCTAGCTCCTCAATTTTTGTGGCCTGGCTTTTGCAGTTAGCGTTATCGTGCAGAAATCGGACTCTTGACGGTTCCCAAATTTCTTTAAAGCTTCTTACTTGTCTGCATCGACTGTTTGTCTAGGCTTTAGCACTTCATAATGCACGAATCCTTTCGAATTCCACCATAAACAGTGCTTCGATCGATGGATATCGAGCTGGTGGTTTGCTGGGTTTCACCAGCAAAGAGTCATTGATTTTTGGCATTGTCATAGCTGAAGATCTCATCAGAATTGTACTTTTGAAGCCAGATGAAGCACAGATTCCATCAACACTGACTTTCACTGATACAATCGTCTGCAAAAGATTTGAAAAGCGAACGGTGGACTCAGCAAAGGTTTTTCCTTGTTTAATTCACTGGGAAATCATTTTCTTTGGTTTTAGTTTTGATTTAGTTACCCAATCGATGTTAATGATTGAATTTTGTTTTAAAATAACCCAACCATAGCCTGAAATTGCAAAATTTCCATTAATTTCCCATTCTTTACCTCCCACACATCCCCCGACTACTGTTTTCCCGTTCAACAGCTCCCACGGGCTTAGCTCCATCTTGTGGTCTGATGGCGGCGCTCCAAGGATCACCGCTCGACCCCAACCGATTTTCACGATCTCCACAGCTTGCACCTAAACATATCAATGAAATCGTTAATTCTTTGTCAATTCTGGATGTCACAGTTGAATTTTGTGTCAAAAGTTTTTCAGTAAAGCCACTTTTGAGTTTAGATGAATTTAGATGATGATGATGATTCCCGAACTGCACTCACTTGACACTTCACATTCCCAGCCGCTTCAATCGCTTTATCCACAGCTCCATAAGTTGTCTTGAACCATTCCTGAACAAATTTTAAAGCTAAAACTATTCAAAAGAAAAATTCTTTACTGAAAATTGTCTCTCTTTCGGGCAATCGTTTGGATTGACGAATTTTGTGGCGCCCATTTTCTCACCTTAAAGTTTAGAGGAAAGGAAATCACTGGCTGAATTTAAAGCTCACCATACGGGAATTTTGTTGGATTTATATCGATTAGAAAGATTTCACTGGCACCCGAGTGTTTTGCGCCCAAAACAGCTGACAAACCGATGCAACCACCGCCAAAAATCGCCACTGTTTCACCTTTTTTAATCTAAAAACAGATTTAGAGATTTAGATTTTGATTAAACTTGATTTTGATCAATTTTGATCAAATCAAACTTTTGTTTGAGGCTTTCTAGATCTAGATCTAGATTTACAGCTTTACAGATATCGAGATTTACTTGTGCTATAGCTTTATTAGCCTACTGGTTAGCTTACTGGTTAGCTTACTGGGTACTGGGTAGCTTACTGGGTACTGGGTAGCTTACTGGCTACTGGGTAGCTTACTGGGTACTGGTTAGCTTACTGGGTACTGGTTAGCTTACTGGGTACTGGTTAGCTTACTGGGTACTGGTTAGCTTACTGGGTACTGGTTAGCTTACTGGGTACTGGGTAGCTTACTGGCTATTGGTTAGCTTACTGATTAGCTTCTCACTTAAATCTAATTACCTGAGCTGTATTGACAGCTGCTCCATATCCAGTTGCCAATCCACAACCAGCTAAACACGACTTTTCCATTGGAGCTTTTGAGTTGATCTAAGAGATTCAAGAGTTAGAAAACATTTGTTTTGTAGAATTTGTTTTGTAAGATGAAGAAAGTTCAAGAAATTTTCGTACTTTTCCAAGATTTATATCCCTGACAACAGTATATTCGCTGAAAGCTGTACAACCGAAAGCGTGATGGATCTGAGAGATTGATCATTGAATCTTTGAGACTTTTAACACCTGGCAGTGACCTAGTTGTACACTGGCAAGAGCCTAAGCACAAATCCAGCGTACAGTTACGTACTTTATACTTGCCGGTTAACCTTTTGGCATTCAATTCACATCTAGTTCATCTAGTTCACTGCCAGTGTACCTCACCTTTTTCCCTTTACAAGTGAATCTTGTTGACCCGTCTTCAGTCGTATGAGTCACTCCAGCGATACTTAAACACAATTCTATTTATCTATCTATTAAAGAAGCCTTCCAGCTTGAGATAAACTTTACTTTGTTCGCTCGCAAAAATTAGTATCCCCTCGAGCACACATTGAACAATTTTTGCATTGAGGCAACGGTGTAAGAATGACATGATCTCCTAAACAATTTTAAATGATTCTATTGATCTTAGAAACTCGTGTGCCTTCCAGATCCTCGATTTTTAAGGTTATTTCTGATCCTTACCAATCTCAAATCCTTGCACCCCATCCCCAATGCTCTCCACGACGCCCGTGCACTCGTGACCGACGATTGCTGGGTACAAGGCTAAAATTGCATGACATTCGGTGACTTCCAGCTTGACGTTTAGAGTAACAAATCGTAACAAACCACTGTCAATGAGTCCCTCAATCACCGAGACATCCGTATGACATAAAGCATTGTAGAGTACCTGTGAGAAAATGGTGTTTAAAAATCGTTTTCTATTTAAATGACACCTTAATCCTCAACTCATGTGAATGCGGTATATCTACTTGAACCTCTTCAATCGTTAAATTCTTTGGTCCCCAACAAACAGCGGCTCGACAAGTGATCACCTAAAAAAGTTGATTTAAAAAATGGAAAGATTTCTTTGGAAATGGAATTTTTGAGACTTCTGGAGTGCACACAAGGTTTATAAAGCTAAAAAAACTAACCTTTCCTTCAGTTGAGCTCATGTTTACCAATGTTAGATTAGTTTTTGGAAATTGGAGAGTCAGGATTGTTTGTTTCGTTTGATGTTTGTAGTCTTTTGGTTCTCTTTTTCTTTCTCTTTTCTTTCTCCTTCTTCCTTTCTCCTTTTTCCTTATCTTTTTATCCAATTTCTCCCAAAATTACCCCTTTTCATCAATCAAAAATAAAAAGAAAAGAAAAACACGTTTTTTTAATCGATTTTTGAACTTTTATACAAAGTTTATTCAGTAAAAAAAGCTAGAATTTGATCTTTTTAAGTCGCTACTCCTTCTTTGCAACAGCCATCACTGATCGAATGCTGAAAAATTGATTGCTTGTTAACAAGATAACTAATTGTTAACTCACGCTTTTCCTTGTTTAAGTAAAGTAACGGCTTCGTTTACTTGTTCAAGATCGAAATGATGAGTGATCAATGGATCCACATTAATCTCACCATTCTTTAGCTTATTAACAAGCACTGGAATGTCGTCAACACCGTGGTAATCTGAATGGAAAATGCAAATGAGTTTGTTCGCTTTATTTGCAAGTGGACAGTCCTTTAAAAGAGATTCAATCATTCACCCCCAAAACAACATCCAAGAATCGTTTTCCTTTCCAAGAAGATTGCTGGATTGAAAGCGATATCTTTCCCCGGTGCTCCAACGCCGACAATCACCGTCCTACCCCAACCACGTGTGGTCATGTAGATCGCGTTCACCTAAATAAACAAGATTTTGGAATCTAATCACTGCATTATCTAGACTGATATCCAGCTTGATTAAAAACATTTAGAGAATAGACATTAAGCATTAGACAATTGACCTTTAGACCTCTAGACCTCTAGACAAATCTCATGAAAATTTTAAAATCCAATTTTGATCGTTTTCTTTCAGCCAAAGCCTAACCTGACATCCAGATTGATTAAAAACATTTAGAGAATAGACATTAAACATTAGACAATAGACAATAGACCTATAGACAAATTTCATGAAAATTTTAAAATCCCATTTTGATCGTTCTGTCTCAGCCAAAGCCTAGCCTGACATCCAGATTGACTAAAAACATTTAGAGAACAGACATTAAGCATTAGACAATAGACAATAAACCTCTAGACAAATTTCATGAAAATTTTAAAATCCCATTTCAATAGTTTTCCTTCAGCCAAAGCCTAGCCTGACATCCAGATTGACCAAAAAAACACAATTAGAAACAAATCTCTCATAAAAACATCGATTTTTACAGTTGATCAGCCCACCATGCACTCGATGTGTCCAATGCATTCAATTGCTTTATCCACTGTGCCAAACGTTTTAATGAACCAGACCTGAGGAATTTGATTCGAATTTGGTCACTTTATGGCTTACAATGAACGGTGTTCCCTCTGGTGCATCTTTTGGGTTCACAAAGTGAGTGGCGCCCATTTTTCGTGCTGAACTTGAATCGTTTAAAAGCAATTTTATGCTTTAACTAGTGCTCATTCTTGAAATCAAAGCTCCCAACCGATTTCCTCTTTATCCGGATTGATATCGATCGCATAGATTTCTTTGGCTCCTGATTGATGAGCTCCGTAAATGGCTGAAAGGCCGATTGCTCCAGCGCCAATCACAGCAACTCGTTCGCCTTGTTTCACCTAGAAAAATCATTTCGATTCTGGCTTAAATGACTCAGAATGGCTTAGAATTGAGCTTAAATGGCTTAGAATGGCTTAGAATTGAGCGTAAATGGCTTAGAATCGAGTTTTCAGTGCTCAAGAAGTTTTATAAGTTTCAGCTTTTCTTAAATTTTCTTTAAATACCTTGTAATTAGTAAACTCTAGTAAACAATTGAAAATCAAGCCCACCTCAGCAGTGTTAACCGCAGCTCCGTAACCAGTCGGGAAACCACATCCAAACAAACAAGCTTTATCCATCGGAGCCTCAGGATCGATCTATTAAAATAGAATCTCTTAGAGTTTATCTTTCTTTTCCTTACCTTTGCCAACATAATTTCTTTGATTACAGTGTACTCGCTGAAACAAGAAGTTCCCATAAAGTGATAAACCTTAATTAACTTTCTCTTGATCCCATAAATCTATTCAAACCTTTTCTCCATTTAGACTAAAACGTGATGTTCCATCAGCCATATCACCAAAAAAGTTCTCGAAGCTGAAGAAATTGTTTCTTAAGCTTTAAAACTTGTAAAAAACTTGATCTTTTCACAGAAATTCGTATCCCCTCGCGCACATTTGCTACAATTTTTGCATTGTGGCATAAAAGTTGGCACGACAGCGTCTCCTAAAAAACATTAAACTTGAATCTTTCTTAGCCTAAGCCTAAGCCTAAGCCTAAGATTGCTTCAAAATACCTGGCTTAAACCTAGTGACCCCATCTCCAACACTCTCGACAACCCCAGCTCCTTCATGTCCAAGCACTGCGGGATAAGGAGCTAAAAGAAACATTAGAAAGCTAAAAAAGCTAGAAAAGCTTTTAAAATCTCACCTGTATGCGATCCATCAATAAAATGCAAATCGGTGTGGCACAAGGAATTGTACAAAATCTAAAACCCTCTCTTAAACACCAAAGCAATCCATTCTAGCAATTTCATTCATCAAAAAAAAAATTTTCTACAAATTTCAAAGTTTTTACTCTCAAATCCCTCAACAATGACTTCCAGATTGGCTAAATTTTTCTTCATAAGCTTTAGATTCGCAAAATAACCCTAGAAAACTCACGCGAACTCGAACTTCGCCCTCTTTCGGCGCCGCGACATCGATTTGATTCACCCGGAGATCATTCGGGCCCCAAAGGAGTGCAGCTCGGCATGTGATTGACTGAAAATATGATATAGATATAGATATTACTAGTTTTTTTGGTTATTTTACCTTTCCCTCAGTGTCAGAGACCATTTTTTCAGAAGTTTTTTTTTTCCAAAAATGAGTAAATCTATATTAAATCTTAAGAATTCACATTAATAAACAAAAAAAGCAAAAATTTGATTGAAAAAGAAAAAACTTTGTATGCTCAACAAGGTCGACAATTGATCATTGACAAAATTGAGTCAGAAAAACTGAAAAAGAGGCTAAAATCAAGTCTGACAACAGTTGGGTCAATCACTGAAGATTGCGATGAGAAAAAAGTTGATGATAGGGAAAATGGCCTTTAGGACTTGAAACAAATCACGTTCAAGCTCATTTCGTGAAAAGGTAACAATTTTTGAACGTTTTCATCAAGTTCCAAAAAACACACAAGTCAACTCGAATTTCCTTCACAAAGATACAATCTTTTCCCCAAAAATGATCGCTTTCACTCGAATGAACGCGAAATTTCCACAAATGCCCATCAAAACTCAAAGCACAAATCGATTATCGCAAAAAGAAATACTACTTTTTTGAAGTTTGACCCTCTCAAGCAGTATTTACTCTTGTTTTTGCTGGAAATTGAATGTTTGTTGAGCGCTTTGAAGCTAAAAATGAGAAAAAGAAAGATCAATGTGAATAGTTTATCAGAAAACCTTTCTGCTATCATTTTTACAACCGCTGAACCCGGTTGCACACGTTTTTCGATTAGCGTTTTTCTGACTTGAATAAAATTTACTCAATTCATAAATTAACAATATCAAAAATTGAGAAAAATAACGGTTTTAACAAAAATAATTATAGGAAGTGGAGATCGAGATTGTCTTTTTTATGAGGTGGGCGCAGTTCGAATCAAAGTGATGTTGTCGCCCTTGAGAAGAATGCGTCCAATCTATGATAAGAAAAGTTTCATTCAATAACTTTGGTCTCACACGAGTTCATTCTAATTGTTCATTTAGTTTATTTAAAATTTTAAACACAAACCTTTTTGCGATTTCCGGTCTTAACATGAAGTTCCTCGGCTTCATCCACGACAATGTTCATGTACTCGTCGAATCCCAAGATGTAGCCCTCCAATCTAAAAGCAAAAAAATTAATGACCTTTGGAAAACTTCAAAATTATGATCCACTTTGTTTGTTAATCTTAAACTTAAACTACTCATTGTTATAAGTTAAAATTGTACAATCGTAAAGCAAATTACTATTTAGAAAAACTCTGGCTCAATCTAATGCCTATGAACCAGGGCCAGAAATTCGTCACGAATAACTTTCAAGGATTGTTTGGACCAAAGCTAAATACTAAACCCTGTCTTGTTCCTATAAAAGATCAGAGTGAGAGTTTGTTTCGGTAAACCCCAACTTTATCTTACAAATCCATTTGTATAATAAAGTCATACCTCGTTGTCACATTCTCGTAAAGCCACAATTGTACTCGTGTTCGGCCTTGAAGGTAGCGAAAGATGAGGTTGATGGGTTGAACCATCACCTAAAATTACTCAAAATCATGGACGCAATCATTAAACAAACCTTTTGCACTTTTCCTCTGCCGGCCATTTTGTTCAGAAATCTCGATGTAGCCTGTAAAGGAAAAAAATTGTCACGACTTGAAGTCATAATAATCCAGCGAAAGATGAACTTCCTGACAGTAAATATTTCTTGGTAATCAACCAAAATAATCCAATAACAACATCCAATACATGAAAGCTTTATTACAACCAATCTACACAATCTATGCAATATCACAAAGCATTGTAAAACAATCTATTTCTTTTTTCCATATTCGTCCTTGAGTCCTCGTTTGTACATAAAGAAGTAGAAAAGACTTGGCCATAACCATCTAGAATTTATAAAGATCAGTCTTCCAAATAATTTTACCTCAAAAAGATGCCAATTCGATTCGAAAACGGCGCTAGAATCAGCTCGATTTCTCTACTAAAGCAAAAATCTTGCAAAAAAATCTTTCAAAAAATAATCACTTTTCGGCAGCATCGACAACTCGTTGTGCAGAATATTCGGCGGTGTATCCTTTCGCTTGATCAGCATCCTCTTTTTGTACAGGTTTCCCGGAAGTGTCAAGAGCCTGGGGGTTATCAATTTTAAAAGTTAATAAAAATTAATACCTTTGATCCAAAACCCGTGTTCATATAACCAGCAGAGACCATGAGAATTTGCAAATCGTGTCGCTCTTCGCATCGTAGAGCGTCAAAGAAACCCTGAACAGAAATGTAATTGACTAAGCTCTTGAATTTAGAATTTACCTGTATAGCATGTTTACTGGCTGAGTAAGCGCTTCGATATGGCACGGCAATTCGTCCTTGAACACTGCTTGTCACGATGATACAACCTAAAAGTATGATGTAACTTATTGTTAATTTAAAGACAGTAAGAAACTTAGGAAGTTGAAAAAGCTTTTCTTACAGGACAAACTTGTACCTGTGTCTGGAATGTAAGGAAGTAGCGCTCGAGTAACTTCAATGTGCCCAAAATAGTTGACCTAAAAGAGATTATAGCATAAAAATAATGAAACTAGTTACCTCCATAACCTGACGGTGTACTGACATTGGCGTTTCAGAGACCGGACCGCGATTCGAGAGTCCCGCGTTGTTCACAAGCACATCGATCGTCTTTCCGTCCAAAGAGAGGTCCACTAGTTTCTCCAAATCCGATGGCTCACAAATGTCCAAGTATCTAGACTATCAAAATTACAGTTTTTCAAAACCCAGTTACCTGTACACAGGTTCATGTCGGTTCTTGATCTTTGATCCTTTCAATTCCTCACACAATTCTTTCAATTTGTCGATCGACCTCGCCGTTAGAATTAGTTTCGCGCCGCGTGCATAGAGCTCAAAGGCTAGAGCACGCCCAAGACCAGTAGAAGCTCCTAAAACAAAACATTTTGCGTCAATTGTCAGAAAATACCTGTAATCAAAACGGTTTTATCCTTGAAGTTGAGCTTTGGCTTTCTGTGCGGACCGGGGACAAGAGCCGATAGAAGATTGGGAATGACGTAGAGTCCCGCAGGAATCAAGACCCATGGCCAAAATCTAAAGAATTGAAAAATTTGTAAAATTAAATTTTAAAGCTTGAAGAAATATTTTATTCAAATAAACACTCATTTTATTTGCTCGAAAACCTATTTTCGGAAATTCTTCGCGCCGAACTCAAAAAAGCACTTGATACACATGTCCAAAGTGCAATCGTGTTCACGAAAAGTGGCATTTGAATTTGACTGAACGCTTGAACCTTTACTTTTTAACGTTTTGCTTATGATGTAACTTTAAACAAATCATCGTTTTCCTAAGAAATAACTTTATTCTTTACTTAAAAAGAAGCACTCACCGTTTAACGTTTTCGATGACCATCTCCGAGGAAAAGTCGGGCATCTTGACGATGAAACTCCGTCAAATTTCTCGAAACACTAAACTTAGAAAGATTATGGGCTTTAAGAAAAAAAGTAAATGATGAGCATCTTTCAAAAGGTAGATTTCGAGACCGTTTTTAAAAAAATCGCACAAAGAAAGTGTGATAACAAGGGAAACAAACTACGGGGTATTAGAAAAGAAATGAAAAAATTTGGCGGCCATTTAAAAAATTTTTCAAATAAATACGTAAATAAATAGCTTTAAAAATAAAAGATATTCAGTTATCCAAGAGAATAGTTATGTCACTAGCAAAATGTTTATAAGCCGAAGATTTCTTTAAAATTTCATTTTTTGTATCTCCTCCGTTGTGAATTCCGCAGAATTTTACTTTTTCTTGCCCTTTTCTAACTTTTTTCATTTTCACATCAAACAATGTTCTTTAGATGGCCTACCAACCACACATCGTCGCCGCTCCTAACGAATTCAAGCTCCCCTGGCAACCACATGTCGGAATCTCGGATGTTAAGGTAAATTTTATGGGGATAAGGTACTTTGAGGATGCTTTTGCTAGCTTAGTAATTTTAAAACGAGCCATTCTCGCTCATTCTTAAGTAGCGATGTTTGGATAAGGTACTTATTGTTGTTCTGGTTTAAGGTCATTTGGCTCATGAAGATTTGCAAAGTTAAAAACTTCTAATCTTTGTTTTGTTTAGTTTGGACCCGAAGGCGCTCGTCATTTAGTTGCAGTTACGGGATGGGATGGGTCGGTTTACGTCTACGATGTACAAAGCTCCACCGACCCCAAACAGAAGATGTTCTACTTTCACGGGCGGCCCGCGCTCAACTGTGCATTTGCGGTTTTTAATCTTTGTTAATGTGAATATTGTTTGGCTTTAGGGATCATCAAAGTTGGTCAGTGCGGGCGTCGATCGAACGGTGAAAGTGGCCGACATTGCTACATCAAAAAGTAGGCTTTGCTTTTTAATTAGACTATGGGTGTTTATTTAGCTGAGAACTTGGGCACACACGACCTCGGAGTGCGATGTGTACGCTACAGTGACAAGCTTGGTCTCATCGCTTCTGGTGGTTGGGATAATCAGATCAAGGTAGGTTTTAAGGAAATATTTTGCTCTGAAGAAATCAAACTGTTTGTTTAGGTATGGGATCCGCGATCTCCAGGCGCCGGTGCGGCTCAACAAGGTTCGTGCTCAGATCGCGTCTACGCAATGGACATCCGGGGTGATCAAATAATCGTCGGCACCAGGGACAGGAAGATCTACTTATTCGATATGCGTAATATGCAAGAACCCGTGCAAACACGCGACAGTCCTCTCAAGGTAAGTCTTTGACCCTTAAAATAATCTGCAATTGTAATTTTTAGTTCCAAACAAGGACGGTGGCTTTCTTCCCGTCGGACGACGCGTTTGTCGTTTCATCGATAGAGGGAAGGGTCGCGGTGGAGTACATCAATCAATCAGCAGACGAACAAGCCAGGAAATACGCGTTCAAATGTCATCGGCAAAAGGTTCAGCATTTATATTGAAGCTCAAATTTATTGCTTTTAGGATGCCAATGGAATCGAATTGATCTACCCTGTGAATGCGGTCGCTTTCCATCCAACCTACTCTTCATTTGCTACCGGCGGTTCCGATGCTCAAGTCAACATCTGGGATCCATACAATCGTAAACGACTCGTCCAATTTCATACTCAACCCACAAGCATCGTTGGTCTCGACTTTAACGTAGATGGATCTCAAATAGCGATCGCCTCTTCATATGCCTACGAACAGGAAACTGTATGTTTTTCAAGAAATAATTTAAATTTGATTAATTCAGGATCCAAATCCAATTCCCCCCTCCTCAATCACCATTCGAGCGTTGACCGACGGTGATTGCCGCATTAAAAGCGTCTAATTGATTGTTCCTTCACTTATTTTAAAATTTTGTTTTTTGTCGCTCATGTGTTCAATTGTAAGTACCTCTCCGATTTAATTTGCTACCATAAAGATTATTTCTAAGTTCGAATAAATAAAGCAATGAAATTGGATTGAGGAGAGGAACACACTCAGACCGAACATCGATTTTGTGTTGAAGAGTTCTGTGCAATCAAGGAATTGCCAAATTGGTGTTTGCGTTATTTTTCTGGAATCTTTTCACACAAAAAATTGGTTGGCCTATTCTCGCCACGTTTCTTTTCGGCAATTTCCCGCAAGAACTGCAAAAAATTTGTTATCCAGAAGCTCTTCTCAAAGGTAAATTGTTGAATTGTTAAAGGAAGCTGTCTAAATTTTAACATCCATCGCACAAAGCAACATTTTGAGCGTTTTGAATACGTTTTGAATACGGCTGTGCCAGCCGTTTCACGAGAAATCAAATGGCTCAACTTTGTCCATGTTACCAATCGGTGATCATCGACTTGTAAGTAAATTTGTAATCAAATGGAATGTAAGTTTGTCATATAATTGGCAAGATTACGATATTTCTAATTAGGCGACCCATTTCCAGAGTCTCACAATGGAGTACTTTATGTACAGAGCACGGGTAGGTGAATCTGAAACCCTAAATCTTTCCCAAAAATAACAGAGTTACTCTATTTTACAGAGGATTTGCACACATTTCGTGATGGCCAATTGTGAGGAAAAATTCTGGAAGAAGCTGCATTGAAGATCCATCACTCATTCGCTATTGAACAAAATCTTTCCCATTGACCTCCCGGTTTCGGTATTAATTTTTTTACATAGGCTTTAGCATCCCTTAGATTTTGTCTTTACTTTTTCTCCGGCAATAATTTATTCAAAACTACCCATATCAAAATTATTTGGAAAAAAAGCATCGCACAAGTTAAGATATCGTAAGTAAAAAGAAGGCAACTGTTTTACATTCGAAAATTATTTTTTCTGACCCGCTACAATATGATGATATAAGCATACAACAATGATACATAAATACAAGTGAAACGACTACAATATGGAGAAAGACTGAGCAAAAGAGGTCTGATTAACTAGGATTAGGATTGCCAAAAAATACACAAAATAGGGATAAATTTTGAGATTCGGGAATTTGTTAACAAAATAGGAGGGGGGAAGCTATTACGAATTGGACGGGTTTCGCGGTGGTTGATCGATTGCGACTGGCGCATTTGCAATGAAGCTAAATAGACCGGAATTGGGTAGGTTTAGTGAAGTATCGACTTTCATCCGTACTCGTCACAAAGCTAACCCCAACAAGTTATTTCGCTTAAAACTATTTAACACAGTTCAATCTTGGATTATTTACTGTATTTGCTTTTAAACCAAAGCCAATACATAATAGGCCGTAAACAACCCACATAATATTGGCTTTGAACTAGTTTATAGCTTTAAAACTGGCTATTTAGTTGACTTATAGCTATTGAAGGCTATTGAAGATTCCCAAAGCCCTTACTTTTGTTGCCCGAGTTGAGGCACATCGGAGGGTGGGGTTGGCTTGGGTGGTTCGACTGTGAGGCGATGCTTCAGCCGGCAATCTCCATACTCGCAAACGACCGCTTGCTTCTTTCTAAATTATCAAGATTATTGAATTTTCAACTACTTACATATGATTCATTTAAAATGTGTTAAAGATTCACCTGTTAAGTGCATGAAGCAGTCGAATGGATTGATCACCCCGCGCAACTCCAGTGTAGTTGCAGTTTTTCAAAACGACCAGTTCAACACCCAATTTCTAAAAATGAATTATTTAAGAAATGCGATCATTTATCTTACATCTATCGCCTTTTCCAAGAATTGAATGTCAACAATTTGAAAGTCGATGTCGATGAACTCGATCGATTTTATCCGCCACGCTCTGATGTGCACCAATCCTCGAAGAACTCGCTCGAATGAATTGTAGTTTGCCTAAAAAGAAATAGTTAGGCATTGAATTAAAGTATGATTACAATATAATTAAAACCAGTCGCTCACCGCAAAAGGTCGGATGTCGCATTTTGAGTGAAACATTAGGATGAACTTGTGCTCGTCATGGGATCGCATCACTGACACTCTAAATAAAAGGAATATTATTGGAAAAATATTAAATTACTCATGATTGGTACGTTGATTTCTTAGTAGTTATTTAAATTTTAAGCGTAAACAAGGTTTTTGACGCTAAAGCTCCATATTTATTATTGGATTTTTAAGTTTTTATATAACCCGACTTCAGCAACTCTCTTCTCATTTCATTAGAAGTCATAGTGAAGAAATCATTAGCTTAAGTTGTCCTAAGCATTCTACAAATATCGCTGTTCAATTCACCGTTGTTAACTACCTCATAAAAAGCAAATAAATTAAACTTTTGTTTAGTTTGGCATCTCCAAATGTACCAGCACCGCCTTGTTCAACTATTAGGTGTGTGAAAAAGTAATCCACGTTTTTTATTTTTATTTTGTTTAAATAAATATATCTAAACAATTTTTAATTTTTTGTTAACGATATATATCGTTTAAAAGCTTATTTTTTTCCTCTTTCGAATGACATATTTATTTTGTTAAAAGAACGACAATAAACTACCTTTAGTTTGAAAATGGTATACACAAGTATTGTTATTCGGTGAAATTTGCTTTATGAGTTCAAAAATGGGTTGAAAGCTGCGAAGGCTGCACGTCGAATTCGGAATGCGTTTGGCGAAGACGCCGTTATTGATGATACCGCTAGGGTTTGGTTCCAACGATTCAAAGCTGGTAATGAAAGCCTAGAAGATGAACCACGTGGCGGTCGCCCTGAGACCTGTCCGGATGACCAATTAAGATGCTGTCTTCTCGAAAACCCTCGTTCAACCTCTTCAGAAATAGGCCTTACATTAAATTGTGATGGGTCAACCGTAAGGAAACGCTTGAATGCCATGAATTTTATCAAAAATTTGGACAAATGGATACCGCATAAATGTTAAAAACGTGGATTACTTTTTCACACACCTAATATTAACAATTAATAAACAAAACATTTACCTATCCGGCGACAATCCCGCACTGTACATGAAGGCGACTCCATTCAGAAAAGTAGCGCCCGATGTTTTCAGCAGCAATTTCTCGGTGGCCAGCGCGACGAGTGACTTCATCGGTGTTGAGCTTGGGGTTATTTAACGAGTAACTGAAAGAAAAACAAAATTATAGCCAAGAAATGTAAAAAGCAAGTGAAAAATTAGTAAAAGTCTAGTAGAGTCGGCCTTGCGTTTTTTTCTTTACAAATTCCGTGGAACAGCTGACCTTTGAAAGGGAAAAGGACAAGATGGTCATTTGACAGAGGATGGTCAACAGGATACTTTAAAATATCTGATGCCCTTATGACACAAAGATTTTGTTTAGTCGGCTGAAAATAGAGATGAATCATTTGCGATTAGTAAAGTTGAGAAAAAGCGTGAAAATTGAGAAGTTTTGCGGGTGAATCATCATTAGAAGCTAAACACAGCAGAGATTGAGCTTTAAACAACAAGTATTGACAATATTATCGGGTTGAACCTTAAAAATAAAGCCAAATAGTCAATCGGGAAAAAGATTGAGCTGAAAAACAACATGCCGGGTAAATAAACAACACTTATCCAAGAGATCTAGAGATCTAAAGCTCTAAAGTGCAACATCGCTAACTCAAACACGGATCCATTTTTGGATCAAAGCCCAAAACGGGCTGTGAACGCGGAGGCTAAATGGAGAGGGGAAGTGCAATCGGACAGACACCGCTTCCCCCAAAAACCCCTTCCCTTCGCGTCCCTTTTTGCTCGATCTTTCGATTTTTCTCGAGTTTCCTTTTCTTCTCTACGTTCTCTCAAATGGTCAGTCAGTGGCTCGCGCAATGGAAAGAAGAGGGAAGGGTAAGGGTAAGGGTCAACGAACGAAAGAGAACGGAAATGTTAGAGGAATAGAGATTGGACACAATTGATTGATCGGGGCAAATCCATTAAAGATCTCTAGGAAAAATGAGAGAAATTTGAAAAATTTCATTTTATAGTGGTTTGGCGGAAAAATTTGAAAGTCAGCTCGTTAGCTGAATATCTTTGATCAAGGAAAACGTCTATTTAAAAGAAGTTTTTGCTTTTTTGAAATTTTTTCCTTTTAAAACCATTTTAACAAATTTTTAAGTTTTTTTAACGCAAAATAGGCAAAATCAAGAAATTTTCGAGCTAAAAATGGACAAATCATGAAGAAATGGGTGTCTTTAATGGATTAGCTGCTAAGGCAGATGTTCTACACGCAAAATTTGACAGCTTTTTCTGATGAATTAGTGAATTTTCTTCAAAGAAAACCCACAAAAATCAATTAAAAAGTGATTTCTTTGAAAAAAAACGAAATAAAATGCTCTCTTTGACGATTTTTGTGCAAAAAAATCCGAAAATCAGGTCAAGAGGGGATTTTTGGAGAATTTAGAGCTGGATAATCGAAAAATCTATAAAATTTGATAGAATTTTTGAATCAAACAGCCATTGTTGATGTCACTAAGCTTTTAAATTTCAGCTTAGCTAATGAAATGAAAAAAAAAATCGGTTTGATTACGGGAAATTACTGAAGTACACCTTTTAGAAAACTACCGTAACCCAGTTTACGTCTAATCGTCTCAATTTTTGCAACATTGGCTCTTGTGAGTTCCAGATTGGGTTAATTACATGAAAAATACCGGTCTGATTATGATAGTTGTTCTAAAATAGGTACCTTTTAGAAAACTACCGTAACCCAGTTTACGTCTAATCGTCTCAATCGTCTCAATTTTTGCATCATTGGCTCTTGTGAGTTCCAGATTGGGTTAATTAAATGAAAAATACCGGTCTGATTATGAGACTTTTTCTAAAATAGGTACCTTTTAGAAAACGCAGGACGTTTTCTATTTTACAGTAACAAATCGCTAATTTTAAACCGCAATTAGACTGTGAACTGTATCAAAAGCTAGGCAAACAATGAATTTGTATATCTTGCACAAACGGAAATTTGAATTGGACTAAGTGAAGGGGGCAATTGCCAGGAATGGACACAGATAAAAGAGCAGACTTGCCCCTTTTTGAGTCTTTTAGCCCATCTATTCCTATAATTCTTCGACACTCCCTTTCTCTAACACATCTCTATCCAATTCTCATCCTCCTGACTCTTTTCCCCTTTCGGTCACTCGAATCAACTCTGCGCCTTTTCCTTCAACCGCCGCTTTCTTGGACTGGGTTTGAAATTTTTGCAAAAAACACAACACTAGCAGCCAATCTGGAACGCACATCACGTTTCTAAACTAAGCCGGACTTGAGCAGAGTTCGGGATTGGTTTGACAATTTGACTTTTGCTTTTTTCTGAGCTTTTTTTCTGAACTTTAAGAGCTTCTTTATTCCATCAAATTCCAATTTCCAATACGGTTCTTTTTTTGATCTAATACGGTTCCAATACGGTTCAATTTCCAATACGGTTCCAATGCGGTTCCGATACGGTTCAATTTCCAATACGGTTCCAATGCGGTTCCAATACGGTTCAATTTTCAATACGGTTCCAATACGGTTCTTTTTTTGATCCAAAACGGTTGATGATGTTCCAATACGGTTCCAATCCGGTTCAATATTCTTAAATTTCGAAATTCTGGAATGTATTTAATTGCTTAAAAAGCTTAAAAAATCTTTAAAAAACAATATTCTTTATCAAAAACAAGTTTAAAAATGGAAAAAATGAAAGAAAAATGACAAAAATGATAGGGAAAATCCGTTCAGAGAAACACCAGTTTCGCAAAATTGTGGGAAAAATAAATGACTAGATAAGAAAATTTTCAGACAAAATTTAGGACAAAATAGAAAGGTTACGGTAAATTATCCAAATTATCCAAATTATCCAATTTTTCAAAAAAAACATCAATTTCATTCAAAAATGGCTAAGAGTTTGAGCAATTTTTTTTGAGAAAATCAAATTTTAGCACTTAATAGTTCATTGATTTCAAATAGTCGGCCAACTTTCCGGTCGTTTGTGAGCAAGCCTCGGGCTGAACACCATCCTCGTAGATTGAGATGATTACAGCTGAAAATTTAGCAAAATGAAATCATTTCTCGACAATCTGGAGCGCACACAATTTTCTGGGCACAAAATATCGTTTGATTGTCCTACAAAATTTGGCCTCGATCCTGAATTCCGGGATCAACCCTTTCTACGGTATATTAATAGTGATTTAGCTATAGTAAAACTTATATTTTGCTAAGCTGGAGTGCACAGCCTTTTTTAAACTCATAACTAGCCTGGGTAACCTATCAAATAGTCGTTCACTTTCACCTCGCCTATCATCTCTTAGGCGAGGTGGAAGTGGGTTGACTTTAACGGTCTAGGCACTGTCCCAAATAACTAAAAAGCTTTCTAAGAAAAGCTATTATGCTATTATTATACTCTAGGTTGTAGATTTACAAAAATATCGACTCATTCACCAACCTTGTTTCGTTTTATAGACGAAAAACCCATTTGTACCCTTTTTCCCAATAATTCGCTCATCATCAACCTAAAATTTTTCGTTTTTCTCAAATCCTGGATGTCACTGAATAAATAAATTTGATAATTTACCTGTAAAATGAAAAATTTTTGTCCCTCAAATTTCAAGCCAGTGCCGAGTAAAGCATCCGGGTTGCTAAAGCCTCGAGCTGCCGCAGCAGCCTCTTCACCCGTTATCTAACAACAATCATTATCTAACGATTAGTCTAATCAGTCTAATTAATCGAATTCTCAATTCTTTACCTGAAAATTATCACTTTTCCCCCAAACAGATCCATCAAAACCGCAAATTGCCGCTTTTGAAACAGCGCCTAAACTCTTTTTAAATCAAAAAGCTATCGTCTATAAGATTACTGTAGATTCTAAAAAGATTACTGTAGATTAAAGTTATTTAAAACAATCGGGATCAAGAGATTCTCTCTAGATTAAAATTTTATTTTAATATTTTTAAAGAAATGGTTATTTGGTTATAGTTCCTATTTAGTTCCTATTTGTTTCCTATATAATTCTTTTATAGTTACTATTTGGTTACGGTATAGTTGCTATTTAGTTCCTATTTGGTTCCTATATAATTTTTTTCTCTTTACCAGTCCCAACGAGTGACGTGTTCACGTACTCTGCCCAAGACATTGATCTGGGAAAAACCTGAAAATTTATGAATAAAGAAGCAAGATAGCGAAAATAACAAATTGACAAAGTAGAATTACGAAAGTAACCCTAATGAACCTTAACGAACTTCTACAAGAAGAAAATAAACCCAAAATCTCATCCAAATTAAATATTTTAGCTAAAACTGTAAATCCTGGAAGGCACAGCAGTGATTTCAAAATCAACCGGGCAATTGTTACGATAAAATTTGACCGTTCGAGATCTAATAGAAAAATGGACTTTAATCTTATTGAAATCAAAAAATTTCTGTAAAACTGTAAATCCTGGAAGTCACAGCAGTGATTGCAAAGGTTACTGGATGATGTTTTGACGTTGATCTTTTTGATCGATTTGACCCCTCGAGATCTAATAGAAAAATAGACTCAAATCTTACTGAAATCAAAAAATTTCTGTAAAATTGTAAATCCTGGAAGTCACAGTAGCGATTGCAAAGGTTACTGGATGATGCTTTGATGTTGATCATTTTGATCAATTTCACCCCTCGAGATCTAATAGAAAAATCGACTCAAATCTTATTAAAATCAAAAAACTTCTATAAAATTGTAAATCCTGGAAGTCACAGTAGTGATTTCAAAAGCGATCAATACTAGAAGTGGTTTAAATCGGCAGAAAACTTTTTGAAAGCGCAAATTTGCCTTCACCTCCAGCCAGACTTCTCTTTTCTCAGCAAAGATTTCAGAAAGAGAAAATCCACAAAGAATACTGTTCAGATCAAAAAAAAAAGAGAAGAAAAGAGAAGAAAAGAGGGTGAAAGTGGGAGAATGAGTGTAAATATAGGATTGGGAGGGTCTAGTTAGAGAGCTGGGGGGACAATGAACGTGACTGTGAATGATTTCTGAGGGAAGACATCTAGGAAACACATCTTTCTTTTCCTTGCACTCATCCCTATGTTTACAAAATATTCGGACACTCATTATTCAATGTGTTTTATGATTCTCGAGTACAAGGGTATTAGGTAATAGGTAATAGGTTATCAGCTCTCCCACCTCAACTCCGTTGAATGTGAAATATCCCATACCTCAGAGAGAACGCAGAGGTAGACCCCTACCTGGTACCCCTACCTGGTACCCCTACCTGGTACCTGATCTACTAAAGCTGATCTACTAAAGCTGATCTACTAAAGCTGATCTACTAAAGCTGATCTACTAAAGCTGATCTACTAAAGTTGATCTATTAAAACTGATCTACTAAAGCTAGCTGATCTACTAAGGTAAAGCAAGACTAAAAGTCTGATCTCCAGATCTCCAGCCCTTTTCTTGATTCTGAACTCGCCTACAACTCTGTAGTACTTGTAAACTGTACAATTATGTACAACAGAACAGTACAGGTCAAGAATTTCTTGATATTTCTTCTATAAATTTCTACACATTTCTCTAGACTTTACAATAAATTATTGGTTTCAAAAAAAGATTCCTTTAAATTATTGCAATAAAAACTATGAAAACAAAGAAAAGCTTTTTTTCGAATGAATAAGCAAAAAGAAAAGTTATAAAGCCAATTTGTTGAAAGACGAGATGAAAAAGAAGTTAATTAATTCTAAAAATCAAGAAAATAGATTCAGATCAAAAGGAATAGAATATTAAAACAACATAGTAGCAAGCATAGTACTAACATAGTACTAGTACATAGTACTAGCATAGTACTAGCATAGTAGCAAGCATAGTACTAGCATAGTACTAGTACATAGTACAGCCTTTATCTGTACTATAGTCGTGTCTTTAAGTCAAATAAAATAATCATCGACATTAAAAAGATCTATAACAAATGTTGATATTGTTTTCTACTTTCCGAAGCTGAAAAGCAATGAGTGGGACTAAAAGGGGAGGAGTGGAGGGAGACAACAGCTGTGGAGGGGGATGGACTGGGCAGAATGGATCTGGACTGCGGGGGAGAGCCATCCAGTCAGAGTGAGTGGGACTCTTCCCTTTTCCCTTTCCATAAAGCTCCCTTTGTGCTGTAAACGACCCGTCCACCTAGCTTTTGAAATGATCATCGTTGTGAGTAATCGATGACGAAATCGATCAATGTTCGAGCGACATTGATCAATCTGGAGCTCACACTAGCTGTACGAGTTTTTATCAAGGCTGTACATTTGTACTTAGTACAGTCAGGTCCGTAGCCAGGATTTCGTTGTTTTTAGCACTACACTAGTTCAAATTGAGGTTCGGATATCTGAAAAGAAGGCGGGCGAACTCTTCAAATGCTCAACCGATCTTTGCACAAGGAAAAATCGTTAGAAATCTTCATAGAGGTTTCAAAAGCGGTCGTCCAATTACAACAACGTTTGGGCAGTGATGAATTTCGTGAAGCAGGATCTAAATCGGAATTCTACTGATGGAACTTAAGAACGAACTTAAGAACGAACTTAAGAACGAACTTAAGAACGAACTCAAGCTTCAGAAGTGAAAGTCAAATTCAAAGAAGTTTAGCTCTCTTCAGACCACTGTACATCTTCCTTTTGCCCCAGAAACGATGCCTGATGCCTGTTACCTACCAGGACAATGATCAGAAACAATAGAAGATCAGAATGATCAGAAACAAGTCGAGGCTCTGGTCAATAGAAACCTCATTCAATAGAAATCTTTATCAACAACAATTCTGTACTTTGTTCTCTCATAAACGCCAGCTTTAAATCCTCAGCCAGATGCCAGAAAGCCTGTGTTTACGAGAGCACAAAATACGTCGCCCGTATTCACTATGACACCGGTAAAATCACAAAAATTCTACAAAATATTAGGATTTTTCTTTAAACCCAATTCAACGGGATCATTATTTTTCCATCACCGACAATCGAAACCGTCGAATTCGAGGAGAAACGAACGTGAAGACCTTTGAGGAGATCCCTGGGAAATTAAACCATAAATCGTACTTTAAAACGGTAAAAACACTCCATCTGGAAGTCACTGGTGATAATAAGTGCACCAGAAAAGGTTCATTTACACTTTTAGACTTGAGTACAAAGTACACCTGAGAACACTTGAAAATTTGACTTTAAACACTTGATTTTTAAAACTAGATATCTCATGTGAGCTCCAGAATGGCCAATCAACCGCTCAACTCACCTCGTTTGTTGATTAATCGTCCGCAATCGGCGCAAACTCTTTAGCACTCCATCGATCGGCAACCCTCCTTCCCAATCGAGACACGAAAAACCCAATTCACTCGAAACAATCGACGCCTCTTGTTCCAATTCTTTCTAAATTTATTTTTCTTGAATTTTAAGATCAAATAAAAACCAATGCAACGTTCACAGTTTCTTGTAAATTTTTTCCTTCAAACGCTTTTGAAATGAGAAATTCGAGGAGAGCGGTGACCTGAAAATTGAAATTAAAACTTTGAAATGAAAATCCTCATCCTCACATCAACATTACAAGGAATACAAAGTCGACCGTCTACTCCGAGATTCAGCTCATCATACGATGTCATTACCTGAAATTAAGCTTTGTTTCTAAAGCAAAAATTCCAACTTCAATCACGGCTCCATCCGTGTATTTCTTCAACTTTTTCTTCAATGAGGGCTCTCGGTTTTCGATTCTGAAATCAATAGTGTGACTTCCAGATCGGCTAATGAGACAAAAAAAATAGTTATATGTTCATAGTATCCCTTTGGAAACCTTACGAAGTGAAAGAGTCTGTTTTACAGTAAGCCCTGCTTTTGATTCTGAAATATTTTGATGGACTTATCGATCGATAGTGTGACTTCCAGATTGGCTAATGAGCCAAAAAAAATAGTTATATGTTCAGAGGATTCCTTCGGAAAGCTTACGAACTCAAAGAGTCTGTTTTACAGTAAGCTCTACTTTCGATTCTGAAATAGTTTGATGAACTTATCGATAGTGTGCCTTCCAGATCGGCTAATGAGACAAAAAAAATAGCTACATGTTCACAGTATTCCTTTGGAAAGCTTACGAAATGAAAGAGTCTGCTTTTACACTGCTTTTACACTAGTACCCTTTGCTGTCAGTACCTGACAATCAGTGTGTGCATTTGTTGAATCGTTTGCGCTAGCCCGCGATGATTTGGCGTTAAAATGATCGACCCAGGCAACAACTCTTTGAGCTTTGCCGTCATTGCGTGCAAATTTGGCAACTGAGCTCGACGAACTGCCGCCTCTTCGCAAACCTAAAAATTCATTAAAATCGAATTTTCTCATTTTAAAACCTTTTGCCATTGCTCTGGCACATGATCAGCCGCAAATTGAAGACTTCCGTCACAGCAAACGAATGAACCTCGACCGAATCTAGAATCACATCAGTTTCAGACTTTTCAAGACTTATTTTCAAATTCTAATTAAAGAATAAGAAATCCTGGACCTCAGTGTGCTTTTGTACAACGCTGTCAAGATGATTTCTTTCATTTCTGGACCCGCTTGTTTCAACAGCCTTAACACTCCCTGTACACATCGGCGCATATGCGTCTCGGTCCAATCCATCTGCCATAAAACCTAAAGCATTCAATCTGGAGCTCATTCTACAATCTGGAAGTCACACTACAATTGCAAGGGATTAGATTCGTTTAAAAACCATTTTAAAACAAACATCTCTCAAACCGGTTTTCCATTTCAATTCATCGATATCATCTTTCATCGTGATTTTCGTGATTCTGAACTCTTTCAAGTTAATTTTCTTTTAATCTGGAAGTCACTCATGATCTTTACTCATTCGAATAGCTTGTTCTCTTTTTCCATTCAATCGAGCAAAAATATCATTAGCTGGTGGATCTTTACGCTTTTTTCTGAAAATCAATTTTGAATTGAAATGAATCAAAAACAAAACTAACCTTAAATACATAGCCATTAAATCTTCCGGTGGATTCCAATTTGAATGAACTGGTGGGGATTTTGATCGAATTGTAAAACGAGGAAGATTTTTTGTTGGTAGACGACATTTTTCGAGTGCTTGGCTGAAAAATTGTTGATTTTTAACCAGTTTTAACTACAAATTTGTAAATCCTGGATGTCATGCTTTTAAAAATCAACGTCACAATTCGATGTGGATCCGTTCCGGAGAGGCTGATTTTTACATCTTCTATTTCTTTTGTTTCTCTGTTATGAATGGAGAAAGAGATCTGAAATTGAAGGCTTGATTTGAGATTGAACCTCAATCAATCTATTATTGTTTTTAATCGATCTATTGTTGTTTTCAATCGATCTATTATTGTTTTCAATCGAATTTCAAACCTCAATCGGTCTATTGCTTGAAAGAATTGGTTGACTCGGGTATAAATCGTTTAAATAACCATTAAATATCTGAATAATATTATTTTCTTTCTTTTGAATCTCTCTTATAATATTTCTCCACAAACTTGTAACGATTTTTCGTTCTGATCACGAATCTTTGGCAATTGAGCGAAACGATCGGGATGAACGAGGAAATAGAAAGGTCTAGAAATAGTTGACTTGGTCTAGAAAGGGATAGAAATAGTTGGCTAGAAACAGATTGGCTTCAAGGCTTGAGGATACAGGTTTGAATTGGTTTGAATTTTCGACCATTGAGGTATTGGTTTTAGAAAGTAGCTAGTAAACTTTTGACTAGAAATTTGCAAATCCTGGATGTCACTTTAATTATCTAAACTTTTAATTCAACAGAATTCGACATTTGAATTGGTTTGAATTGGTTTGAATTTTCGACCATAGAGATATCGGTTTTAGAAAATAGCTAATAAACTTTTGACTAGAAATTTGTCAATCCTGGATGTCACTTTAGTTATCTAAACTTTTAAATCAACAAAATTCAAAGAATTAAAAGAATTTAAAATATTTACCTCAACGCAACTGCAGCCTCATTAGCGGTTAGTTGTCTTTGAGCAATTTGACCGAATGAAGAGCCTGGACGACAGATTCGTGGAGAGAAGAAGGAGTTCATTCAAATAGAAATAGAAATAGAAATAGAAATCTATAAAAATTCTGATTTAAAATAATAGATAAAAATTTAGAAAACAAAAAAAAATCAGCTTAAACCGGAAATTTTTGATAGAACAGTCCGGCAATTCTCCGGCAATTCTCCGGCAATTTTTTTGGGGGCAACGATGGCATTGAGTGCATTAGAGAGAGAGAATTTCCCAGAGAAAGAAAAGAAATAAAAAAGAAAAGACAGAAAAACCACCAACGTGACATAGGATCGATGTGGAGTTGAGAGAAAAAAGAAAACCATTTTTGCTCAGACAAGTAAATAAAGCCTAGAAGTGTTTTTGTGGATAACTTGTGGATGTTTACAACTCTAAAAACTCATTCAAACAATCATTCAAATGATACTTTCAAAAATTGATTAGCTTTTTTGGAAATTAAATAATTTTCAAGTTTAAAACAATTTTTAAGCTTCAACAATTCTCAAGAAATCAACAATTTCAGAAAATCAAATATGCAGAAACCAAAAATTTCTAAAGATGACGAACAAAAGGTAATCAAAAAGAAAGATTTTTTTTCAAGACTGGGTTCAGAGGGGAATTTGATAAGGATTGAGAAAAGGGAAGAGTGAAACCACTCACGGCTGAGAGAGAAACTCACCACGTGCACCTCCGAAATTTCCAAAATTATCACAAACAAATAGGACAAATTATTTGGACAGAAAAGCGCAAGAACAAAATAACGATTATCGTAGAGTTCAATTTAATTATTGTTTTTTGTTTAGAATAGATCAAATGCGTTCCATATTCGAAGGTTTCATTACTAGAATTTGTGATGAATCAACTAGAGCTAGTCAAAGTCCTCAAAATCTTGCGTCAATTGTTGGGTTGGGGTCAGAATGCCAATCTGAAGGTTGGTAGAGTCAGAACAACTTGAATGCGTTCCATATCCAAAGGTTTCATTACTAGAATTTGTGGTGAATCAACTAGAGCTAGTCAAAGTCCTCAAAATCTTGCGTCAATTGTTGGGTTCGGGTCAGAATGCCAATCTGAAGGTTGGTAGAGTCAGAACAACTTGAATGCGTTCCATATCCGAAGGTTTCATTACTAGAATTTGTGATGAATCAACTAGAGCTAGCCAAAGTCCTCAAAATCTTGAGTCAATTGTTGAGTTCGGGTCAGAATGCCCATATGAAGGTTTGTAGAGTCAGAACAACTTGAATGCGTTCCATATCAAAAGGTTTCATCACTAGAATTCGTATTCGTTGTGAGAATTTTTCGAGAATGGGCGATTTTTGGAGATATAACACATATTTTTAGTATTAACCAGCGCTTAGAGCAAAATGATTGAAAAATCGGCTTTTTTTTTGTTATTTTTCAATCATTTTGTTCTAAGCGCTGGTTAATGCTAAAAATTTGTGTTATATATGAAAGAAAGCACCCATCCTCTACTTTGATTTGGTATCTAAGCGCGCAGAAACAAATGTCTAGGCGCCGAGCGGTTTTTTGAGTGTCAACTTCTTCAATTTGAACACTAAAACCCAAGTTTATGTTCATGTAGCATTATCTACTATATATAAAGCAGAAGAGATGTCTGTATGTCCGTCTGTCTGTCTGTCATAGGGACTTTTCTCGACTTTTTTTCCAAAAACTGCAAAACTAGCCGAGCCCGATGTTGCCTAGCTTCCCCTCCGCACGCAGATGGCCGAGTGGTTAGAGTGCGCGTCTCTCAAAGAGAGTGGGAAAGATGGGTCGTGGGTTCGGTCCCCCTCCGAGAAAATCAGTTTTGCTCTTCTTTTCAAAATGGATTTTAACGGTTGGAAAGTCAATTTCTATGGTTTTGGGGTATCATTTGAAGTAGTAAGAAGTAGGGAAGCGATCCGTCTGTCCAAATAACATGATGCGCAACATAGTCTACAATGAAGTTTTCAAATAAGCTATGGAAAAATTAGCCCAATAGCCCTTTTTCCATGCTTCATGGCCTCCAGCTGCAGATCTTTGATCTGGGTCATGGGAGAAGAGTGTTCCTAGACCTCCGCACGGTTCTCCCTGGAGATTCCCATCTTTGGGATGAGCTAACTATAGGAATGGGTTTGAAGCAACTTGGATAAATGAAATAAATGGATCCCCGATTACGTTGAGTCTCAACTGTCCAGCAGGAAAACTGTCCCAACTGTTCAGCAGCGGCGTTAGGCAAAAAATATTCCTGCTTACGAAGACAATATAATTTTTGATTGGCACGACAACAAGGATTATAAATTTACGTAAGAGCTCACCTCACGTAAGACCTGCAGCCGTTTTTGAGCTGTGTTAGCAGCTGAAAAGCAGCTGGTATTTCTTATAAGCAAGCATAGATAACTGAATATAATATTAATTTCGCTTAAACATAAAGCTATTCAATTGAATTTTCAAAATTTTCTCCCATTTTTCATTTTCGAGAATTTTTCTGCAATTTTCCTCAACTTCACGCGTTTGGATTTCTTGCCAGTTTAATCACATCCACTCATTCTCACTTTTATTTATGTACTTTATTTATTTCATGTACGCGACGCTCCTCTAGGGTCGCGTACATGACGTACGACGCGTACGACGCTACTATTACAGTCTCTACGGTTTGCAACGACTGTTGCTCCATCTCCAATCTCCAAGTGCGTCTTGCTATTTGTCAGCTCTAGCTATTCCACCACTGCTCTTTAATGATGCCATTCTTTGCGCTCTTTTCAAAAAATGACGAGACTTCTTCAAGAATTGTCTAGATTTTCTTATTTTTAATCACCCTTTATAACTCGATTAGTTCGTTTAAGCATTTTAAAAACGTTTAAAAGGTTTGAACTTTTATAAGACCAAATTTAACCGAATAATTTCCCCGTCTTAACAGTGTTTTTCGTCTAAAAACGGATCACGAAAGATGTTTATATAATTTTCGCCATTCCTGGCGTAGTTATCACAAAATTGGCTCACTTTTCCGATTATTTCTCACGCGTTTTTGCAAGTTTTCATTGTTTTTACGGTTATCTTTTAATATTCTAATGTTTTGTTTTTAGAATGACCTTTTTGGAAGCGGAGGACGATGATCAAAACGATGACGAGACGAGCTCTGAAGAAGAAAGTGATAATTTCTCCGACGATGATCTCGGTGCTATCAAAAGGTCACGAAGAACTGAGGTAAATGCTTGGAATTAGAGTTTTATAGCAGTTTCTCTTTGTAGGCAAAACGTTCAACTATTTTTTGTTTAATCATGCTGAATTCTAAGAGAATGTTGTGTTTTAGGTGAGTGGGCACTTGATAATGGAGCTCGAGATGGCCAATCAGTTGCTCGTTCCATATAAAGGTAGTGATGTTTTATAGTAAAACCTTTCAAATAAATAGATTGAGCCACATGGTCGAAATAACAAAAAGATCTCTACTTTAAATTTCTTTTAGAATCGAAGGTCTTCGAGGTTGACGATTATCAAATGCTGATCACATTACCACTTGACTTTATCAATGTATGTTTGCTTCATGGCTGGATTTAGTTACACTTTTTGTTTAGACACGACTTCGCGAATGGTGGGGACTATCGGATCCGTGTTTGCGAATTCGTTTAACCTTCAATCATGCAAAATACCGTCTCGGGGATGTGCCTGAAGCAACCGCATCACTGCCATACACGAAAAGGAACATTGCAATGGGAGCCATTGAAACGGTTTGTTTTGCTGGGTTTGATGTGGCTTAGGCTTAAGTCCAAGCCTAAGCTCAAGCCTAAGTCCAAGCCTTAGCCTAAGCCTAAGCCTAAGCCTAAGCCTAAGCCTAAGCCTAAGCCTAAGCCTGAGCTTGCTCATTTTCAGTTCATCAAGGGCGACTTGACGAAATATTGGAGTGTAAGAAGCGAAGATGAACAAATCGGTGATGACAGCTTTTTCGCGGCATTCATCGATCGGCTAGCTGCACGAATGAAAGAATTGGGAAAGTGAGTGATGCTTTTGGATTTGGACTTTTACCCCTGAAACACTGAAGTTAAATCCATCCAACAATCAGCAGCTAGATTCAGTAATAGATTTGGTTTATGTTATGTAGCAAATTGCTATGAAATGATAGATTTAAGCATTTGAAAAGATGAGCTCCAAACTAGCAAATTGGATTAAACGATAAATAACTTTTAACTTTTTCTTTAGCTATTGCGTGCAGTGCAGGATTCAACATTTGGGCGCTCATCCGCTGCTTTCTGTTTGCGATCACCCGCTTTGCTACTTTCAGAGAGATCGTTTAAGTACGTTTTTGAATCTAATGCTTTGTGAACTTTACATAATCGATTTCTTTAGGACAGACTTTCGAGTACTCAATGGGACCCCGTCTATGGGCCGATTCGGCACAATTGCTCAACTTTTTATTCTCTCAGGCGAATGGTTGTCACCGGCGAGCTCTAATTTGCAAGCCCGATCCGTTAGATGATATGAATCTCAAAGAAGAATTTCGGTAGTCTATTCACATTTTAACGTTGAATCTCGTAAATTTAGTGATCAAAGTGAAATCTCGGCTGCTCTCTGGGGATATTGTACACGCTGTGTCTTCTCGACGTGGGCGAACTACGAGAAATTTCGAGACGATCCACTAACAAAGAAGAAAGCTGATCTGCTTTATTGGTAAGTTTTAGTGGTGCTAGACTACTGTTTTAATTGCATTTTCAGGTTATCCGATCGTTTCCCGGTGATTTGCCGATTGCCTCCTCGTTTCCGAGTCACCTCGATGAGCACAATTCATCAATATGTTTTGCCACCGGTTCCATCGGAGAAAGAATCACGCTTTCAGGTAAGCGATCATTGGAAATAGGATGACTACAATTTGTAGAGACTCATATATGTCAAATCCCAAATAGGTGACCTTATAATACTATTATTTAGGCTAATCTCGCGGTGGTTAATGGCAACAAATTCTACGCATTCCAGTGGGTTTTGTAAAAACCTTTTCAATACTTTATTTTCTTTAGCGGATCGCCCGTCGAGAACTGGTACAAGATTTTGTGTGAGGGTTTGATCGTTT